TTATTTAAGTAATTGTATATTATGTGGTTTCGAGTAAGTTTATCTAGCCCCAAAATAGTGTTATGGTTGCTAGCTTAATACCCAGACCCGTCACAGAAATTAAAATCATCATTTCAATTTCTGCCCGGCCGGGAATCAAACCCGGGACCTCTCGGCATAGTAGGTAGTCAGTTTTAGAACCACTACACCAAACGGCTGACAATGTTTTCAGTTGTGTTGATGACATGTTACCAGCTTCTAGAAAGCAGCGAAAGGCCATAGGTAGGCAGTTTGCATCTAGCGGTGTCCCAAAAACTTATCAAAGTCATCATTCCGTTGAGTGTACTCCAAGCTCCAGGATGCTGTTTAATACAGTGTGAGTCACGTTAAAGTGTACATATGAAAATAGATGAAACTAGACCTATTTTTATCGACAAAAAAGAGGTCAAAAAATTTTTGAGAGTTTTTTTAAATTTTTTATAGAAGTTTTTTTCCTCCAATTACTTATTGTAAAAAAAAAACGTAATAACTTTTAAACTAAGCGGTATATCCTGATGAAATAAAAACAGTAATAATGCTTAATAACAGACGATACTGAAAAAATACATAAAATACCCAGAAAATGCCAACAAATAATAAAAAATGATACTATTTGAAAAAAATATGCTTAAAAATTCGTATTTTTTTTATTATTTGATAAATTTCTCCAAAAAATGCCCCTATAACAGGTGGTTTTTATTACTTTGTATTATTTTCTATCATATTATCTTTTTAAAACCAAAAATCGCATGTCTCTATCCCTATTACAACATTTGCTATGATCGTTTGAACAAAGGCCTGCCACAACATTATTCTCCGCTACAGGTAGAGACAATTTTAATTGTAACCAAAATTCTTATTTTACTTCGAAATCTTTTGTTTTTATTTGAAATCTAACTTGTCTTTATCAAAATTACAAATCTAGAGTCATTTTCAGTTTCGTTGATAACGAAGCGTTGAATGGCGCGCCCGGAGAGGCTTAGTTCAAACGATCATTGCAAACGTTGTGATAGGGATAGAGACATGCGATTTTTGGTTTTACGAAGGTAATACGATAGAAAATAATACAAAGTAATAAAACCCCCGGTTATAGGGGCATTTTTTGGAGAAATTTATCAAATAACCAAAAAAACACGAATTTTTAAGCAGATTTTTTTCAAAAAGTATATTTTTTTATTATTTGTTGGCCTTTTTTGTGTATTTTATGTATTTTTTTAGTATTGCCTGTTATTTAGCATTATTACGGTTTTTATTTTATCAGGATATACCGCTTAGTTTAAAAGTTATTACGTTTTCTTTACAATAAGTAATTGGAAGAAAAAAAATTCTATAAAAAATAAAAAATAAATCTCAAAAAAATTTTGACCTCTTTTTTGTCGATAAAAATAGGTCTAGTTTCATCTATTTTCATATGTACACTTTAACGTGACTCACACTGTATAATAGGCTAATAAAGTCAGCAAAACTATGAGTACTCGTATATCTATGACAATTACACTGGCATGTTATTTGACAAAATATGATCTAGTTCAAAAATGCACCCTAAGGACATGTTTGCAAAAGGTCACCGAATAAAAATTGAGTGCGGGATTGCATTAGGAATTCGCCCACCGAGTAATATGGCCGCTCGCCGCGTAATTCCTCGCTGGTTACAGTTTAATTTCGTTCTCCGAGCTTGGCCTGTGGAGTTATTTAGCAGTCGGTTTCGCCATGAAAAATGCAATTTTGAGGTGGAATTTGATTTAGGTAACCTGAGTGGATCTAGTTTAGATGTTATGATTTGTCGTATTTTGAAAATGGCGTATGCGCGAGCGCCGGTTTTGGGTTGTGAACCGTTTTTAAGAATTTGATAGTTTCTCGCAGGGGCCATAGCACACATTGCGTTGCGGCGGCGGTGCGACGGCGCCGGAGCGATGTCGTTGCGTCATCTATTCGTCTTTCACAGATGTGATGTTAACTACTGGCACACGATCTGCGTGGCGCGGCGTGTCGCCCGAAATGACGAAATCTCTGCGGTGCGGCGCCGCAACGTATCGTGTGCTTTGGCATTTACAGTATAAAAATATTGTTACAGAACATTGTGTTATTTTAAATAAAATGTAGCAAGGTGATTAATTTTCAGAAATAGACAAGAATAACAACAAGACATGAATTGAATAAGACGCTGAAATGATTTGGTTTAACGCTATAATATGAAATCTTGATCCCTTTACCCACTATTTTACTGCTGACTTTAACCTCAGAAAATAGGACATCACAACGTCATAGCAATTACAACCCTTCAGTTCTGATTCTCTATGAAAATCAAAGCTCAACAATTCAAAGGAGTACCGTCAGCGTTGGAACTAAATAATTCGTCACTTTATTTCCTAGGGGCTTAAACGGACTCGCTGTCATAGTGCTGACCGTACTTTGTCTTTGTGTTTCTCTTTTAACGTTTAGTGGCGATGCTTTGACAACTTAAATTACTTGCCAGCCGCACTCCAATTTCAATCTAAAGGCGTTATAAAACGTAGATTGGCTCCCCATCTCTATTCGAGTCAAGTTTACAACGTAAGGCACTCAGCGCATCTGTTGGATAATAGCTGCATCTGTCGTTACGGATTGAAGTCTTTATTGCATACTTATTCGTAGCAGCCGTATAAAGTCTCTTGAGCCACTCTTTGTGGGTTAACTTCACCCTTATGCGGTGCCGTTTAAAGATGTTGGTTCGACGTTATAAGGGAATTTATCTAAGCAGATGCATGTAGTCGGTGCTGTTAAAAATCAGCCAGGCCAACTGTTGCCATGCCTCACTGGAGGTGAGGAGTTAACATTCGTCGTAGACACTCGTAGTAATTCTCGTAGCATTCGTAGTCGCAAACGCTTTGGCTTTGTGGCGTAGTGGAGAATTTGTAGTGCGTGCATGTTCGTCAATTGAATGGAGTAGTTTTATTTTCACTCTTACATGTAAAATGAAAAAGCATGATGATTTGCAATGATTGACTACTATTTCCCAATTTTTCTTTTTTCGTTTTGTTACTCCACAGCCAATTGTGAACTGCTAGTACTTACGACGAAAAATCTAGACATAGGTAACTCAACAATGCGTCAATTCAGTAATAACTCATGTGAAACGCCGGCTCATTAAGTTAATTTGAAATTGACTTCGCCCGAGTGAATTTCGCTTTGGCGTAAAGGCTTGTGTCCTCTTTCAAAACCGGGACAAAAATTACTTAGAGAAGATTATACATACAGTACGTTTTATTTATCAAGTCTAGTTAAACCAACACTGGCTATTCTCCCTACCCTACGCTGGCCTGTACTGAATCTCGCCGATACCGGTTGAAATATGAATATTGTCGCACAGTTTGAGCAGTCGGGTCACGATTATCGTGCTCATAAATACGCGGTCTGTAGTGCAACAGCTCGACTGGAAACACAATGAGACGAAACGCAATGTGCAGGCAATAAATCCTCACTGTCTGAAGACTAGTTTAAAATTTAAACATTTATTTTAAAACATACGCTTGGGAAAAGAGAGAATTATTTGTAGTTAGTATGTTATAACGTATACACGTTCATTCAATTTGTTATTACAGTCGATGCCAAGTTGAGAAAACAGAAACGCAAAATGTAACGTCCAGTCGTCCACCCACAAGGTGGAGCGACGACATCATCGTAATGCGACGCAGGCTGCTAGCCCGCTACCAACAGGGCAACATGGAAAGCATTGAGGGAGACAGTTTAGCAGTGGACATCTTATGGCTGAGATGATGATGATGATGAAAGTTGAGAAAAAATGTCTCAATTCAGTTATTGAGAAAAAATGTGTCCGGAAAATTATTATTTCCTTTTAAGAACACTTTTTGGGACGTCGTTTTTTAGTTCATGAGAACTTCCCTAAACTTACTAAACCTAAATTTTAAAAATCCATAATTATTTTTTGTTCTTAGTCTTACCTATTATTATGCTTAATTCANAGCGGGTGGAGGGGCGCGGGCGGGGAAGTATTTTGGACACAACTTGCCGCGTAGAAATGTTATTGAACACTCCTTCTGGTTTGTTCCGTATTCTGAGGTAGTACATTATAACTCAATGTCTAAAACAAATATTTTCGAAGTGTTTGTTAACATCGAAATTAGGATTGTTACTTCACTACGAAACTCAATCTGACCAATCAATGACTCAATCTACCACTATGACCAAATTAATGTTATGATAAATTAGAATAATTATTTAATTTGTTAAAATACTGGGAGCCCAAGTTGGGAGCATAGTTGACAGTTTATTTGACAGACTTGAAAAGGCGTCTCCCTGACAGAAGAGTAGAGACAACCGAGAATACTTACTCCCTTGAAGCCTTTTTCTTTACCATTCCCATTTTATTTGTGGTCGGCCATGGCACGATGGAGTCGGCCCTCCTTATCATGCGTCCCCAGACGGCTCGGTCCTGGTCTCTTGGTTGACTAGGGTTTCTTTGAGGTCCATTACTACGGACATCCAGAATAGTATTGCAAATAAATCATAACGAGCCACCTAATCATTCAAGAGCATCCCAAGAGCCATGATTCACTGAAAAATTTACTAACTTTTATTAAAGTACCTTAGGTTGGCACGAACGTTGACGTTTACAATAAATGTCCAAGTTAATTTCTTGCAATGTTTGGAACTAATGTTTAATTAACAGTATAATTAACCAATTAATAAAGCAAATTCATCAACATCTGCATCCCCTGCAAGCTAATAAAATTACTCTTTAGCCGCGTTTTAATCAAAATGTTGATAATCAGCAGACAAGAAGGTAAAGTATTATACAGAAAATTATACTGAAAAGAAATCTAAAAGCAACTTTTTGCACTGATGGAGCGGCGTTCTAATAATTTAAAAATTAATGGCTTATAAGATAGTGCTCATGCCGAGTAACGACGATGTTTTAAAGTTTAAAAGAGATAGTTACCTAATATCTTTTCATGCTTTATGCCCCACAGCACCGTGCTAAAATGTATTTTGGAAGAATAACAGCGATCCTCCTGATCTGTCGCGTCGAGTCGCTGCTAGCTTGTTGGGGCGGCGGTAAACAGCCGGACGATAAAAACCACACTAGGTATAATCCCAACGATAAAAAGATTTGGGGTGGCTGGGACCCACCCGGGGGGGCCAAGGGAGCATGGAAGGAGTACTTGTTGACGCACCACCAGGCGCTCTATGGGAAAGGAGCTCCTTACGACCCAGCTTTGCACGGACCTAAGCCGTACGGTATAGGTATACCTGGCTGGCCTCCCAACTGGAACGGTAAGTCCATGAAGTTACGAGTATATAAGATTTTAAACTGTCGCATTCCATTTTAACTAAGATAGAGAAACACGGGTCTCTCGACGCGAGCCGCCCGCGCCAGTCTAGTTGTGTCAAGCCGTGATTCCTTCCCCACAATGTAAATTCTCTTTCCATGAAGTTTTCTTAAAGGTCATTCATTATTATTTTTCTCTGTAGTATTAATCCAGTTAAGTAAGTCAAACTGTAGACCCTGGCTACACAGAAGTTGCGAACGAGAGGTGGGAATAGCCCCGTTCCAACGCGCAACGTGGACGGCATTAGGTTCATCATCATCATCATCATTTCAGCCACAGGACGTCCACTGCTGAACATAGGCCTCCCCCAATGACTTCCACATCACACGGTTGGTAGCGGCCTGCATCCAGCGCCTTCCTGCTACCTTTATCAGGTCGTCGGTCCACCTTGTGGGTGGACGTCCCATGCTGCGTTTTCCGGTACGTGGCCTCCATTCCAGAACCTTGCTGCCCCATCGACCGTCAGTTCTGCGTACTATGTGCCCTGCCCACTGCCACTTCAGCCTGCTGATCCGTCGGGCTATGTCAGCGACTTTAGTTCGTTTACGGATCTCCTCATTTCTGATTCGATCTCGTAAAGATACACCGAGCATAGCCCTCTCCATAGCACTTAGGTAGGCATTAGGTTAAAGCAACAATATTTCTAGATCACAGCTGTGTAACGCGAATGTTGTCTACAGGTCTTGGATACCCACTCACTGGTATGGAGCCGCCGCCTTGGGCGTACGTGCCTAAGAAGATAGGCAAGCCGTCGTTGTGCTACGAACCGCCAAAGCTCGGAAACTGTAATCCTAAAAAATTACTCACTCGGTGAGTGTCACATATTTATAGGTGAAGCGCTTTACTCAGCCAGTGCCTGAGGTATGGAAGCAAACATAAAAATTTGGTACAAGTTCTCCACATGGGCAAAATTAACTCATAGTCATAAATAATAAATAAATAAATATCCTTGGACATTTTACCCTGCGCTTCTAGTCCCAAACTAAGCAAAGCTTGTACTATGGATTCGGTACTAGACAACGGATATAAACATACTTAAATACTTTTTTTTTTGTAAATATAACCGCCTCTGTGGTCTAGTGGTAAGACCACCTGCTTCAGACGCAGAGGTCCCGGGTTCGATTCCCAGTGGGGGCAGATTTTTCTGTTCGGTTTGGTTGGNAGTGACGTCACGGACGTTGACAGCTGCGTGTACGTTAGCGTTCGCTGCGCGAATTTTAATATATTAGCACTGTTTAGAATTAAGTAAATCTAGCGATTTCTTGCCTGGTGGGACTCCAAGTGTGTGCATTATAAATTGGCAAAATCAGTGACGATTTAAAACACAGATTCAGTGCATCATAATATTTACTCTACACTCATACCCGCACGTTTAAAATAAACGAAAACAATAACATTATAATACATAAAAATAGTGTTAAATAGAACTAGTAAGCAAATACCATTGCAATGGCTCCAAAGTGCAACGCCTGTGGAAGATTCTTGGCGGCGATCGAGGCGGTGACGTGCCCGAAATGCACTGCAACGAATCACAGGGCCTGTGTCGGCGTTCCCCCGTCGGCACAAGTGGATAGCTCGTGGCTGTGCCCTGAATGCAGAGCCAGGATGCCAAGGGCCAACGCAGACAGCACCCCTGTGCGACGAGCAGTCGGTATGCAGATGCACAACATGGACGTTTCGGGCCAGGAAGACCAGCTGAACACCACTGCACTCGACACGACTGTAGAACTGCAGACGATACAAGAACTCAGCCTGGATATCCGCACTTTTCGCGAGAATATGAAGAGAGCAAGCGAGGAGTGCAAAGTGTGGAAGGCAGAGATGGCAGAGCTTCGGTCATTTATGACATCGATCGGAGATAGGGTGACACAATTGGAGGAGCGGATCGGCATCGTTGAGAGCCAGATGTCCTCTCAAAGAGCGGACGATGGTGCCATTAAGTCTCTGGAGTCTACCGTTTCGCAGCTGAAGAGGGACCTCAACGAGCGGGATCAAGAGCTGCTCCTCAACGATGTGGATATCGCTGGAATACCCGAGGAGGAAGGCGAAAGTGTCCAGCATCTAGTGTTGGCCTGCGCGGCGAAGCTGGGTGTCCCTCTGGATGAGAGGGACCTTGTGAGCTGCCGGAGGGTGGGCTTGACTAGGCAGCCAACAGAACCGGTGCCACGTCCTCGTGCAATCACCGTGCGGCTGGCACGACGTTCCACCCGGGACCAAGTGCTGAAGGCAGCTCGGGTTCGGAGAAGCTTAACCACGGAAGGACTAGGTTTGCGTTCATCTCCGCGGCCTATGTATGTTAATGAGAGGCTAACAAGGGAAAACCGCCAGCTATTCAACCAGGCTCGGGAGTTAGCCAGGAAGACCGGCTGGCGGTTTGTCTGGACTCGTGAGGGCCGGGTCTACGCCCGCCAGGAGCACGGCGGGCCTGCAATGCGCATCAGGTGCGAAGAAGATGTAAGGAGGGTTTTTGGAGGGAAAACGGTTTGAGAAACCTAGCCTAAACATTTCTCTGTTGATCGAATTACTGTGTCCAATCGATGTTTATTTGTTTTATTGTTTACTGTCTAATTTGTTTTTGATTTGTGTGGTCGTTTCTATTCTTGAGACTGAGCAGTGTTATCTTTTCGCCTACACATACTTGGTACTGCATATTATTATTTTCATATTTATGATTTCATTTCGCCCGCAACATTTATTCCGCTTTATTTACACATTCACTATTAAATATATTAGACCTACACACTATTACAATTTACACATAGATCCGCACTCACAAAACCGGTTTGCTATTTTCTGTCACTCGCGTCGCAGTCGAATTACGCCTACTAACCGCAGTTCAACAGCTACAATACGTACGCATCGAATGATGATTAAAATNGTTCCTCCGTGGTTGAGGATTCCGGGTGAAGCTCGCTTCCACCTTCGGCCTGATCGTCACTTACCATCAAGTGAGATACAGGCCAAGAGCTTCCTCGTTGTGGATAAAAAAAAATACATAGGTACATATTATACATAGAAAACACCCAGTCCATTACAAACAATTATGTTCATGCACACAAATGTTTGTATTGTGCGGGAATCGAACCCGCAACCTCCGGAATAGTAGTCCGCTTCGAACCACTACACCAAACGGCCGACAAAATAAGAAGTACCTTTATTCCTTCTCCGTTCCAGATACGGCTACAACCCTTTCCTGGACAAATGTCTGCCGTACACCTACACCGGCTGCAACGGCAGCAGGAACAAGTTCCTCAACGAGGCGACCTGCATCAAGGTGTGCATGACGGACCCTCAGTCCGGCTGCGAGCACGACTCCGCGCTGCCGATAGACAGCTTCGTGTGGGCGCGCCGCTGCGGGTACTCGGACGACGAGCCTAACGAATACGATGAAATAAAAAGTTAATAAATTCCGATATTAGTTAGGCAACTTTCCTTGAATTCCCGTTTCCCCGTTTTTAACTCGATACTGGCAAGAGGTATAGCGTAGCTATAAAAAAATCTACGTTTTTACACCACCTACTCGTTGAGAAGTCTAGAAGCCACTAGTCGTGGCTACAAGCGTTGTGGATGATCGCAAACCGCGAAAGCCAAGAAAAAAAACAAGAAATGGCCACAAAGTTACTTTTTTTTTGACGATCCTAACGAATACGATGAAATAAAAAGTTAACGATAAAAAATCTACGTTATTCATTTCATATATTATCGCTCATTTTTAAACGACAAATCTTAGTCGCATGAGCTTACGCGTAAATTCGGCGCGATAAAAGCTTACCGTGGCGCGTTATCCTGTGTTTCGAGCCCAACGAATATGACTATGGTAAATAGAAAACATAATAAAGAAAGAACGATTTCAGCTGATGTTTTTTTCTATTGTACCTAACTAGCTTTAGAGTTAGGAGTGGTTCCCCATAGCTATCATATTATCAAGTCGCAATCTAGGTAATAAAATATCATTAGTTATTTAAAAGTCGTAAAGATTCGTTAAGTAATTCCCCACCAGAAGAATGATAAAATTTTACTCGTCTGAAATTTATTTCTATGCTATAATGTCATAAAAATACATCATGCCCTAATTGTCCCAAGTTAAAAATTAAATCTAACGACGAAGCTTTCATACTTGAATCTATTAACAGAACTTTGTTAGCTACGAGTAGTGTGAAATTAACCAATTAATGTTACCTAATAAGAATTTCTCTCGCATCCATGTTTCTCAATTTCTTGGGAAGTATTGGTAGCATGGACTCTTGTCACTCTTGTGTGCACGTGATGTACCTACCTAAATAAATAATTTCTGAATGCTCGCACAAAAATGTTGAAGTTTACATTGATTGGCTTTCTTATATTCTGTCAAATTGCTCCAATATGGGCTTGCCACGGAGGTGGCTCATCTGAAGAAGACTTCTTCGTGCCCGTAACGAGCAAAATGACCAATCCCTACAATAAGCATATCTGGTACGGCTGGGACGCACCGCCCGAGGCTAAAGGCGCCTGGGCTCAGTGGATGGCGAAATACCAACAGGCCATAGCTGGGAAGGGCGGCCCCTACAATCCCAGTATACATGATAAGCCGTATGGACAAGATGTAAAAGACTGGCCTGCGGATTGGGGTGGTAAGTAACATGTAAACAAAAACGTGACATTTGTAGTAGCTTCGTGAAGGGATTTCGAGATTTCAATCGTTTTGCCATCTTGTCTAGAGGACTGGGTAACATTCGCACGCGGGAGAAGCCGCGAACAAAAGTTATCAATTTACAATCAATTCAAATACCGCAGTCGAGGTCTATCCTTTTGGCTAGTGTTATATCACTAAAATATGTAACTGTAACACTGTAATCATGAAAACTAATCGTTCCTAAGTTCTGGGGCCACCTCGGGATGGTATGATGCCGCCGCCGTGGGCATATGTGCCAAAGAGGTCGGGCAAACCAGCGCTTTGCTATGATCCTCCGCTATACGGCGATTGCAGCTCAAACATATACCGGTGAGTACGTACGTCCAGATGCAAATACTTGAATAACTTAAGAAACCATTTGACGTGTCTATGAAGGTTGCCCTCGATTTTCATGATCCCATCATCAGATCCTGACATGGTAACAATGGGACCACGAACCACCTCAGGAACCCTATCGAACTTAAAAAGCATTTTGGAAATCGGTACATACTTATTTGCAGTTCTGCTTCTTCCTTTTCTTTAAGTCGGTTAAAAAAGGAACAGTACTAAACGCACCAAACGCTCTAACTTTAAATAATTTAATGTTAAAATAAGCTCGACTTGGCGGGGGCACTGCCGTGCCCCCCGATTTAGAATTTAAGTTAAATTCTACTTTTCCAGTTACGGTTACAACAGTTTCACTGAAGAATGCCTTCAGTTCTCGTACTCGGGCTGCGGGGGCAACATGAACAACTTCGTCGAATGGGAGAGGTGCCGAGACACGTGCATGGGCTCACCCAAGTTCGGATGTAACGACGACTCCAAGATACCGATCGACACCATCGTAGGGGCGCGCCGCTGCGGATATCAGGATGACGTGCCCAATGACTATTTGTCAGTAAGAGACTATCCGGGCAGTAAGTAGTTGATGTGCTTTCTAATATTAAGCCATAACTACTTACAAGGCTACTTAAATTAAAAGGAGTTTGAAGTGGATTTTTTTAACTGTTTTAATTTGCTTAAACTTATGACGGCCAGTTCGCGAACACTTAATTATTGTTAATAATCTAGAATCATTATGTAGGTGGCTATTTCTCATCGCCACGGTTCTCATCGTCACCTTCGTGGCGAATTTTATTTCTAACTTATTTCAACTTTTTGTAAACAAAAATTGTAGCGCTTGATGTGAAGATTGTATTCTCAGTAAATCAGTCAAATAGTGAGTCTCGTTTGGAAGCTTTAACGTTTTGAATTTTTTGATGCCACGAAAGTGATTCTGTACTTCACAGCAATATTTTTTTCAAACTTTACTACTGTAAATGACTCTTAAGTATTTATAAAACATATATTTTGTCTTATTTTCATAGATAAATAGCAATAACATAATATAAATAAGTACCTACTTAAATACAAGCTAAAATTTTACCGATTACGTCACTTACTAAGTTACAAGATTCTACGCAATCGGTTTTAAGGGTGACACTGGTGGCATTCTGAAATGCTAAAGAAGCAAAAAACGGATTATCAGTACCTCAATAAAAAAGAACTCTAACTGATTATCAGTCCCTCAACAAAAATATATTTTTTATTTAAAGTTTGATCACTACATGCCCGGACACACTGTATATTAGACCTACACACCACTATAATTTACACTTAGATCCACACTCACAAAACCGGTTTGCTGTTTTCTGTCACTCGCGTCACAGTCGAATTACGCCTACTAGCCGCATTTCAATAGCTACGTATCGAATAATGATCAAAATACGACGTGTGCCGATCGGTACTAATACATTTTACAATAATAAGATTACCGGGCACGAGTAAACAACGTAAGCTACAGTTGGGTTTACTTAATGCTGGTTCTCTCGGTACACGTCACGATGAGTTTATAGTGGCTGTGGAAAAGCATCACGTCGACCTACTGGCAATAAACGAGACGTGGCTGCGTGAGGGACAGGACGCGCGCGCACCGGCGGTGCCGGGATACAGACTGAGACACGTTCCGCGACCGAGCTCCGTGCGCTCGCGCGGCGGTGGAGTAGGTTTTTACGTGCGCCGTGGACTGAGCGCGCGGGTTCTGCCACNCGCGCGGCGGTGGAGTGGGTTTTTATGTACGCCTAGGAGTGAGCGCGCGGGTTCTGCCTCACCCTCCATCGGAAAATGTCGAGCAGATGTGGTTATGCCTAACAGTGAGTGGAAGGAAGATAGTTATAGGGACTGCGTATAGGCCGCCGTGGCTTAATATTGATATATTTCTCGATGCGGTGTCTTTGTCATTGGAAACGTTTACATGGTGTGACAATGTTATATTATTGGGTGACTTTAATGTTAATATGCTTAGTGTACATGACAATAACTGTATTAAGTTAGGTAATTTTTTGACATGCAATAGATTGGTTCAATGCGTACATAATCCAACACATTTTACGTCACACAGCGAAACATTGATAGATTTAGTTTGTACGGATATAAATAAGTCTAACATGTTAAGTTTTCAATGGCAAAGTTTCAAATAAATTGTTTAAATTTTAGAGGTAGAAAATATTGTTCAAGCAAGCGACGGTATGTCTATGGATAATCACAAAAAGTTACGTATTTTTTTCGCGAAGCGACGATCGACCTATCTCACCTCCCCAATGGTCAAAGCGCGACTGACGTTAATGGAATAGAATGCTGTGATTGGTTGCTGGTGTTCGGTTTAACGGCAATCTTGTATTATTACTCAAAATTTTAGGTACCTAAAATCGTGTGACCAACGTATTTCGCTTTCTCAATTCAAAATAATTATAAGAAGATATTTTTTTGATTATTGTGTGGAAAGTATATTTAATTACGATGATTTTAGTATATGCTACACACAAATTGAATGAAAATTGTGAATGCAGTAACCAAATGTTTCATTGCAACCGAAGGTGTGACACGATGAGAACGCGAAAAATGACCCCGTTTTTTATCGTTTTATGTGATTTTTTCATATTATATTTGCTTCTATTACGATAAAATTTATTTTGTATGTAGCTAAATAGATATTTTATCATCTGATTTCAAAGTTATTGTTCTAACTTATACCGTTTATGAACAATTATTGTGTGACCATCAAATTTGAGTGTAAATGAGAAGTACCCAGGTACACAACATTCAGCTTTAAAAAACACAAACAGATTTATTAAAACTTCTAAAAGACGCTTTACTTTCCCGCCAAGCCTGACAGACAGAAGTACTCGAACGAAAGGAAAAGGAAATGAATAGAAGCGTTCCGTTTCACGACATATTATTATTATGAAATAATTTATCAAAATGTATGAGTGTCGATTATGATTTTAAAAAACTTCAGTGTTCCTTACGAATGGTTTAATAAAACGAAAATAAATGTATCATTGGAATACTTTAAAAATACTAATTAAAATTACACTTTGTTACCTCTAAATTCGATAAGAGTAATTCCAAATCGACTCCTATATCGATTACTAAAATTGAATAGGTACAAAGTTTGCATTACGAGTTGCAAAATCTAACTTTTTACTAACTTTGGCTTGTTGTCAGTATCAGTCGAAACTACATACAAAAGTCGATTCAATTGCAGTCGTGTTTTTGACATAAATATTGAAATAAATCTCAGTTCATAGAGGAAAGTAAAACATTGTCTCAGTCTATGCTTGAGATTGATTGAATTGAGTTTTGTGTGTCGTTCTGTATTGAGGGCAGAGGCGAACACATTGACGTCCGATCGACGACAACGACGAATACGATCGACGTTGAGTAGACCTAGGCAGTTCTGAATCACTATGCCCATGCCTTTCTATTTTGTCAAACAAAAGTCATACTTTTATCATTGCTAAAATACCATACATCCATAATAATGTGAGAGGAAATAATAGATTGGTGATGGTGAATGATCAAAGACCTGATTGAATAATCGATACCAAGAATTGAAATATAGTATCGCACAGCTCTATGAATAACAGCAATCAATAATTTATGTCATTGTTGACATGTCAATCATATCCGGACGAAAGTAGTCTTTGCGACTGCGCTTACTTTTCTCTCGAATTTAATAAATATCTACCTGTTTCAACTTTGTAGTGCATCTAAATAAATTGTCTCATCAGGAATAATTTCTTGTTTGAGCTTTTATTATAGATAGGTGCTCTAAATTATCCTTCCACATAAGATTCGGATATAAAGTTTTATCTTTCTGTATTTATCTTTATCCCATGTAATTACGATGTTTAATGGTCCTAATAATAAGTGAAATTAACATAATGATGGTTCAGTTGTGTGCGGTCATCGGCTGGAGTCGTACAAGTGTTTGAAATTTGAAATATTTGTGTGAGTCACACACAGCTGTGGGTTTCGATACCGTGAAGTGAAATCTAGTTACAATGAATATTAGGACGCTTGGTGTGTTGATGTGGAAGCATGGGGTGGTCCGTAAGAGACGGTTCATCCAGACGGCTATGGAGTTCCTGGCCCCAATATTTTTCTTCGTCATCCTCTTCATATTTAGAGACAAAATTCATTCAAAACCAACTCATGCTGTTGGTGAATTTATAGACATCGAGCGGCCTGTAAGTATTATTTTTTAAATTCCAGTAGCCTTTTATGATATCAAATTGTCATATGATTTGTTTATTTTATTTTTCTCATTGTTTTTAGTTTTTTTTTGTGGTTCTTTTGTCACTCACTTGGGTTCCTTCAGCTTCTGCCAATTTGCGCTGCTTATCCACATCACTGGGCCTGCCTTATTTTATATGATTGAAAAGCTTTTCATCTTTTTGTTACCAAGTTCGTCAACCATTTTTTTAGTGGTTTTTTTTTTGTTTCAACGTAAGTATGGATTTTTAGTGTACATAATTTTTTGATTACATTTTGTTTAGCAAATAAAATAAAATCGGGTAACTTTAAGGGCTCTATTTCCCCCAAGCACCATGATGGTGCACCCAGTGGCGCCACCGTGCCTATGGCTTGCCAAACAGAGACTCCATGTACAGACCAGAATTGCCACACCACAGCCACAGTATCAAAATGGAAGCAGACGGAGGAGTGTGCAGCAAAAGGCTCTACTGGTGACCGAGTGAGTGAGACAGACAGCGCTGTGCATGTCCGTGCTGGTAGTGCTGCCAAATCGGCTTCGCAAGTGCGCAGACGTAAGGTAAGCTACTCACTATAGAGCTGTATTAGAATTTTTTGAAGGTGGCCGCTGGTTGTGCCGCCATGGTGTTCCTGTAAAATAGAGCCCGTACTTTACTATTTCAGAACGTCTATCAATTGGAAAACATTTTTTTTATGCTGCTGCTATTGAAGAACTCAAAATTTCTTAGTGTCCTTTTATCAATGATGTAATACACACACAGTACACAAATAAATCATATTATGATCTATTAGGGGCTTCCTAATCAGTGCTTAGTTTAATTAAGTCTGTAATTTTGATTGTTCAGTTGAAGTTACTATTTTATTGGTTTAGAAGAGGGATGACTATTATCTGAAAATTATTTCCCATTAGCACTGATCACCAGGCACTTTTATTGGGTTTTTCTTTCACTTTGTATTCACTATCAAGTTAAGTTTTAATCAGTTGGTACCTGTTTGAGTTACCCCAGTAGTTTTTGCATCAAATTTTCATCATGATTTTCAATTGTCTCAAAATATTGTTTTACCCTGTGACAAGTCTTTGGCTAGTTTGTTCTTTTGGTCTATCTTCAGTTGTTTTCTATTCAACTTGAAATCTCCAGCAGAATCCTCAAACACTTTAGATTGGAGTTACTCACATATACTCACGGGTTTCCTTAACGACCGGTTCTGCGCTGACTGCATCCAGATTCTTCCCGCAACCTTCAGCTGATCGTAGGTCCACCTAGAGCACTGGTTCCCAAAGTGGGGGGCGAGCCCCCTGGGGTAGGTGCAAAGACCTTTAAAGCGGGGCGCGAGCCATCTGTGTACTTAAGTATAAAAAACTTGCGACCGCTGAAAGAATGCATTCCAGACTGCTCGATACGACCAATAAATAATCTTGACTGGAGGAGGAGGCGCGCGGAATTTTTTGTATGGTTGAAAGGGGGCGCGTTTCAAATAAGTTTGGGAACCAATGACCTAGAGGGAGGCCTGCCCACACTACGTCTACCGGCTACTGGTGGTCGCCACTCGAGAACTTTACCCCAATGTCCATCAGTTCTACGAGCTATGAAGTCCAGCCAGAAAATCTTAGATGTATTTTGGCGGTTGTGCGACGTCGGAGCGGTGTCGTTGCGTCGTCTTACATAGAAATATCTGTGGCGAGCATATGAGCGGTGCGACGCGATACGGCGAAATCTTTTGCGGTGCGGCGCCGCAACGCATCGTGTGCTTTGACTCTTATGTGGTTAAAACAAATGTAGATAACGAGCGATCTATCATCACACCTTTGCTCCAAAAATTTATTTTTTACAGGAAGCGATTCCACTGAACAGAACAATGGTACCACCGACCGTTTTGTACACTCCCGACACAAATCTCACGGCGATTCTGATGGAAATTGTTGGGGAAAAACTGAACCTGAAACGTTTGCAGTCCTTCTCAAGTACGTTTATCAAATCAATTTCTTTATTTGCTATAAATATCACCTGTTTGCTTTGTCTGCTTTTCTATTCAATTCATTTTCGAGGCGACAATTTGCCAATTCATGGATCGATGGTTGGACGTAGTACTTATTATTATTCTGTGGTACAATCCCCATCGACCGCTAGACTTTTGTGATGAACACAACCATTATTTACCGGAGTATTAATAGTATTACTCTGCATTACAAATTACACGCTCTTTAATTTGCTGTGCGTTAAGTATTTATCATCATCAGCCTATTTCAGTCCATTCCTGGACTTTTCCAGGAATGGACTGAAATAAGTGAAATAGGTGAATGGACTGACATACACCTCATTAGGTGTATGTCGGTAGGTCTATTCCGTTTCCGATGCCATTACATTAGTCATTTACAGCCACTCTGACCCTTATATTCTTCCTAACTCCATATTGCTGTAAGGCATCCTACGCTGCCAAGACGACAGCCCTAACCTCCACTCCAGGGGCCTTAGACAAGTGGCACTTTTTGATAGAAATCGAATCCTTTTACGAAGCTAAGTAGAATCCGTACGACTTCGCTTATAACAACCGACTGTTTTAGCGACGCATATTTTTGATTTGATTGGTTGATTTGTTGAGAAATAACGTAAAAAAATACTTCTTTGACACGACGTAATAATTATCATCGGTCCTTTGGGCGTCGTTATAATCGGATTTTACTGTAACTACATAAAAAAACGCCAGAGCGTAGGCATTTCGAAATTAAAAATGTCACGTTTTGCCACTTGTCTAGGGACTTAGGGAATAGAGAAGCAGAACTCTTCGACCCGACATCCAACTGTTCTACCACAGACACGCCCAGCCTATTCCCACTTCACCTGCTAAGCATGGTCATGTCATATACTTTTGTCCAATGTCAGATAGCAGTTTCATTAAACTCTATAATAAATGTGTATGTATTTTTAAACAGGTGGTACTGGTAGAGGATACATGCCATTCACCAACGATTCGGATATCTTCGACTTCACCAAAAACATGCGGCCCGATGAAGCGATTGTGATATTTCAGGTACGTCTTTATTTTACTCGATTACGTTTACTTCATAAGACCTTCATCATCATCATTTCAGCCATAGGACGTCCACTGCTGAAAATAGGCCTCCCCCAATGACTTCCACATCGCACGGTTGGTTTAATTTTTTTTTCTTGGTAAAAACTGTATAAAGCCATTTTATTTCATCACCAAAAGGATAAAATCGTATAATTCTGTAAGAGTGACGCGAATTATGGCGCGAAATCAAAGAAAAGCGTGAAATTGTTCACATGTATATTTTCTGACCTAAAATCGTTTTTTCACGCACAGATCAAATACGATAAAAACTGAGGCTTAACATTTATTTAAAAAATAACGTACAGAAGTATAAAAATAAAAAACCATAGATTGAGCAACTCAACCATAGTAAATCATCAATGCACAATGATGCTCAAAGTCAGATCCTTAAAAGAATACTCCATGACTAAATGACGGTTTAAGCAAACAATACTACTGCCGCTTCAAACACAGGAAGTTTTTCTAGTTACATAGTACATCATTGTCAATACACATTAACCATGCAAGATGTAACTCCCCAACGCTATTTCCGAATTTCCGTCTATCTATCCTTCTTCGTCTTAGCAGGCCTGTTCATCTCCGCGAGTTTACATCGAAAACAAAACACGCACGATGGCCCACCTACAGGATACTATTCGACAAGGCCTCACATACCAGCGAACATTGACTCACGCACGCGTATTCTTGTGTATGATGGAAGGAAATAAAGAAAATGGTGTACTAAATACTGTGCAGTATTTCACTGCCTAAATAATAATAAAAACACAGAATGTACTTTTTTAAGTTGCCTCAAGACACTGAGAGGTAAATAAGTAGTTAATATTATTCATGATAATTCATGCTAACTAAATCATGTATTTCCTCCGCCATTTTCCGCAGTTTGGCACCTCACGTCACATCATTTTGCCGAAGTCAGCCCTATAGCTTCGGCGCAGTGCCGATCACTGACGTTTGTCAACAAAATGGTGCTTGACTCTTGAGACAGGCTAAATTACACCATATTGTTAATGACATTGAGCATACCCTTTTCTAAATACCTTCGCGAAGTAAAACTTCTGTACGTAGTACTTATTTATTATTCTGTGGTCTTAGCGAAATGAGACCTTTTAGATTTAGCTAACCAACAAAGCTGACTAACGTGTACACCAAAAAATTAGGTATTTTAGTAGCTTAAAAACCTAATTGATTGCAGCGAAGTCAATAATGTCAAGGTCATTGAGTTAGTGAAATTTCTGTTTCAGTACATTTTTATCATAATCTTTTATACAAAATATTTTGCTGTGTGTACTAGTTTTATGACTTAGAAATGGGTGTACAAACGTCACAGTAACACTGATCTCTTTCTTATGAAGTTGTAATAAGATCGATTATAAGTACTGATGTTCCGTCGACGATATAAAGATCTTTAGCGAACAATTAGACCCTATACATTTGATTCCCTTGCCTGTTAAACCTTCTGGTGCCACCAAATTTTGAACTTAAATGTGATAATATAAGGTTCGAAACCAATAATCTCTCTACCAGTAAAATCCTTTTTTTTTTTTTTCAGAACGTCTCGGAAGGTACCTGGCCGAAAAAGCTCAACTACACGATCCGAATGAAGACACCCTTCAAGACGCACATGACCACAGCTATGGACGGCGGATTGATGCCACACCAACGGTTTGGTGAGTGTTCAATAGTTTTAGACTCCCCGCAAACCGCCGACTTATAGTTGGGCCCAATTCTACTAATTTGTATGAAGAATCGACCGATACCAGTGTGCGCACTTTCATACATTTCCATACTGATTAACAGCCCGATTCAACTATCGGCCAACAAAAAGTCTGTAAGAATGCGCGCCATGATAAAATCTTATCGACGATTTTAGACGACAAATGTATGGGCTTATCATTCAAAATCGATAAAATGTCTCGATAAAAGTTTATCGTGGTGCGCATCCTAGACCTACAGTAACGTCAAGATTGCGGAGATATAAATGCTAATTGATATAACCCTCTATTTGACCCTAACCTGAACTGTGATGTGCTGTCTGTAGAAACTTAGTTGAAAAGTTTTTTAGATCCTCTAAATCTTCTTCTATTGAAGAAGATTATGAAACCTTGACAATGAAGAAAATAAATTAGTTGTCTCTTTTTGTAGCTAAGCTTCGTTTATTTTATTGAAATATCGACCGATTATTATGTAGCATGTGCAGTATTCGAGTAATTCCTATTTTCACTGTCAATACAATTACTACCAGCTTGGAACGCGCTTGAAGGTTATAAAAAATAATTGCGGTACATAATCGTAACATATTTAATTTTTATTGTAATAACTGATAATATCAGTATGATAAATAAATACTGTGAATTTTTACTTAACATTTATGTTTGTTTTTCCTCAATATGTCCAGTTTAGTGTTTACATTATTACATAATATTGTCAATAAGGTAAACTAATGTGCATTTTTAAAAAAACCTTTAATAAATTATACGATGACATGCATGATTGCTCCATACGTTTTCATTGATGTCTTCTAACTTTAGCCAAGCTGCTGTAATAGCTGAACCCAGAATTATATATTTATGTATACTTATTTTGCAAGTAGTTGCAGACCACCAACTTTTTGTCGGCGATAGTTGAGCACGATTCTAATTTGTATGAAATCGAAATCGGTCTAATGTGCGCACTTCCCTAAATGCCCATACTGATTAACTGCCCGATCGAACTAATCGGCCGACGAAAAATCGGTGGTCTGTCCCTAGGGTAAGATGTATTTTTTACCGATCTTAGGATTTAATAAGCTAATAGAGACTAGAGTCCGATTCTAATGCCCGTTTTCACCATCAATCCCTAATTTTTAAGTGACCCCTATACCAACAAAATTCATATTACGTGTTACCATAGGGGTCACTTAAAACTTAGGGATTGATGGTGAAAACGGGCATAAGTGTCATATTTACAATACGGGTCTCAATTAAGATTACCCGGCCTGGTTTCGGAATTAAGATTACCAGCTTGTGCGTACTCATCTTCTGCTAATATGAAAGTTCATACTTGATCTAAAGGTGACTGACTGACTGACATAGTGATCTATCAACGCACAGCCCAAACCACTAGACGGATCGGGCTGAAATTTGGCATGCAGGTAGATGTTATTATGACGTAGGCATCCGCTAAGAAAGGATTTTACGAAATTCCACCCCTAAGGGGTTAAAACGGGATCCACGCGTACGAAGTCGCAGGCGGCAGCTAGTTAGAATATAAAAGCTCAAGCCAAAAATCTCATTAACCGGACCATAGTCATAACTTATGTAACGAGATAGGTACCAAACATCGATTACTTTTCCCATAACTAATACTACTCTCAAATAACACGTCAGTTTGTTTGTAAATGCCACCGTTGGTAGATCCGCACAGAGTACCTAAACAATTTCGCAATGACGTCTGTAGTCTGTGGTCAGCTACCGTGACGTTGCGGCAATATTGCCTGGTCGCAATCGAAAATAAATTGAATTGAATTGAAAGTAGCTTTATTTTGGACTATCATTTCAGCCACAGGACGTCCACTGCTGAACATAGGCCTCCTCCGCTTGGTAGCGGCCTGCATCCAAAACCATGCACCGCATTATTTATTTTTGATGGTCTTAGGAAAGATGATAATGTTTTGGCGTGATATATTTTTTCCTTTATTCTCAAAATATCAGATTCTTAAAATATTAGATTAATTAAAATAGATTACCAATACCGACCGCAAATGTAGTACAATTTTTTGAGGTCTAACTATCATACACCTCGAATTAAAACGAACGAACAAAATAACTCAAATATAATCTTAACGTAACATACATTTTAGGCGACAACTGTGTTATGTTTATAAAAAAATTCGCAGAATGCAATATAACTGTTACTTTTGTAGTTATTCTTTATCTTTATGTACCTACATACCTTGTCCATTGTTTACTACGGGAAGCACGTTCCGAATAATTAACTTACTAATGCATGTACCAGGTGATTCATACGTGGACTCGTGTTACATATTATACTGTTATGTATTCAGTTGAATTTTATACTTACATGATTTGATAACCTTGATTTTGTAACTAAAAAATATTTTTCATTCTCCTTTACATATGAAAACAAATTAAATTGAACTTGGGTCCAATAGAGTCTTCTTAAGACGAATTATTCACTAATACAATGTATTCGCTATTATAGTATAGCCTGACCAGGAACATAAAAACCCTGGCATAGAGGCGCATCAATTGCATTTGATAGTGCAACACTGAGTACAGTCGTACCTGTGTTAAATTAATAGGCTAACTTTATGTATCAGGATTCAGGATTACGGGCTAATTTAATATTTTCATAAATTAACGAAAACATATTATTATAGGTAATCTGGTTTAAATAAATTAAATGAAACCATCAATCGAGATAGTAGGATTTATTTTATTATTCATCAATAATCAAATTCAGAACTTGAATATTCAACTGCAATGTCTGCTCATGAACGCTTCAAACTCGGTACTTCTTTCCCAATTCCATAAAATTCAACACTTAGAAAGTGACAAAAAACTTTAAAATAGGTAGTTGAAACAAACCACAGCTAATTTTCATAGTGGACTGTACTATACGATAAACATGTCAGTCAATTTGACAACCTTTGTTGGAAACATTATTCAATGAAAATATTGTCCGAACCCTTGGTATTTCTCTTCGACAAATACTTTTACACATTGTGAACCACTTTTCTTTCACGACTATAAAAAGATTTTAGCAATTTCATTCACAAAATCAATTGCGCACATTTAAAATAAAGTTTGTTTACACTTTGACAGCAATAGACTGACATGCAAGGTGACATGTCAATGAAGTTTTTAGTTATTGTTGCCATTAAAAGAAATTAGTACCATTAGATTTCCGCAACATGGCGAGGGTTTTTATGTTCCTGGTCAGGCTATAACTACTCGCGAAAATATTATTATGGTAATTTAGTTAAGATTTTAATTATAATAGGCAAGCAGTCAAGTAACTTAGTAGTAACATATGTATAAGAACACCGTCATGTAGTTGCTACTTACAGAACAACCTTTAATATTATGAGTATGTTCTTATTAGTATATTCTTCCTCTTATCATGGTAACATGCATATGATTATAACTTTTCAGAACCGTATGTGTCACATACTGTTTCTTCGAATTCATTATAATGAACTGCCGAGTACCTACAGTAGTTTATTTATACTAGCGGTTGATATAATATGTGAACTAGCTAAGTTTGGTGATGAAAAGGGTAGCGAGGGTAGCTGTTATTTTTCATCATTATTACCAACTAGCTGACCCGGCGAACTTTGTTCCGCCTTAATGGCAATAAATAAGCAGACTTTTTTTTTAATTTCGAACGGGATAAAAAGTATCATATGTCCTTCTCCTGGCTCTAAACTACCTCCCTGACAATTTTCAGCTAAATCGGTTCAGCCGTTCTTGAGTTATAAGTGGAGTAACTAACACGACTTTCTTTTATATACATATATAGATATCATATAAATAAAATAAATATTTATTGCCTTCGAACCTTAATTATACATACAGGCTCAGTCTTCATCATCATCCTTCTATGGTTTCCCATAATTAGAAGTATAAGGGCCTCCACTAAAACTGCAATGTATGGATAATATGCGCTGGCGCGAGTTAAGCCTTAAACCTAAGTATTATTTGCTTTTATGGCGTGGGCAGGCCTCCCACTAGGTGGACCGAAGATCTGGTCGAGTTCGCGGAAAGAACCTGGATGCGACCAGCGCAGCCCGGTCGTTATGAAAATTCTTGGAAGCCTTTGTCCAGCAATGGACGTCATTGGGCTGAAACGAACGACGGCATTACAAAACATTTTAATTAACCTTTTAGAACTACCTAATAACAATTCCTTTTAGACCTCGTTTATTAATTTGCAAGCTCTGAATTACATAGAATACCAATTAATTAAAATAGTGTCCTCCCAGTTCCATAGCTTACCTAACCCATGCAATTATTTTGAACCCAATCGATACTAGTCCAAACCAACATGTACTGTTTAGGTACACTCACCGTTCACTATGTACTCTTACAATAATAAAGGCTACCGATGCACGTGTGAAATGACACACTGTAAATACGAATGCAATATTTTATAACCATATCACAATGCAGACGTGCTCAGTGCTATCACTTCGGATGACAGATCATGCGTACAGTCAGCGTGAAATAGTTCATAACTCCCAAAGTAGCCAAAAAGTTCGCAACACGTCTTTAAATTTGAAATAAGGTTGGTTGTCAACTTTTTGACCACTTTAGGTGTCACGAACTATGTGACTGCACATAGAAGACACTGATGTTATTAGCCTAATGGACTGGCTGAATCAAGATCCGAGGAACGCAGATTCGAACCCTGCCGCCGACTATTGTGGTGAACTCACTCGTAACAAGCATATTTAACTTACCACGATGCGTTTCTGGGACTTAGTTTATAAAAAATACTTAATAATAATTAAAACTTCCTTAAGGTTTTGCATCCTTTCTGCATTACTTAGTTGTCGTTTGGCGGTTTTATAATAGCAACTAATGTTTTTTTAATGTATAAGATTTGCTTAGCTTGATTTGACGAAGGGAATTGCTCCTCAAATACCTCAAATGCAAATAATTTGTGATCAAGCCACGCCCTATATCATAAGTATTATTTTAATAATTTAACTGACAGTATATTACTGTAGTATAAGAATGCCCAAATGAACTCAGCCTCTTGCCTTTATCATTTTAATGTCAGAAGCGTCGTATTCAAGCAACGATCTTTCCCGCTTAATTTTTGGAAGTGTATGATTATACCTACGCTTATCTTGTCAGTCACTAATTAACAGTAAGGGACATGTTGTTGTGTCGTATTTATTCGTAATAAATCGTTATATTCATTAAAGTCAAATTGATGGCGCCAGGTTTGACAGTACCAACGGATATTGTTAAGAGAATTTGTGTGGAAAAGGCGTTATAAATGACGATTAACTCAGTCAGTGCCTGAGGTAGCAGCGGCACGAGAGGGGTGACATTACATAATATGTTTCATGTCATAATATTATTATGACGTGACAGAGCATACAAATCTGAAGCATTTCTGCAGGCTTGCTGATATGTGACGTCTCAAAAACGCTACGACTGAGCTACGCGCTAAGGTCTAGCGTGTATAAAGCAGTGTTTTTCAACCTGTGGGTCGCGACCCCCTGGGGGGTCGCTAAGCCTCTATACGGGGGTCGCGAGAGGTCCTAAAATCCTCAGTAATAAAAACAATAATGGTAAGATAGCATTTATATGAATTATGCAAATGCATAAATGTTGTATGGATTGAAATATTCGGATCCTACGCCATCTTTGTAACATTATAAAATGCATGAAAAAAAAAGCGAGCGGTCGGGGGGTCGCAAAATATTTTTTCATACCAAAATGGTAACTTTTTGGCTAATTATGGGGGTCGCGTCATGAAAAAGGTTGAAAAACACTGGTATAAAGCATGATCTGATTGAGCACTAAATATACTTTTCAAAAACTCCGTATACCTTGTGGTTTACAAATTGAATTTTTATTATTTCTAGGAGCGATGTACGAGCCTTTCATGCGACTCCAATGGGCCATAGACACCAGCTACATTCAGATACTGACCGGCAAACCAGTGGAACAGGTGTGTTATTTTACGTATCATTACCTAACACATGGTATGGAATAAACAGCCAGCCACCCCACAGTTGGGAGTAATTTCTATGCCCTGCAAGTCAAGTCACTAGGACAACAAGAACCGGGTTTTGACATTTTGGAACCGGGTCATTATGTGGCCCGAAGAAGGGGTTCTTAATTTTATTTATTTTTATTTTATGTAATACAGAAATGCTGCTTTACTTTGCAGTAAGAGTTCTCTCAGACTACAGACTCTTATTAGCTGATAGTTTGGTCGGTTTCCAATTTGTATGAGAAATCGGCCGTAACCATTTCGGTGTAATGTGCGCACTTTCATACTGGTCCATACTGATTAACCCAACCAAACTATCGGCTGACTGAAATCTGTAATTTGCGGGGACTCTAAAGCCCGTATTCACAAGCATTGAGGTCTCACAGTGCGCGTGGACGCACCGGGTGACACACGAACCAATCGCAGAGCTCTATTCAATGCTGTGCGTTCGATTTTTTGCTTCACTTCACATACGGGCGTAATTGTTTTTGGTGTGATTACAGAATGTGGTCTTGCAAGAGTTCCCATACGTGAAGTTCTCAAAAAGCGACTCCGCCGAACTGGTGACTGCAATCCTGTTTCCCGTGTGCTGGCTGTCCTTGTTCGTCAACTTCGTGTTCCTCATGACGCGGCTGCTGCAGGAGCGAGCCAGCGGGATACAGGTAGCTCGCATACGCAGCACACAGTGACGTCACAGAGTGCCCGCGCGTGAAGCTCTCCAAGTAACTCCGCCTAGCTAGTAATTTTTATCCTAAGGTGGTCTCGTAGCTCAAATAGCCTCTTTAATGCTCATGCAAAAACCTGACAATGCAATATCATGTTGAGATAAATCTGAAGAAAGGTGAATATTTTTTTCACACAACTTCTGTTAAAAAAAAAATTAGGTCATGAAATTTTTAAAAGTTACAAATTTAATCATAACTTCTAAACTACGAAAAATCTTAACACATACACTGGGGGTGGAATCGATAGGTATGGTCCTCATCACCTGGCTTCGGCTTGACACCTTACAGGAAACACCCTGTATTATAAAGTGAATCGACATCAGTCCCAATACTTATCTTGCATTCTACAGCTTAACTTAAAAATCTCTTCTATCTTTCTTTACAGGAGCTAATGAAAATGATGGGCGTCTCCACCAATGTCCTCGGCATGACTCACGTATTCAACGTCATGGGCCCGTGCCTAGTTTACTCGGTGGGCGGAACCATACTGCTAAAGACGGGCGACTACACGCTTCTAGAAAAATCCAACGGGTTCCTGATATTCTTCGCGCTGTATTCACACTTCTTCGCCACTATCGCGATGGCGTTCGCTTGCAGCTACATCGCTAAGAGCAGTGAGTGTTTTGTTTTTCGTCGTTCGCTTGTTTTCCTTATGTAGTCAAGAGGGCGGGACCCTGCTTAAAACGGGCGACTACACACTTCAGGAAAGATCCAACGGGTTCCTGATATTCTTCGCGCTGTATTCACACTTCTTCGCCACTATCGCGATGGCATTCGCTTGCAGCTACATCGCTAAGACAGTAAGTGTTTTGTTTTTCGTCGTTCGCTTGTTTTCCTTATGTAGTCAGAAGGCGGAACCATACTGCTAAAGAGGGGCGACTACACGCTTCTAGAAAAATCCAACGGGTTCCTGATATTCTTCGCGCTGTATTCACACTTCTTCGCCACTATCGCGATGGCGTTCGCTTGCAGCTATATCGCTAAGAGCAGTAAGTGTTTTGTTTTTCGTCGTTCATTTGTTTTTTCTGGTGTACTCGGTAGGCGGCGTCTTAATCCTAAAGACGGATCCTACTACAGCCTTCTGGAAAAATCCGTAGAAAAATTAAATCAATAATGTTTTTGTCATTGTTTGTTTTTGAGACTCATGCCTTTTTTTCACCATTAATCCCTAATTTTTAAGTGACCCCTATGGTAACACTTAATAGGAGTTTTGTTTTCATAGAGGTCACTTAAATGAAGTCGGTTGAAAATAGGGACTGATGGTGAAAACGGGCATCAGTGTCATTATCAGACTTAGTGTAGTATCTTAAAATTCTTTAGGATTTTGGCTAAAGAATAAGACCTTCGTAACTCAACGACTCTGGCTTTTAATGGTAGGAAAAAGGACATTGTATAAAATTATATCACGTGCGTACCTATCTATCATCTTTGTCTCCTGCTGTTTTGTCACTTTTGTTATGTTGCAACTATACATAATGTGTTTTAAAAGTGTTTGCAAATAAACGATTTATCAAATATACGGTTTATGACTCAACAGGCATACATCAACCCAAGTGTCCAAAAAGGGTGGTTTAGCCATCTCAAATATCTATAGTGGCTCTTACCTTAATAAAGTCACCTTGAAATATAATTTCCCCCTTGAATAAGTTTCCCTTAGCCTCGAATAAGTTGAAGATGTCTGTTCTTCCAGCACAATACATCATAACCCTTGGGACTCTTGCCTACGTGGTACTGTGGGCGCCTGCTAACCTCCTCTACCAGAACAACATTCCGAAATCCCTAGTACTGGCGACCGGCTTTCTTCCCTACGCGCCTATGGGACCTTATCCTAATACACATAAAGTTGTAATTCATCATATCTTTTCTTCCAGCACAATACATCATAACCCTGGGTACCCTCGCCTACGTAGTGCTGTGGGCGCCTGCTAACCTGCTCTACCAGAACAACATTCCGAAATCCCTAGTACTGGCCACCGGCTTTCTGCCCTACGCGCCTATGGGCTGGATTTGGGCGGAGATTGGCGCCCTGGAGAAAATTGGTAAGTGGGAAAAACACCACTATGTACGGGACTATTCCCACCTCTCATTCACCTGTGTAGCCAGGAATTACGGCTTGATCTCCAATAAAAACTTAACCAGTGAATCTAAGTTTGTCTCAGGGAAAGATGAAGCATAAAAATCTTACCAATGCCGTTAAAAAACCGTTATAAACTAGCTCTGTGATTCGAAAAAGCTCATATCTGCAAACAAACTCATTTTAGGCTTACATCTAACCAGCATATCGTTTTGCTCTCACCCAGGTTGTGGTCTGATATTATTGTCTTGATGGTCATGACGTCATACTAGGTCATACACAACCAAGTAGTCTTGACGCTGGCGACCAAATTATTACAGACTAGCGCTCAGGTCCGAGCATTGCTCGACATAGATTAAGCTTATCATAAGAAATCCTCTCTCTCCCAGGTCAAGGCCTAACATTTACAACGATGATGTCGTCACACACCAACAAATCTGGCTCAGCCATCGCAGCGATGACGTTGCTGGGACTGCAAGCGGTGTTCTTCTTCGCGCTCGCGTGGTACTTCGACCACGTGCGGCCCGGCCGCTACGGGCACGCGCTGCCGTGGGACTTCCTGCTGCAGGTATGACGTCAAACGAGCCCCGCTAGGGCTGCAGCAGAGTAAATACAAATGAGTAGGTCATCTTCATAGAAATGCACCGGGCGCGGTTTGTATGTGAGCGCGCCAATACGTATGCGGCGCGCACGCACACACTGACAAAATTTAGCGGGGATTAGCGGAGAGCCAGTCGTGGTTGCGCCGAATTTTGTCCTCGCGCTGCCGTGGGACTTCCTACTGCAGGTATGACGTCAAACGGGACTATTCCCACCCCTCGTTCCCACCACTGCAACTCCTGTGAAGCCAGGATCTACAGCTCGACCGCCATAAAAACCTAACCAATGAAGGTAAGTTTGTCTCGGGGGAAAGTTAAACTGTCATTGGACCCGCAACGAAATTAATCAGAAGAACATAGGAGGAGTTCGAAATTAAGGTTTGACTTCCCTCCATTGCATGACGTCACTCGGGCGCCGCTAGGGCTGCAGGCGATGTCTCCGCGCTGCCGTGGGACTTCCTGCTGCAGGTATGACGTCATCGGGCGCCGCTAGGGCTGCAAGCGGTGTTCTTCTTCGCGCTGGCGTGGTACTTCGACCACGTGCGGCCAGGCCGCTACGGGCACGCGCTGCCGTGGGACTTCCTGCTGCAGGTATGACGTCACTCGGGCCCCGCTAGGGCTGCAGCAGAGTAAATACAAATGAGTAGGTCATCTTCATAGAAATGCACTAAGCGCGGTTTGTATGTGAGCGCGCCAATACGTATGCGGCGCGCACGCACACACTGACAAAATTTAGCGGGGATTAGCGGAGAGCCAGTCGTGGTTGCGCCGAATTTTGTCCTCGCGCTGCCGTGGGACTTCCTACTGCAGGTATGACGTCAAACGGGACTATTCCCACCTCTCGTTCCCACCACTGCAACTCCTGTGTAGCCAGGATCTACAGCTTGACCGCCATAAAAACCCAACCAATGAAGGTCAAGTTTGTCCCGGGGGAAAGTTTAAACTGTCATTGGACCCGCAACGAAATTAATCTGAAGAACATAGGAGGAGTTCGAAATTAAGGTTCGACTTCCCTCCATTGCATGACGTCACTCGGGCGCCGCTAGGGCTGCAGGCGATGTCTTCGCGCTGCCGTGGGACTTCCTGCTGCAGGTATGACCAGGCCTGTTCATCTCCGCGAGTTTACATCGAAAACAAAACAAGCACGATGGCACGCTACAGGATTACTATTCGACAAGGCCTCACATACGAGCGAGCATTGACTCACGCACGCGTATTCTTGTGTATGATGGAAAAAAATAAAGAAAATGGTGTACTAAATACTGTGCAGTATTTAACTGCCTAAATAATAATAAAAACACAGAATGTACTTTTTTAAGTTGCCTGAAGACACTGAGAGGTAAATAAGTGGTTAATATTATTCATGATAATTCATGCTTAGTCATGTATTTCCTCCGCCATTTTCTGCAGTTTGGCACCTCACGTCACACATAATTTACCGAAGTCAGCCCTATGGCTTCGACGCAGTACCGATCACTGACGTGTGTCAACAAAATGGTGCTTGACTCTTGAGACAAGCTAAATTACACCATATTGTTAATGACATTGAGCATAATTTTTTTTAAATACCTTCGCGAAGTAAACCTTCTGTAAATCTGTACGTAGTACTTATTATTATTCTGTGGTATGACGTCACTCGGGCGCCGCTAGGGCTGCAGGCGGTGTCTTCGCGCTGGCGTGGTACTTCGACCACGTGCGGCCCGGCCGCTACGGGCACGCGCTGCCGTGGGACTTCCTGCTGCAGGTATGACGTCACTCGGGCGCCGCTAGGGCTGCAGCAGAGTAAATACAAATAAGTAGGTCATCTTCATAGAAATGCACTAAGCGCGGTTTGTATGTGAGCGCGCCAATACGTATGCGGCGCGCACGCACACACTGACAAAATTTAGCGGGGATTAGCGGAGAGCCAGTCGTGGTTGCGCCGAATTTTGTCCTCGCGCTGCCGTGGGACTTCCTGCTGCAGGTATGACGTCACTCGGGACTATTCCCACCCCTCGTTCCCACCACTGCAACTCCTGTGTAGCCAGGATCTACAGCTTGACCGCCATAAAAACCCAACCAATGAAGGTCAAGTTTGTCCCGGGGGAAAGTTAATTGTCATTGGACCCGCAACGAAATTAATCAGAAGAACATAGGAGGAGTTCGAAATTAAGGTTCGACTTCCCTCCATTGCATGACGTCACTCGGGCGCCGCTAGGGCTGCAGGCGATGTCTTCGCGCTGCCGTGGGACTTCCTGCTGCAGGTATGACGTCACTCGGGCGTTGCTAGGGCTGCAAGCGGTGTTCTTCTTCGCCCTGGCGTGGTACTTCGACCACGCGCGGCCCGGCCGCTACGGGCACGCGCTGCCGTGGGACTTCCTGCTGCAGGTATGACGTCAACGGGACTATTCCCACCTCTCGTTCCCACCACTGCAACTCCTGTGTAGCCAGGATCTACAGCTTGACCGCCATAAAAACCCAACCAATGAAGGTCAAGTTTGTCCCGGGGGAAAGTTTAACTGTCATTGGACCCGCAACGAAATTAATCAGAAGACATAGGAGGAGTTCGAAATTAAGGTTCGACTTCCCTCCATTGCATGACGTCACTCGGGCGCCGCTAGGGCTGCAGACGGTGTCTTCGCGCTGCCGTGGGACTTCCTGCTGCAGGTATGACGTCATCGGGCGCCGCTAGGGCTGCAGGCGGTTCCTTCGCGCTGCCGTGGGACTTCCTGCTGCAGGTATGACGTCACTCGGGCGTCGCTAGGGCTGCAGGCGATGTCTTCGCGCTGCCGTGGGACTTCCTGCTGCAGGTATGACGTCACTCGGGCGCCGCTAGAGCTGCAAGCGGTATTCTTCTTCGCGCCGGCGTGGTACTTCGACCACGTGCGTCCAGGCCGCTACGGGCACGCGCTGCCGTGGGACTTCCTGCTGCAGGTATGACGTCATCGGGCGCCGCTAGGGCTGCAGCAGAGTAAATACAAATGAGTAGGTCATCTTCATAGAAATGCACCGGGCGCGGTTTGTATGTGAGCGCGCCAATACGTATGCGGCGCGCACGCACACACTGACAAAATTTAGCGGGGATTAGCGGAGAGCCAGTCGTGGTTGCGCCGAATTTTGCCCTCGCGCTGCCGTGAGACTTCCTGCTGCAGGTATGACGTCAAACGGGACTATTCCCACCTCTCGTTCCCACCACTGCAACTTCTGTGTAGCCAGGATCTACAGCTTGACCGCCATAAAAACCCAACCAATGAAGGTAAGTTTGTCCTGGGGGAAAGTTAAACTGTCATTGGACCCGCAACGAAATTAATCAGAAGAACATAGGAGGAGTTCGAAATTAAGGTTCGACTTCCCTCCATTGCATGACGTCACTCGGGCGCCGCTAGGGCTGCAGGCGATATCTTCGCGCTGCCGTGGGACTTCCTGCTGCAGGTATGACGTCACTCGGGCTTCAGGGAGTAGTACCTCCCCAGTTCTTCGTTAACGACCAACGACAAAAACAAATCTAACCTGTGTCACAAATGTAGTGAAAAATGTAGCAGGAGGATGATCCACAAACTACACTCAACATCAAATAAACCGCACCTTCCGAGACGCGAACTTTAAAGATTTTCTTCTAACACAATCATGGTGCCCCAACAATATTGGTGTTATTTGAAAGCTTAATAAATATGCTTAAAGAAAAACACATTTAATTTCTTAATAAATGATCAACATAATATATGAATGTGACTTGAAAAAAGACCTCACTTTGGGCTCACCTCTGGGATCAATTAGACCAAATTGTATGGTTATAAAACCAAATAATGATAACACGTGTCCTCTTTAACAGATGGATAGCGATTAATCCCAACTTAACAGTTTTATAGCCATAAAAGTTGGCTCAAGCCTAACTACTTATTTTTTGAAGAAGTGACTCTGGATCCTTCTAAAGACACATTTTTGGGGTAAAAACCTTTCCTTTAATGAAATGAAGTTTAGAACTAGGCTTCTAAATGGTGCCAATATTGGTGGGAAGTCGGGATGCATACGTTTGAAATTGCTTGTCGCGGAAGGTGCGATTTATTTGATGTTGAGTGTATAACATAAAGGCCAATCATACAACTTCAATAGATCTGTAATGCCACACGGCATTAACATTGTCTTTTATGCCTCAATTTTAGAATCAAGTGTACAGCGGCTGCCTGCGACTTCGTATGCGTGGATCCCGTTTTACCCCCTTAGGGGTGGAGTTTCGTAAAATCCGTTCTTAGTGAGCACCTACGTTCTAAAAGGAACCCCCATGTAAAATTTAAGATTCCTAGCACTAGTAGATTTCGTGATGAGTAGGTGAGTCAGTCAGTCAATCAGTGACCTTTCGTTTTTATAAAGATAGATTAAAGATTTTAAATAATTAAATTCTTTAAGTTTCTGCAAAGCCTTTGCAGCAACTTAAAGAATATTCTACGAAATAAGGTGGCCCATATTAGCAGCCGGTCCAATACATCCGACTTTCCCCTATCTTGTTAGTCGCCATCGATTGTACTTTACCCAGTACATCCATTCAAGCCGCATGTTCTCCACAGAGGTCGTACTGGGTGAAGAACAACGTGAAGCCGGACTCGGCGTCGCGGCAGCTACAACGGCCGGCGTCGCACGACGAGCGCTACTTCGAGCCGCCTGGCGCTAGGGAGGTGGGCATCAGCGTGCATAACGTTACCAAGGTATGTACTCTATCCTAAAGTCTGTTCGCCGAGAGTATAAAAAAAAATATCAGAGGTTCTAAACTCATTATAAATTGCGGCCCGCTAATTATTTTTGTCGATATAATGAAAAAGTTGGTAGATTATCATTATTATCTCTTTTTTTACGGGAATTATTCCGGTTAGGGCATACGTGGGGATACGGATCAAACACGTGGCGTCCATGTGTTGGATAAAAAGTATTTCATTATTATCAAGTGGCTTATAGTGTATCCCAATGTTGGGCAAAGCCCTACCCACTGTCATACTATTCATTTCGGTCTTATGTAAAATAAATCTATTCCGTTTCACACATTGCGTTTCACACATTGCGGCCCGCCGGCCGGGGCGCTTGACGGCAGCTGCGTGGCTCGTACCATGGTACTCAGTGCGCGTTGATTTATCGACTCTCGGCGAACAGACTTTACACTAATATTACAAAGAGGAAAGAGTTGATTGAATATTTGTTTGGATTCGTTCGTTTCAGCCGAAAGACGTTCACTGCTGGACAAAGGCCTCCCCCAAGGATTTCCACAAAGACCGGTCCTGCGCCGCATGCATCCAAGCGCCTCCCGCGACCTTCAGCAGATCGTCGGCCCACCTAGTGGGAGGCCTGCCCACGCTACGTCTTCCGGCTCGTGGTCGCCACTCAAGAACTTTCCTGCCCCAGCGGCCGTCAGATCTACTAAATATTAAATGAATTGCTTCTGCGTTAGTCGGAACTTTTGCTCATAGGGATGGAACATAAACAATCGCAATAAATCAGTAATCGGCATGGTGGTCATCTTACCATCGAATCACGATTATTATCTCAGGCAGGTCAAAGCTAAGTCAGTACGTGTGCGTTTGCCTTTGATGACGGTTTTGTTTTGTGCGATTTCTCCACGTATTGTTTGTTATTGTTATTTTGATGTTTTATTGAATAAAATGCATATGTTTAATTCTTTGTGATTCATTTTGTACCACTAAGAATATTCACGTTTATTCCATTTCCAGATCGTTCAAATTCATAGATATAATTTTGATCAAGATTATAAACCAAACAAATAAAAGGCGATTAGATTTCTATACAAAATATTCTCGATTCTAAAAAATATCGATTAGGTTTATAAGGAGCGCCTCACTAAATAGAACTGTCATAATCACCATCTTACGCTGAATGGACTATAATGTTTTTTATAAACTTAATAATAATAATAATAATAAGATCTCAAGTTGTTCGCACCAAAACGACAAGACCTGGTGAAGTTGCTAAAAACCACACAGGTATTTAGCAACGCCATCAGGATGGAGTTTGGTGTAGACAAGTGTGCGGTCTTACATGTAGAGCGGGGAAAAGTTGTGAATTCCCCGAATTTACAACTTTCTGAGACAATGACACTCAAATCTCTCTCCGAAACTGAGACCTATAAGTATCTTGGTATGTCAGAATCGTTAGGTATATCTGTAGAAGACATCAAAAAATCGGTGAAAGAACGCTTTTGTAGCCGACTGACAAAAGTTCTTAATAGTCTTTTGTCTGGCGGCAACAAAGTAAGAGCTTTCAACGGTTGGGTGATGCCTCTATTGATATACTCCTTCGGCATACTAAGATGGACTCAGACTGAACTTGACGCCCTGGATAGGAAGGTACGTCAGCAGCTCACACAACATCGCATGTTACATCCGCGTTCATCTGTGATGAGACTGTACATTCCACGGAAGTGGGGTGGTCGAGGCTTTTTAAATGCCAAGAACCTCCACAACCGTGAAGTGTGCAGTCTCAGGGATTATTTCCTTGCCAATGAGTGCGGAATGCATCGCGATGTTGTGGCAGTTGACAAAGGCCTCACGCCGCTCTCCTTGGCGAACGAGAACTGGCGCAAGCCAAAGGTCCTGAGCGTCGCGGATCGGAAGGACGTATGGAAGAGCAAGGAGCTGCACGGGAGGTTCTATCGGGCCCTTACAGGTCCTGATGTAGACCTCCTCGCCTCGGTGAACTGGCTACGCTTCGGTGACCTCTTTGGGGAAACCGAGGGTTTTGCTTGTGCAATTGCTGACGAGGTCATGATGACGAACAATTACCGAAAATATATCCTGAAGGACGGTACGGTCGACATTTGTCGAGCATGCCACCGTCCCGGAGAGTCACTCAGGCATATAATTTCTGGTTGTTCGCATCTTGCTAACGGTGAGTACTTGCACAGGCATAACCTAGTAGCCAGAATCATCCATCAGCAACTTGCTCTTCAGTACGACCTTCTTGAATCTGAGACGCCTTATTACCGATACCAGCCGGTGCCAGTTCTCGAAAATGGTCATGCATTGCTCTATTGGGATCGTTCTATCATCACAGACAGGACTATTGTCTGTAATAAGCCTGATATTGTGGTGGTTGACCGATCCCAACGTCGGGCAATGCTCGTTGACATTACCATCCCGCATGACGAAAACCTCGTGAAGGCCGAGAAGGAAAAGCAAAGCAAATACCTTGACTTGGCCCACGAGGTGACCGCCATGTGGGATGTTGACTCGACGATCATTGTCCCGATAGTTGTCTCGGCAAACGGGCTAATAGCGAAGAGCTTCGACCAACATCTAAAGAAGCTCTCGCTGGATGGTTGGCTCAAGGGTCAGATACAAAAGGCGGTGATCCTCAGCACGGCACGCATTGTCCGGAGGTTCCTCAGCCTGTGACCCTACCACCGGTAGCTTGGGCCCTGCTCCGCTACCAGCGGAATAACTATTTTTAAGTATTTTTTTATAATGTATTTTTATTTATTTTTTTTTTGATAATTTACATTGTAAAAAAATATTTAAAATTAAGAACCAAGGTTAATAAAGAGAATAATAATAATAAATCATTTATTTGCTCAGAAACATGGTAACAAAATGGTCGATAGAAAATGTCAAGTCCAACATGTTTTGTCCAGGGTAGGCATGCAAATTTTACAAAATTAGAATGTACATATTAATAACAATAATAAATTAATTAAAAAATTGAAGTCATTATAGGTACACAAATCAATCACTCAGAAATTCTTTGACAGTATAAAAACATTTATCAACTAACCATTCATAAAGAAATTTTTTAAATTGGTTATCTTTTAGACTACGACATTTGGTTTTCGTGATTCATCATTATAATTTCTATGACACTCTACTGCTAGATTTAAGGAATCCGCCAAGGACAAAGCTTATAAAAACATACTTAAACATTGAGATTAAATAGGAAACACACAAACCTTGGCGTGGCTCCATTACGTACCTTAATATCATGTATTTTCAGATGTTCCCAAAACAACGCGCGCTAAACGACGTGTCTCTGGACGTATACAAAGGCGAAATCACCATCCTGCTGGGACACAACGGGGCTGGAAAAACCACGCTCATGTCCATAATCACTGGTAAGTACAATATTATAGAATGTTCCTTCATTTTCTTGTATTTAGCCAAATATAAATATGAAATAACCGCAAAATGATTTTGGACAATATAGTGTAATTTACCTTGTCTCGGAGTCAAGCACCATTTCGTTTACGTACGTCAGTGATCGGTACTGTGCCGATGCGATAGCACTGACTGTTACAATAAGCTGTGTCACTATCTTGGGCACCACACGCGTATTTTTTCTTCTTTCCATAGCGAATTATTTTTTTACAATGGGTGAAGAATACGCGCGCGTCCATTACTCACTAGTCGCTCGTGAATCCCTTGTGGATTAAACCCACCGGCGGGTACGCCGCGTGTGTTTTGTTTTCGAAGCCTACGCGGGGAGTTGAACAGATTTGTAGCCTTATTCACGTTACAAAACTTCAACGACAACAAAATACTGAGTTGCGATCCTATCGAGTATCAAAATGATCCTTGTGAATACGGATTTAGAACTGGTTTTCAATGGGACTACTTAATAAAACTTCAATGACAACAAATCGCTGAGTTGCGATCCGATCAAGTAATCGTTCTATCAAAAATGACCCTTGTGAATACGGATTTAGAACTGTTTTTCAATGGGACGACTTCTGAACGTCAGCGAGATCTTGCTGTCAAAATACGTGAAATAAGCCACTGGTTCCAGTGCCGTACCTATACCATCCGAGGCCCGTGGCAAATTCTGTGCATGGGGCCCTTGGTTAGGTTATTTTTCNGGGGGGGGGGGTATCGTGGGGGCATCGCAAGGGGAGGATTAGGGTCGAGGGCCCGTGGCATTTTGCCAGCTCTGCCATAGTTACACCACTGCCTTGTTCTATTGTGAAATGTAACGTCCTCCCACAGGTATGATCGGCCCAACGTCAGGCAAGGTCCTGGTGAACGGTCTAGACATGGCATCAGAGAAGGAGGCAGCACGGCAGCACATCGGGCTGTGCCCGCAGCATAACCTGTTCTTCCCAGACCTCACTGTACTGGAGCACGTCATGTTCTTCACGCTGGTATGTATCTAGAATAGTTAAAGATTATGGCAATTGCATACCGTTCTCAAAAAAAATCAGAATTATCAAAAAAACGACGAAGTTGACTTTGATATGACATCAGTTACATGATATACAAGAACAGCATAGAAGCTTATATCTGGGGGTAATTTAATTAGTCTAAACAAACAAAGAAAATTTAGATTTTTGATTTTACTGCATTTCGAGCAAAAAAGCAGCACAGCCGTGCCATCGTTTCTATAACTTCGTTGTGGACAAAACTAGAATAATGCATTTTCAGTCATTTACCTTATTTGGAGGGGTTAACAAAACTATTGGTACCTATTAGGACCAGTAGGTCCAGTAGGTTACTAATAAGTAATCAAAGTGCCTTCTGCACATTAGACGACTAGGCCGCGCGAACAAATAAAAAAAAAACATATTTCGCTGGCCGCAACGACCCGGCTTGGACGCCTAATGTACGAAGGCACTGAAAAAGTGACCAAAAGAACGTTTAGAACACTAACCAACATTTAACTTCCAGCTCAAAGGCTCATCCTTCTTCGAAGCGCGAATCTCTTCTCTGGCTCTACTGGACAAACTGGGCATCAAAGCCAAAGCAGACAATATGAGCGACGAACTATCCGGCGGCATGAAGCGGCGACTTCAGCTGGCGTGTGCACTTGCTGGGAACGCGCGAGTGCTTATACTGGACGAGCCCACGTCTGGACTGGACGTGGAGACACGCCGGGAGCTGTGGGACTTGCTACTGGTATGTGGATGTCGCTTACTATGGGCCTCATAAGAAGGCTCAAGGTCACCCAAAGGGCGATGGATCGGGCTATGCTCGGAGTTTCCCTGCGTGATCGAATCAAAAATGAGGAGATCCGCAGGAGAACCAAAGTGACCGACATAGCTCGCAGAATTGCTAAAATCAAGTGGCAGTGGGCGGGGCACATAGCTCGTAGAGACGATGGCCGTTGGGGCAGAAAAGTTCTCGAGTGGCGACCACGGGCTGGAAGACGTAGCGTGGGCAGGCCTCCTACTAGGTGGACCGACGATCTGGTAAAGGCACGGCAGCCACTGGCTGGGAACGCACACTTGCTCATACTGGACGAGCCCACGTCTGGGCTGGATGTGGAGACGCGCCGGGAGCTGTGGGACTTGCTACAGGTATGTACAGCGTGCTATGGAAAGGGCTATGCTCGGTGTTTCTTTACGAGATCAAATCAGAAATGAGGAGATCCGTAAACAAACTGAAGTCACTGATATAGCCCGACGGATTAGGAAGCTGAAGTGGCAATGGGTAGGGCACATAGTACGCAGAACTGACGGTCGATGGGGTAACAAGGTTCTGGAGTGGAGGCCACGTACCGGAAAACGCAGCGTGGGACGTCCACCCACAGGGTGAACCGACGACCTGATAAAGGTAGCAGGAAGGCGCTGAATGCAGGCCGCTACCAACCGTGCGATGTGGAAGTCATTGGGGGAGGCCTATGTTCAGCAGTGGACGTCCTATGGCTGAAATGATGATGATGTATTCCGAACGACTGTGAGAGTAAGCTGTCCAGCGGCATGAAGCGGCGATTACAGCTGGCTTGTGACTTGCTGGGAACACGCGCGTGCTCATACTGGACGAGCCCACGTCTGGGCTGGACGTGGAGACGCGCCGGGAGCTGTGGGACTTGCTACTGGTATGTACTCCGAGCGACCGTGAGAGTAAGCTGTCCAGCGGCATGAAGCGGCGACTACAGCTGGCTTGTGACTGGCTGGGAACGCGCGAGTGCTCATACTGGACGAGCCCACGTCTGGGCTGGACGTGGAGACGCGCCGGGAGCTGTGGGACTTGCTACTGGTATGTGGTCGCTTACTATGGGCCTCATAAGAAGGCTCAAGGTCACCCAAAGGGCGATGGATCGGGCTATGCTCGGAGTTTCCCTGCGTGATCGAATCAAAAATGAGGAGATCCGCAGGAGAACCAAAGTGACCGACATAGCTCGCAGAATTGCTAAAATCAAGTGGCAGTGGGCGGGGCACATAGCTCGTTGAGACGATGGCCGTTGGGGCAGAAAAGTTCTCGAGTGGCGACCACGGGCTGGCAGGCCTCCTACTACGTGGATCGATCTGGTAAAGGCACTGCAGCCACTGGCTGGGAACGCACGCTTGCTCATACTGGACGAGCCCACGTCTGGGCTTGACGTGGAGACGCGCCGGGAGCTGTGGGACTTGTTACTGGTATGTATTTGAAGCGACCAAGAGAGTAAACTATCTGGCGGTATGAATTTAGTAGAATAGGACTACTTTCACTCTTCCCGTAGATGTAGTAAAATACCAAGGGTCCAATATGCTAACATTAGCAGGTCTAAGATGCGTGTCGCGATAAGCTTTTATTGCGCCATTTTATAGATTTTACGCGATAAACCATACTTTTGTCGTCTAAAAACGTATGTGTTTTTTACATAGTCGCTGCGAGGCTCTCGCACCGTCCTGCTGTCGACTCACTTCATGGAGGAAGCTGACGCTTTAGGCGACCGCGTGGCGGCGCTGCACGCCGGCCAGCTGCGATGCCACGCCACGCCCATGTACCTCAAGAGAGCCTTAGGTAATAATACCACCTATTACAACTACATAAGATACCACTTAATACTACTTAAAGCTTCCACAGACCAAACGCAAGTCCGAAGCAGTGCGGGTCAGTTGCAGCGCGGCAGTAGGCACACTGAAAGCAGCGCAGTTTCAGAGCAGTTGAACCGCGGGCGGTTGTCAAAAATTTCAATATTCGAAAACATGTGTCATGCTAATATGGCCGCCATAGTAATACAACAGCGCGGGCCCGCGTTCGCACCGCTTCTGTCCCGCACCCGCGCCGCCTCTTTTGTCGTTCGGCAGTTGCAGTGCGGCGCGGTTGGAGCGCGGGCCCGCGTTCAAATCTGGTGTGACTCACTTCAAAGAGTTTCTTGTATTACAACTTGCGTGGGCCCGCATTCAAACTGCGCTGCTACTGCCCCGCGTTTGGTCTGCCCAAGCCTTTAAGCGCCCTGGAAATACTAAAAAAGGTACTAATAAAAGCTTCGACTTTGACTTGATTGAATCTTTATGAAATGTCATTACAACAGCACATTCAACTATACATTTTCTTTGCAAATTCGTACTTATTGCAATTAGATAAGTTGGCACAGTGTTCAGATTAATGTGCCTATCTTCCTTTAGATAAGGAAACCCCCTTGCAATTTGCACAAAACCAAGTGCAAAATGAAGATTTAATTCTGTACGGTTCTTATACCATAGACAGCTGTCGATTCTCTTAACGGAATACGCTATTTATAGCGATTATTCTCAGGATATGCTTTGCATGGCACGCAACCGTCATCGGTCTGATTTAGCCAAGTCGTGACGCTTATGGCAGCTAATGAAAGTCATTTAATTTCAAAAATTGTCTAGTCTTTAGCATAGTGTTAGGAAGACGTAAAACCAGATCTCCATTAAATACTTCTTAGTGAAACTAATGTATGTATCAATCTCTACAGGCACCGGCTACCGCCTCACCTTCACCACGATCGGCCAGCCCAAAGAAGACCCTATGACCAACGTAATACAGTCCATAGTTCCGGATGCCGCCGTCAAGGAAACCACCATCAACTCGATATCGTACAACCTTCCCGCGGCAAGCAGCAAGCATTTCCCGAGCCTGTTCACTAAACTGGAGTCGCAACGATCGGAACTGGGAATTGACTCAATTGGAGTTGGGATAACCACGCTTGAGGAGGTGTTCTTAAGGTCAGTATTCCTTTGTCTTTTATTTATCGAGCTAAGTACACACTAAACCCTGGTCCGTGAGCACGTAGAATTTTGTCCAATGACCCCAAGCTATCCATCCTTATCGCTCGCGCGTAATTATGTTGCTGTCGCGCTCGCACTCTCATTGCGGGCGCCCGTCGCACAGTCGCGACAGCAACATAATTACGCGCGAGCGATAAGGATGGGTAGCTTGGGGCCATCCTACAAAATTCTACGTGCTCACGGACCAGGCCTTAGAAAAATGTTTCGTATTTGAATTTGTTACTTTGAAGTCCTGTCTACGACGGAACTTTTTGATTTATTGGCGTTCCATCACAGATCTGCTGTTTTGGATTCCAGCTTAATGTATAGGACTAGCATAAGGCTTTAGAAACTTCTTGCAACCGTCGCTCTTACTCAATTTAAATACTAAGGCCCAGAACAGACGGTGAAACGCAACTGCAACGAAACTGCAACTTTGTAATGATTCTGATGAATGAAACTGAAACTGAAAGTTTCAAACTGGTCGCGTCATGTGTGGTCTCTCAACGGACGCTATGGCAGAAACTTAGATGCAACTCCAAAGCAACTAGCAGTTGCAGTTTCATTGCAGTTGCGTTTATTAAACGTCTGTTCTGGGCCTTAGTCAACTTGTATCGGTTTATCTAAAATCACATATTTATTCGTTCGAAACAGCATCTCAAGGTAAGTAATTATGGTGAGCAAATGTCGTCGAAAAGACAGTATTTGAAGCATTTACACTGTTAACCAAATTAGACCGTTGGGAGTTGAACTTAGACTCCACAGTCTTACCGTTCTTGAGGTCAAACTTAAATGTGTGTAATCTAACAACCACAAAAATATTCATTCACATTTTAGTGTAGTCCGCATCAAGCCGAGCTAAAGCGAGTTGTTTTTAAACTGTTTTATTTTAAATTTATTTCTAAAACTACCGCGAACTTTCTTTACGAAGACGTAATAAATCGATGCCTCACACTTTTTTTCATATGGTCGGCACGCAGCTCAAAAGAGTTCAACTCCAGTGTGGTACACCAGCGCCCTCTAAATCGCAAATTTTGCTCAGCTTTGGTGAAATCGCACCTTTATAGCTCATTATCGTTCCTCTGATATCAACAGGTTCGTACCGGCACGTTTGTATTTCCCGCCACTAGTTCGCAGCTTGTACCAACATGTTATGGAACATTAAAAAACAAATTGTCATCGGCACATCGTCAAATCTGTCAATTTGTTTCATTCTCTCGACCGGAGCGCAATTGAACACAGTTTATAATTATGGTATCTGCAATCGGGAATATAGAAATAAACCTGTAAAGGCTGCAAGAAATATATTTCATCGCTGAAACTACAGGGAGAAGTTGGAAAAGTGTGGCAATAGCGAAGATTATTGAAGATTTGCTGAGCTGATTTTTTCTTACTCGATTAAAACGCATATCATCGTGCGGCAACGGCGCATGTGCGTAATTAGAAATCGATTTGAAGCCTTTTCAAGAACATAAGTATAAGCATCTGTGTTTGTTGTTTCAAGCCGTATTCGGATCAAACTTGAACATCACTATGACGGCTGATAAGGAAGTCGTAAATAGCTACAATTTTAATTTGAAGCGGCAAGATGATGAAGAGTCTTTCGAGGAATTTTACGAAAAAATACAAATCATGGCGGAGGGCTGCAACTTTGGTGAATCCAAAGATAGGATGCTGCGTGACAAAATTGTCGTCGGGATAAATAACCAGCGGGTGCAGCAGAAGCTTATGGTCATTGAAAAATTGACGTTGGAGCAAGCGGTGGAAATTTGTCGGGCTGCGGAGAAGGCGTTTGGTTACTCCAGGGTGCTGACGAGCTTTGAACAGCAGGCGATGCACAAGAGGAGGCTACGTCGCGAGCTCGTCGCCGGATTAGAAGAACTCGCCAAGTACATCAATAGCTACGAGTGTCCCTGTGAACGGGAGTACTATGCGCACAGAAGGTGCTACAGATACAAGCCTTTTGAGATTCTGACTAGCAGTACTAATACGGAATACAGGCATGGGTCTTAAGTTTATTGTAGTTTAGTTAGTATTGATTTTAAATTGTAAATACATGTAAGTATTTCTTTTAGTTACGAATATATCGGTTGAGGTGGCTGAGTTTCTTGCGCCACTTCTTCTCAGCGCCAGCCGATATATTATCCCTGAAGTGGCGGTAGGGCAAGTAACATCTGGGATATTTTGTCTTGTATAGGATAAGTTATGAAATATTGCTAGCATTTTAAGATATTGCGCAATGTAAAAAAGACTCCTATTTACACACCATAAGCATTTGTAATATGTCCACCTAACATCATAAGTTTCTAATTTAACCATAATTTGTTTGTAATATATTTATTTAGTGTATATATTTGGCAAGTTATATTTTCTTTATAAAAATGGCTCAATGTAAAAATTAAAGATTTTTGTTACCATGTCGATAGGTATGTATATTATGTAAAAATGATTTTGTATCTTTGTATTATAATGTTGTCATCTTAATGATAAATAAAAAGTTTATGAATACAAAATAAACATCTGAAGACTATAAGAAATGTCTTTTATTGAAAAAAAATCTATATTCCTAAAGTGCCTTCATGGCTTCACAGTGTCTAGTAGTCACAGTAATGTAGTATGTTCAGCGACATAGCCTTTTTATTGACCTTCATTCCGAAAATCCCAACTAATATTATAAATGCGAAAGTAACTCTGTCTGTCTGTCTGTCTGTCTGTTACGCTTTCCCGCTTAAACCTCGCAACCGATTTTGATGAAATTTGGCATAGAGATAGTTTGAGTCCCGGGAAAGAACATAGGATAGTTTTTATCCCGGTTTTTGAAACAGGGACGCGCGCGATAAAGTTTTTCTGTGACAGACAAAATTCCACGCGGGCGAAGCCGCGGGCGGAAAGCTAGTTTACTATAAACTTACTCTTCTACGTAACGTCGGCTCTCAAACGTTTTCGCCTTATTGCACCAGTATTTTTAGTTTTCAAATAAATGCCCCTGCTTTTGACGAATCGTGATTAATTTAAATTATTTGCCTAGTGAACTAATTTCCGTGCTTTTAAGCGAAATATTATTGGCAGGTTAGCTACCATGATAGGTAGTTAATGCTTACTATCCGTGGTGTCTAACATTTCACAAAGGATACATAAACCTTTGTTTGTCACCTGTCTTTCATCCGCTTTGCTTTGGAAGTCGATCCTTGACATCGAACTCCTCCTATGGTCTTTTGATTAATCTTCTTGCGGGTCCAATGACAGCTTAACTTTCCCCTGGGACAAACTTGACCTTCAAGCTGTAGATCCTGGCTACACAAGAGTTACACCGGTGGAACGAAAGCTGCTAGTCGTGTGTCCTGTTTTGACAAAACATGAAAACACATTTAAATGAAATCTACTATCATCTATACCTTTTATGAATCGAAATAGTGGCTTAATAGCCAGATTCTGAAGAAACCCGAAAATACGTAGTCTGCGACTATTGATTTTTATAAAAGCGTCTTCGACATCTTCGAGAATTGTTATTCAATCGACCATTCTTTGTCTGAAAGGTCAGTCTTAAAATAGCTTCTTGTTTGAATACTTAGATCAGTAGAAAGGCACAAGATTATGAAAACATTTATTTGCTTAAGGGCTGATTTTTCAATCGTCAGATAACTTTTATCTGAAGAATAAGTTTGGCACATTGACAGTTTAAGTATGGGAAATATGTGAAAATGACAAGTTTATTCTTCAGTTAAAAGATATGTAACGATTGAAAAATTTGCTTTAAGGGCCGATTTTTCAATCGTTAGATAACTTTTAACTGAAGAATAAGTTTGGCACATAGACAGTTTTAGTATGGGAAATATGTTAAAAAGACAAGGTTATTCTTCAGAAAAATCAGACCTAAAACAAATATCATGTTTTGCTTACACGAAGCAGCCATTGATAACATTGAGCTGTAGACCGATTTTGATGATCCTACGTTTTTTTCACAGATTATGCAGTGACGTCGACACTTCGCGCTCGCAAGATGAACTTGACGGCAATCTTGGAGGCATGCGTAAGTAATTGCATCTTAACAATTAAACACTAAGGCTGGGTTGCATCATCTTACTTCAACATTGACAAACGTCAAAATTCTGTCAAACTCCATTAACTTTTAAGTAGTGACCGACCGAATATTCGTTTTCGTTTTCGGCCATTTTCGGCCAAAAAATGGACATTCGGCCATATTTTCGTTTTCGGCCAAAAACCAGCCGAAGCTTCGGCCAAACCGAATATCAAAAATACGTGAATAAGATGGTGACGTTTATCGTTCCGATATCTTCGGGAGTGCATCTGGTGCACTCATGGTTCCAATCAGACTTGAACGGACGCGGTATTATCACACTCTTTTGAAGTTTTGAAGTGAGGTTACGTTGTAAAGGGTGTCCAGCAACAATTTTCCAAGTTCAAAATTGAATACAATAAACCCAAAGAGTTTTCATTAAGTTTAATTGTTTCAAAATAATACGCCATGAGTCACTGGTGCCTACAGAGTGTTCGCAGTTGAGCAATAAGTATTTGAAATGTATTGTATTGTCGAATGATCGATGAATGTCTGATACCACAACTGCAACTGCATCCCGGTCAACTACGTAACTCTATTTAAGCAAGAAGGTGTCTCACCACACACGGAGAGTACCTCGATGGAGACACTGAGGACTATTTTTTTTTTTTTTCAAATAAATGATCAGCAAGTACAGGGACATACCCTAGGCGCCTCGGTCACCAGATCTCACACCATGCGACTTTTTCTTGTGGGAATATCTCAAGTCAAAAGTTTACAGCAAACAATCCTTAAATAATTCAGGTTCTGTAAGAAAATATCCGCCGTGAAGTTGCAGGAAAATTATTAGCGCGATTTGCTCTCGCATAGTTGCGAATGTAAGGGTCCGACTGTGAGAGTGCCTATAGTAAAACGGGCATCATTTAGAAGACATTGCCTATAAAAAATTTAATCCACATTGTTAAACTCCAGTTTGCATTAGTAATAAATAATAAAAAATCATTAATTTATTTGTATTCATTTTTGAAGTTAAAAAATTCCCACTGGACACCCTTTATTTCTTCTTCACTTCCCAATATTTCAATATACACCGGAAATAATATTCTACTAAGAATTTCATGATATTTTTTTTTGTGTTTTAATGCCGGTTTCTATAATCAATCTATCAAAATCAACTGTCAAACGTCATTATGTTTTTGGTCAAAACATTAACGGTTTTCAAAGTTTTTACATAATTTCAGATTGAAATTTGAGAGTTGAAGGTCATTTTCGTTTTCGTTTTCGTTTTCGGCCGAAAATGAGACTGCAGCCGAAGCTTCGTTTTCGTTTCCGTTTTCGGCTGAAAATCCATATTCGGTCGGACACTACTTTTAAGTTATTACATTAGTACGGTATTTTGCAGCTTCAGAGCCAACGTTCAACATTCTCTCCGGACCGCGCCTGTACATTCGTCAAATACTGATGCTGATGAAACGTCAATTCCTCTTCCTATGGTACAAGAGGATGTATTTCTTCAGTTTGGTAAGTTATTACAATATTATATTATTTTTAAAAGGTCAGCATGCGTATTAAACAACGTAGTAGGAATATGTAGATGTTGCCTTAGTTGAATCGTAAAAATGTACTGTATGCCCTTGATGTACAGTCCTTTTTAGCTGGGCACGACTTTATCTAAAAACGATAAATCTCACTAAATATGATCGCAGGGTCAACCATCCATTAATGACCGCGGCGTAGGTTTCTTAACTTTAGTGATCGCCACCAAAGCGCTACCGCCTCTAAGCCACAAGCCCCTGGAATTAATAGTACAGCAGTTTTTTTGTCTTTTTGCTATTTATTATCTAGTGTTAAAGGCCGGTAGATCCGTTCTCATAAATAAAACACTAGATATATAACTTTCACATTATATTGCCTCATTTATAAAATACAATTCATCACTTAGCACAAAAAAGCGGGGAGTAGTCCGCGCGCGACCCTCTAATCTGACATTTCTAGGTTCAATGTCACTATGACATCAGCTCATTAGCTATAACGATACCGTTATTTTAAAGTGTTATATTTGTCACAATTAACACTAGATAATACAAAGGGATCATAATTTATTACAGCAAGTACTAATCCCAGTGCTTCTAATGTGCACATTCACGCTGAATTCCAACAACGCGGCCACGGGCGACGTTGACAACCCTGCTTTGGCCATGAACCTGGATGTATACAAGGATATGCCTGGATACAGGGTGCTCTACGACCTGCCCAAGGGCGAAGCCTCCTTGAAGCCGATGGACGACTACCCTAACGTGAAGTTTGAGGAGACTGGTGATGTCAATGAAGGTATGGGTCAGCAATTGACAGAGAACTGTGACTCATATTTACCCGACTACGCCAGAAGGAGGATTATGTTTTTTCCATCATATTTTAACGTCTGTATTCACAAACATTACTATGAGGTCACACAGTACGCGTGGATCCACAGGGTGACATATGAACCAATTACAGAGCTGTATTCAATACTGTGCGTTCGATTTCCTGCTTCACTTAAGCAAGCGTCGTTTGAGAATACGGGTGTATAATAATATCTTCTTTACTTATCATAGGGTCGCAAACATTTAACATGTAGGTAGGTACCCTTAAATAGTTGTAAACACTTTGTTATCCCTTAAAACCGAGTTAGTTTAGAAATTTGCTGTACGATTAGGTTTTACTAGCATTGAAATCAATAAAAAATTAATCAATCTTGTTCGTGGTTTAACACAGACTACAGTAAATCAAAATAAATGCATGTCTGTTGAAATATCTCCCACTATTTTACATCTACATGAGATACCATAGTTTTTGCTTAACATGCCGTTGTCTGTACATCAAGATAACAACATTTCAATATATTTTGTTTTTGTTTTAGCGGTTCTAAGCGCTGGCAGGCGTAGCGTGTTGGAATACAACCAATATCTGGCTGGAGTGGAACTCAACGACACTGAAGCGAAGGTAATATTGATATTGATATGATTTTTACACCAATTTCACTCCTATTCTTTTCATCGTTAGGTATATTTTCCTAATTAACATCTCATTATCATCAACAGCCCCTTTACAGTCCACTGCTGGACCATGAGCCTCCTCCACTATAGTGGAGGGTTTTGCCATAATCTCCACGCTTGGCAGGCGGGTTGGAGATCGCAGCTTAAAAGATTGATGTTATTCAGAGAGCGCTGCTGCCCATTCTCTGTTTGATGTGTAGTCCCTAAGTCGCCTCTTACGACACCCGCGGGAAGAGTAGGGGTTGGTGACAAATGTATTCTACTCTGCCGTCACCACACGGCTTGTTGATCACTAATAGCGACATAGATGGTCATCCGTGGTGTGAAATGTTCAGTTGTTTGTTTCAGCCAAATGACGTCCACTGCTGGATAAAGGCTTCCCCAAGGTTTTCATTGGATGCGGACAGTGCAAGACAATGAAAGGTCTTGCACTGCCCGCATCCAGGCTCTTCCCGCGACCTTTACCAGTAGGCCTAAGATGCGCGCCGTGATAACTTTTATCGACGTCAAAATGTATGGGCAAAATCGATAAAATGGCGTGATAACCGCTTATCGCGGCGCGCATCTTAGGCCTACAGATCGTCGATCTACCTAGTATGAGGCCTGCCTGTCAAACTATAAACAAGGTTATATTGTTGACTATAGTCTATCCAATATAGCTTGATTAGAATGACAGCTGTCATCAAAAGTAACGACATAACTTTGTAGTAGCGATCAATGAGAGCTAAATATTGGCGGACAAGAAATAATTCACGTCTGACCTACAAACAATATTTTCGACGACAGTGCTTCCAATAAAAATGATAATTTCGTGTAAATGCAGCGTTAAATGACACCAATAAGTAGTAATTCGAAATTATAAAAATCAAGCTAGAGTATTGACGACGTCTCTACAAGGTTATCTCGAGTTACAAAAATGTTAGTGTTGGGACATATCGACAAATGTCATATTAAATTAAAACCATGGGGTCCAAGCGCTCGTTCCTTTTATAAGGAACTGGCAAAGAGGCTTACCGAGGTGACCGGTGATCAAAAGGCTGGCAGCTATTTCGGCCAGAAAATTAGCCTGGCCATTCAACGTGGCAATGCTGCCAGCCTTTTGGGCACCATTCCTGATTGCGGCGCTGGGAGTGAAGTATTTTTTATTTTGTAAATATTTTTTATCATTAGTAATTTTAAAATTTTAGTTTTTAAGTCATTTTAAATTAAAACTATTTTTTTAACATATTTAACATTTTTTTTAACATATTTAAGTCAAGTTATACGTTTTTCTAAATGTTCACTATTAAAAACCAAAAAACATTTCATTCTTAAAATAATCAAACATCGGAAATCAATCACCGGTAATTTTTTGGGTATTCATAGCACCGTTGCTCTAGAAGAGATGCCCACCGCCCTCTAGCGAGAGGAGAAAACCACTGAAGAACACTGATGATAATGACTACGACTTAGGTTGTACACCCTTGATATGAATTTTAAATTTTACTGTCTTTAAATTTAAATCATAATTGTCATTTTCATGAATAAAGATATATGAAGAAAAATTGGGTGCATTTTTTCATATCATTTTTTCGAAAACTTATCGATACATCTATGTGAACCGTACGAAACATACCCATCACTAGTCACATTCGTGTGACAGGCGTCATTCTAATCAAGCTATATTGGATAGACTATAATCTTAGGGCCTACACACGTTATACTTTTAACGAGCTGACGATCCACGATGCCATCCTCTTGCACGAAGCTGTAGATTTTCTGTTGAAACATGTAAAACCAATTAAATTGTTTACAGGTGATGTACACAACATTAGTTCGCCACGCAGCGCCCTCAGCTCTGAACCTTTTGACGAACCTACTAGCAGCGCGAGTTTTACCCTGGGCTGGCGGCAAAACGCTCACCACCATCAACCACCCCTTACCAGGCGCGCAAGTGCCGTATATGACGGATACCATCGTGCAGCCTAAGGCCATGGTGAACTCTGTCACTTGGGGCGTGATCTTGGTGTTTGGTGAGTTACCTACGATATTCGTCACAGCTTCAGATATCCTATCGAACTGGAATCAATCGCGTGCTACACTGGGTGAGCGGCAAAATGCTCACGACCATTAACCATCCTCTGTCAAGCGACAAACTCTGTCACATGGGGCGTGATCTAGGTCTTTAGTGAGTTATCTATGATATTCGTCGCAGCTTCAGATATCCTATCGAACTGGTGGTACCTTGCTTGAGCGTACCGTGCTCGAGCTATCTTGAGTGAGCGGCAAAATGCTCACGACCATTAACCATCCCCTGTCAAGCGACATGTGATGTGCGCTACACGACGAACACGTGAACACTATGGTGAACTCTGTCACTGGGGCCGTCATTTTGGTGTGTACTACCCTGGGTGAGCGGCAAAATGCTCACTATTATTAGACCACACATTGCTATAAATACTTTTCCAAAAACTTATTTAATAACACAATCTTTTTATCTTCTTTTGCTAAGAAACATCTTAATGGTCTTAAGAGGAATGGAATCATTCCTTTGCCATGGTTAAATTCAAGGGATTCGAAAATGTTATCACAGTGTTTACCTCACTCACTCTCACACAATAATACGTTGATTTGTTTGAATTCTTTTGTTTATGTAACACTGTTTTAAACTAAATTTAACTTTTTTTTTTGATATAGCACTGTTTTAAAAGACTAACCAATCGGACCAAGTCATTGTATTTAAATCTTAGTTGAGGAATCACTGGCTACTAAGATACAGTTGTAACCTAGTTAAACCTAGTTTAGTGGTCATGGGACATCCGATCATCATACCAATTTTTGTAACATTTGCATAGTAATACATGCATAATGTAACTTTTGGTTCACATAAACGTTTTTATTTATTTATTTATTATTTTACCTCCATTATATTTTTCACCTTCCGTGTCATTAAATAAGCTCCATTTTCCAGTGTTCCTCTCTGCCATATCTGGAGCCGCCTCACTCCCATGCCGTGAGCGCGTGACAGGCGCTCGCCACATCCACATTATGGCAGGCTGTCCTGCAGAACTACACTGGGCGGCTACCCTGCTATTTCATACTCTGATACATGCGACCACACTGATAGTACCTGCTATGATAATCTGTGCTGCGCTGGACGACGACAAGACATTTACGGACCCGAAATTTATAAGTAAGTAACCCTAAATGGACGTCGAACGAAAACGTGGTCGACCCAGGCAAACTTGGCGGCGCACTGTAGCGGACGAGGCGAAGAAGATCGGCAAGACCTGGAGCGAGATCAAGCGAGAAGCTCAAGACCGAACGAGATGGAGGACTGTTGTGGACGCCCTCTGCCCCATCTAGGGGACATAGGACCATAAGTCAAGTAAGTCAAGGGCCTCTAAGGGACCTTAGGCGTCTCTAAATTTACTGGGCGGCCACTCTGCTGTTCCGTACATTGATACATGCGATCACTCTGATAGTGCCTGCTATGATCATCTGTGCTGCGCTGGACGACGACAAGACATTTATATGTAAGTAAACGCAGCAGGGCCGGAAGACGTAGCTAGCCCCCCATTAGGTGGACCGACGATCTGGTGAAGGTCGATGCGGGCAGCGCAAGACCGGTCGTTTTGGAAATCCTTGGGGGAGGCCTTTGTTCAGCAGTGGACGTCATTTGGCTGAAACGAACGAAATACAGCCGGCAGCTTTCTGCGACCTTTACCAAGTCTTGCATACGTCCGTCTACATACATAGCATGGCAGGCTGTCCTGCAGAACTACACTGCTGGGCGGCCACTCTGCTGTTCCATACACTGATACACGCGACCACACTGATAGTACCTGCCATGATCATCTGTGCTGCGCTGGACGACGACAAGACATTTACGGACCCGAAATTTATAAGTAAGTAACCCTAAATGAACGTCTGATTTTAGCAGAGTAGGATAGGACCAGCCCTACGCTTCTATAAAAGGAGACTAAGGGCGTCTAAGGGATCTTAGGCGTCTCCAAATTCACTGGGCGGCCACTCTGCTGTTCCATACGCTGATACCATGCGAGCACTCTCATAGTACCCGCTATGATCATCTGTGCTGCGCTGGACGACGACAAGACATTTACGGACCCGAAATTTATAAGTAAGTAAACGCAGCAGACTCAAGGTCATCCAAAGGGCGATGGAGCGGGCTATGCTCGGAGTTTCCCTGCGTGATCGAATCAGAGATGAGATCCGCAGGAGAATCAAAGTAACCGACATAGCTCACAGAATTGCTAAAATCAAGTGGCAGTGGGCGGGGCACATAGCTCGTAGAGACGATGGCCGTTGGGGCAGAAAAGTTATTGAGTTGTAACCACAGGCCGAAAGACGTAGCGTGGGCAGGCTCCCGACTAGGTGGACCGACGACCTGGTGAAGGTCGCTGGAAGAACCTACATGCGGGCAGACGTCATTTGGCTGAAACGAACGAAACGCAACCGGCAGCTTCCTGCGTTCCTCGGATCTTGAATCAGCAGTCCAACACCGTTGGACTGTTACTCCCTCAACATAACCATGCCATGGCCATCGAAATCGAGTAGAGTACCTAAAATAAGACCACCTCTTTCCGTGAATGTCGTAATAGGTGACTAATTGACAAATATGGAAATATTAGGCCGCAATAAATAAGAAGCCTGTAAAACTGATCGAGTGGACTGTATAGTACGAGTATAGTGTAATGGGGATAGGCCTGCTGGTAATTGAGCAGACACTAGTGAGGAAAAACTCCAATTATGGGCCAAGTACACAAGATACTATTAGTAACTTCAAAAATAAAAAAGTAAAAAGCCATAAAGAAATATCAAAAAGATTGCTGGCTAAACTGCCAGCAACAAAGCCTATAGAGCCCTTTCATTAATTTTTTCCTGTTTGTTACGGTACCTCTACCTCATATTATTATCACCTTTTTCTCCCTCCAGTGTGTCTGGGCCTGTCGCTGGTGCTGGGCCTGATGGCGTTCCTGGCGCTGACGTACCTCGTCAGCTTCTACTTCCAGGAGAACGGCACCGGCGGCGTGCTTTTCTGCTCCATCATACTATTTGGTAAGCTCATTGTAGTATAGTCAGCGTCGAATAGCTCGTAACACCTAAAGTGGCCAAAAAGTTCGCAACACGTCTTTGTTACATTGGAGTCAAAATGTTGACAACCATTGTCAACATTTTGACCACTTTGGGTGTCACGCACGAACTATTTTACGTTCGACGACGTAATGTATAATATAATAAGACTAGCAATATAAAATATTGTAAATAAAAACTTTGTGTGTACTAAAATAACGTAATTTATCATATTTGCTGAAATTATCTTCAAAATTAATTAGACTTTCATATGCATTGCTGTTGTTTTATGTGAGAAAAGGGCACATTAATGCCCGGTTTTCACCAAAGCAGAAAAAAGACGAGATTACATTATATTCTTCAATACTTCTCCGCTCAGCTTCGAGTTTGAAATCTGTTTGGTTATTCAAACGGTATCCTTCCGTTTCGCCAAATTTCACTTCGCAAACAACTTATCGCCAAAGTTTCATTTCCCAAATAAACTTTTAGCAACTGTACTTTTCGCAACTAATTCATTTGGTCAAATTAACATTTGGCCAAATTTTACTTGGCAAATGTTTATATAGCAAATGTTTTATTTTGCCAAATATTATATCCCAAATAATTTGCTTGGTCAAATTGACACTTCACATACTTACGAGTACCCACCGTTACCCACAAATCAAAGCATAAGGCACATGGTCATGGTTTTCACAATAATTTTATGTAAAACAGAGAGATTGCAGAAAATAGTATGGTTGCAAAAAGTAGGTATTGTAGAAAATAGTAGGTTAGGTTAGGTTAGAACAGTGACCCTTAATGCGCGAAGGCGAGCGAAGCGTGCCGCGGCAGCGGCCGCCGAGCGCTAGAATCATCTCTATTGTTAATGAATCATTTGGAAATTTCGATAAAAGAATGAAATATGAAAATTTATTTAGAAAAAAAATTATATTAACTACCCACTAAACAAAATAATAACCACAGGCTAATTTGTATTCCATTCTATGCACCAATCAAATTGTTTTGTAAATAGTTTATCGTGAAATATTTTTGCCAAATGAAACATTTGGCAAAACATACTTTGCCAAACAATAATTTGCTAAACAATAATATGCCAAAAACGACATTTGCGAATTAAAAGTTTGCAATAAGTTGTTTTGCCAAACGTTGTTTGCGATGTGATAATTTGGGAAACGTTTTTTGGCCAAACATTAGTAATCCTATTCAAACACATGTCTCCTCTCGGCTTTGGAGGAAACCAGACCTAAGTGCTATAAATAACTTTCACTTAGCATTGATATAACAAGGCTAATAAAGAAACTACCATCTGATCTTTAACTTTAAATAATAAATGTGTCTTTATTTCTTTCCAGTACTCGTAATGCCGATGTTAAAAGCCGTAGGCAGCATGAAAATGGAGAGATCATTCTCCGACCGTCTGCTATCTGTGTCCAGTGCAGTGGCGCCCCCACACACGCTAGTTTCTGCCGTCCTGGATAGCATATTCACGGCGCGACACAACACTCTCTGCAACCTGAACCGGGACAAGTGTCCCGTGTTGCCAGTAGCAGAGTCAGACTTCGATATCGACGCTTGCTGCAGTGAGTAACTATTAGACTGTATCTAACCCAGTGTGGCCGCTACACTCGCTAGTGTCTGCCGTCCTGGATAGTATATTCATGGCGCGACACAACACTCTCTGCAACCTGAACCGGGACAAGTGTCCCGTGTTGCCGGTGGCGGAGTCAAACTTCGATATCGACGCTTGCTGCAGTGAGTATAGACTAATAGTCTACTGTCTGTATCTAACCCAGTAGCGTCCCAGTCGATGAAGCACATGTCTTGCCCTGAGTGCCCGAGCAACTGCACGCAGGAGGATTAAATTAATGCTACTGACAACGCCACTCTTGTAGCGGAGTTTTGGGCTGACACTGTAGGTTTGTTGTCGACACGATAAGAAGAAGAAGTGGCGCCCCCACACTTGCTAGTGTCTGCCGTCCTGGATAGCATATTCACGGCGCGACACAACACGCTCTGCAACCTGAACCGGGACAAGTGTCCCGTGTTGCCAGTAGCAGAGTCGGACTTCGATATCGACGCTTGCTGCAGTGAGTAACTATTAGACTGTTTGTATCTAACCCAGTGTGGCCGCTACACACGCTAGTTTCTGCCGTCCTGGATAGTATATTCATGGCGCGACACAAGACGCTCAGCAACCTGAACCGGGACAAGTGTCCCGTGTTGCCGGTGGCGGAATCCGACTTCGATATCGACGCTTGCTGCAGTGAGTATAGACTATTAGACTGTCTGTATCTAACCCAGTAGCGTCCCAGTCGATGAAGCACATGATGTCTTGCCCTGAGTGCCCGAGCAACTGCACGCAGGAGGATTTAATTAATGCTACTGAAAACACCACTCTTGTAGCGGAGTTTTGGGCTGACACTATGTAGGTTTGTTGTCGACACGATAAGAAGAAGAAGTAGCGCTCCCACACACGCTAGTGTCTGCCGTCCTGGATAGCATATTCACGGCGCGACACAACACGCTCTGCAACCTGAACCGGGACAAGTGTCCCGTGTTGTCCGTGGCGGAGTCCGACTTCGATATCGACACTTGCTGCAGTGAGTAACTATTAGACTGTATCTAACCCAGTGTGGCCGCTACACTCGCTAGTGTCTGCCGTCCTGGATAGCATATTCAGGGCGCGACACAACACGCTCTGCAACCTGAACCGGGACAAGTGTCCCGTGTTGCCGGTGGCGGAGTCAAACTTCGATAATGACGCTTGCTGCAGTGAGTAACTATTAGACTGTCTGTATTTAACCCAGTGTGACCGCTACATTCGCTAGTGTCTGCCGTCCTGAGGTGGAATTGTGTAAAGCAATCGTAATCATTTGACAGTTCATAACGTACGATTATTCTGTCAAACGCTTTGTTTAACTGACTTTATCGTACGTTATGAACTGTCAAATGATTACGATTGCTTTACACAATTCCACCTCTGGATAGCATATTCACGGCGCGACACAACACGCTCTGCAACCTGAACCGGGACAAGTGTCCCGTGTTGCCAGTAGCAGAGTCAGACTTTGATATCGACGCTTGCTGCAGTGAGTATAGACTATTAGACCGTCTGTATCTAACCCAGTAACGTCCCAGTCGATGAAGCACATGATGTCTTGCCCTGAGTGCCCGAGCAACTGCACGCAGGAGGATTTAATTAATGCTACTGACAACGCCACTCTTGTAGCGGAGTTTTGGGCTGACACTGTGTAGGTTTGTTGTCGCCACGATAAGAAGAAGTGGCGCCCCCACACTCGCTAGTGTCTGCCGTCCTGGATAGCATATTCACGTCGCGACACAACACGCTCTGCAACCTGAACCGGGACAAGTGTCCCGTGTTGCCGGTAGCGGAGTCAAACTTCGATATCGACGCTTGCTGCAGTGAGTAACTATTAGACTGTATCTAACCCAGTGTGGCCGCTACACTCGCTAATGTCTGCCGTCCTGGATAGTATATTCATGGCGCGACACAACACTCTCTGCAACCTGAACCGGGACAAGTGTCCCGTGTTGCCAGTAGCAGAGTCAAACTTCGATATCGACGCTTGCTGCAGTGAGTATAGATCAGGGGTCGGCAACCTTTTGAGTCGGAAGAGCCAAAAATTACTATTTACAAAATTTCAAGTTTTTAAAGAGCCACAAATTTTTTTCTTGCTAACAATAAATAGCCTCCATACTTTCATAAAGTTTGTTGATAAAAAAAGTAATCTATTTATTCATAAGAAAAATATCTATTTAAGAAAAGCGAGTATAAGTAGCTGAGAGATAGAAGTAATGTCTAAACCTCGTTTATCGTTTCAGAACATTTTTTTTAAATAAAATAAATAATATTTGCGAATGGAACAAAAGAGCCGCAGCCTCACATCCAAAGAGCCGCATGTGGCTCGCGAGCCGCTTGTTGGCGACCCCTGGGATTAGGACCACAAATCACAGAAACTAAAGGGAAATGTGACAAGGGGGCGGGGCCGGTGTCGCAGCAATATGCCCAAAATCAGAACACATTGCTCGTCACAGCAATGATGACAGCAGTGACGTCATAATGTAAACAGTTTGCATTGCCTGCGTAGTACTAAAGATTATTCGAACGTTGAGTACTGATACCGCAGTGTATAATGAGCACATATTTTGATTACTTTGTGTGTGTGAATTTCTAATGTTACCATTACAAATAAATATATTAACAATCAATTTGTACATATTTCTTAGAGCTTTATGGACGGACAATTGAATAAAAAAACATTTTTCTTTGCAGCATCAGATCCTAATACTAACGCGTTCTGCTACTTCTGCCTGGACGAAGGCGCGCCCGGAAAATGGCTGTTTTACATGTTTGGTCAAATTGTCATCTTGATGGTAAGTGAATCGTAACATAGATCTGTTATAAGCCAAAAGTTGTCGCGAAGTGGATAGAGCAAGCTATATCTGAGACGTATCGTGAACATGATTTAACTGAGTCAATGCCTGAGGTAAAGGGTGCGGCACGGGAGATTGTTTATGTTTTTTTTATCCACAACGAGGAAGCTCTTGGCCTGTATCTCACGAAGGTGTCTGATGAAGGAATCTTCAACCACGGAGGAACTGGCTATCTTACCTCTAACTGCCAGAACACAACGATGCTGTTAACATTGGTGTTATGGCTACAGACTTAGGTAAGATGGTGGTAGCTAGCCAGGCGGACTTAGAACAAGCCCTACCACCAACCAAACCGAACAGAAAAACCTGCCCCCACTAGGAATCGAACCCGGGACCTCTGCGTCTGAAGCAGGTGGTCTTACCACTAGACCACAGAGGCGGTTAAAAAATGTGACATCAAACGTCAGCGAGACTTCAGACATGCTTCAGATTTTAATGCTTTATCACGTCACACAGAATTATGCGCTAGACCGGTAATAAAGATTTTGAATTCAATATATTTTCTTTAACCCTTTGACCGACTGATTTTCTTACTATTATTGTGACTGTCCCACAGACTCTGGTGTTCTTGACGCAACGCGGGCTATTCAAGCGTATGTGGGACGCAGCGCTGAACGCGCAGTATGCACCGCCCGCGCCGCGCTTTAACGACGAGGTCGTGAGGGCCGAGCGAGCTTACGTCGAGAAGGCTATCGAGCTACGTAAGTATTGTCACACTAGACAATAGTCAATATCTTTATTGTTGTACAGTCGACAGCACGTCAACGTAAACACTGTGGTGTCTTACGTAGTTGCGATAAGGGCGACTTTGCAACGAAAATGTATAGCCTGATGTGCTGTCGAGGTGGTGCGGACCGAGCGAGCTTACGTCGAGAAGGCCATCGAGCTACGTAAGTAATGCACTGGCCCATTTATTGACCGAAGCAGTGGCAGGGTTAATACTGGGACGTGTAAGAGTAGGCACACACCGTTGATTTTTAGTCGGCCGATAGTTTAGTCGGGCAGTTGATCAGTATGGGCATGTATGGGAGTGCGCACACTACGCCGATTCGATTTGGCCGATTCTTCATACAATTTAAAATCGGGCACAACTATCGGCCAACTAAAAATCAACGGTGTGCGCTTACTCTAAAAGTGCTTTTTGCAAAAATAAATAAGTTTTATGAGTTTTTCAATATCCACTAGAGAAAGTGTAATTTGTGGGCGGTCCCGCGTTTGGGACAAACGTCAAAAATCTGTCAAACTTCATACAAAAAACATCGGTTATGTCAAAGTTAGGTGCGATAGTTAGAGCGCTTTCACAACGCAACGCAACAGACGCGCTACCGATAATTTCATACTATATGACAGCGGATGTCTGCCTTCAAATTATAAAAACGCTGCTACCGCGCTTCTTACGCCCTAATGTTATATACGAGTAGTATTATACAAATAAATGTTTTATCTATCTATCTATCTAATGTGAAAGCGGCCTTAACCGTGTGACGTGGAAGTCATGGGGAGGCCTATGTTCAACATACATCGTCTGACGTTGGACGTCCTGTGGCTGAAATGATGATGAAGATGATACACTTACTTTATACCCCCTTTTGAAATACATTGTTTGTCTTGTTTGTTCCTTTTCTTTCTGTTCTTATCTTTGGTGTGCAGTAAAGTGTATTTATTATTATTTCTTTATTCAATTTTCTTTCTTATTTTTAATTTTTTCTTTTTACAATGTACCTAATTATCAAAAAAATAAAAATAGTACATTATAAAAACAAAAATCTTAAAAATAGTTAACCCGCTGGCAGCGGAGCAGGGCCCAAGCTACCGGTGGTCAGGGTCACAGGCTGAGGAACCTCCGGACAATGCGTGCCGTGCTGAGGATCACCGCCTTTTGAATCTGACCTTTGAGCCAACCATCTAGCGAGAGCTTCTTTAGATGTTGGTCGAAGCTCTTCGCTATTAGCCCGTTTGCCGAGACAACTATCGGGACAATGATCGTCGAGTCAACATCCCACATGGCGGTCACCTCGTGGGCCAAGTCAAGGTATTTGCTTTGTTTTTCCTTCTCGGCCTTCACGAGGTTTTCGTCATGCGGGATGGTGATGTCAACGATTATTATTATTATTATTGTTCCGTTGTTCCAGCGGACAGACAGATCGCGGACGCGCTGCTAGCGTCTGACATCCACAAGCGCTACCGCGGCCTCTGCAGCAGCTGCAACGCTGTTAAAGGCGTCAGCTTCTCCGTCAAAAAAGGTTCGTCCATCTTCATTTCGGGTTAGTTACTTTTCTGTGTCATTATTTTTTGATACTAGCGGCCGCCCGCGACTTCGTACGCGTGGATCCCGTTTTACCCCTTTAGGGGTTGAATTTTGCAAAATCCCATCTTAGTGAGCACCTACGTTCTAAAAGGAACCCCCTGCAAATTTTGAGACTCCTAGCTAACACTAGCACTCCTAGTTTCTGAGATTTCGTGATGAGTGAGTCAGTCTTTTATAAATTTAGATAGATCTGTGTTAATAAGCATTATTTATCACAAGTGTAACGGGGACGTGTGGTTCCGTCTTCCTATGGGTGTCGTATGAGACTACCTCTAGCCAGCTTGCGGATTGTAGGCAATCCTCCTTTTACTTTTGGTATTCAAATTTGATTAAAGAGTGTCGTCTTCTTGCAATAGAGACTAATGCCCGTTTTCACCATAATCCCTAATTTTTAATTGCCCCCTATGGTAACACATAACAGGAATTTTGTTTTCATAGGGGTCACTTAAAAATTAAGGATTGATGGTGAAAACGGGCATAAATGACCTAATGATGTGACATTGAATATCACTTGAGAACTAACTCCGCCGATTTGAATAATTATTTTTTGTTTAGAAACGAGCTTTAAAGCTAATCGTTTTCCACTCGGCCCACATCGCGGGCAATTTCAAATTATAAACAACTCCACGTGCTTCCTTAGGCGAATGCTTCGGTCTACTGGGCGTAAATGGCGCGGGCAAATCAAGCATGTTCCAAGTCCTGACGGGCGAGCAGTGGCCCACGAGGGGACGTATCTTCGCCAACGGACAGCGCATGGACGGCTACTCGGCGCAGGTACGCTATACCCAAGGGTACATCGCACGGGTACAACGCACAGGTACCTATGTCACACTCCAGGCGAGTGCTTCGACTGCGTGCTGACGCGTCTTCGCCAACGTACAGCGTGGCAGGTACACTATACACAAGGGAACGCTATACCACAAGGGTACACTACCACAAGGGTACACTATACCACACTCCAGGCGAGTGTTTCGGTCTACTAGGCGTGAACAGCGCGGGCAAGTCGAGCATGTTCCAAGTCCTGACGGGCGAGCAGTGGCCCACGAGAGACGCATCTTCGCCAAGGGACAGCGCATGGACTCGGCGCAGGTACGCTATACACAATGGTACATCGCACGGGTACACTGTACCACACGGGAACAACGCACAGGTACACTATTATAAAAATTTGAACTTTATAGTTGTAATAGCAATACAAATAAAATAAATAGCTATTTTGCAACAATAAAATTATACATAGTCTGATCTGCTGCCGACTGTAAGTGCCTTTAAAACCTCTAAGCTAGCGTATTGTCCGCTTTACATCCGTGGACCAGCAGAACCTATAAAACACAGCCACCTTATGCACTTGCAATAGCTTCTATTTTGCAACAATAAATGTATTGTTGCAGTATCTACGTGGCCTCGGCTACTGCCCGCAGTTCTCCGGGCTAGACGAGTTCCTGACGATCCGCCAGCACTTATCCAACTCTGATACCTTATGTACTGACAATAGCTGCTATTTTGCAACAACAAATGTATTGTTGCAGTACCTCCGTGGCATCGCCTATTGCCCGCAGTTCTCCGGGCTAGATGAATTGCTCACTGGCTGCCAGAACTTATCCAACTCTGATACCTTCATCATCATCATCATCTTTTCAGCCATAGGACGTCCACTGCTGAACATAGGCCTCCCCCAATACTTTCCACGTTGATCGATTGGTAGCGGCCTGCGTTCAGCGCTTCCCTGCTACCTTTACGATGTCATTGGTCCACCTTGTAGGTGGACGTCCCACGCTGCGTTTTCCGGTACGCGGCCTCCATTCCAGAACCTTGCTGCCCCATCGGCTGTCAGTTCTGCGTACTATGATACCTTATGCACTTTTTTTTTTCTCGTCCATTTTAGCTACAAGATAACATTTATTTAGGGACGTTCTTAAGAACTAAGTTACTAACTAGTTACATGTTTCACATTTGTTCCACCCAGACCCACCGAGGCGGTAAGGTATGCCTGCTCAGGGTGGGTCGGGGGGAACGGGTATAAAAAAGGAAGGACTGGGAGTGCTAAACCTCTAAGCTAGCGTATTGTCCGCTTTACATCCGTGGACCAGCAGAACCTATAAAACACAGCCACCTTATGCACTTGCAATAGCTGCTATTCTGCAACAATAAATGTATTGTTCACAGTACCTCCGTGGCCTCGGCTACTGCCCGCAATTCTCGGGCCTAGACGAGTTCCTTACCGGTCGTCAGAACCTGAACCTGTTGTTGGCACTACGCGGCCTGTGCGCCGGCGACGCCGCCGCCGAAGCCCTGGCCTGGATCAACGTTGTTGGTGAGTTTGTCTTCATCATCATCATCATCAGCACCATCATTATTCTTTCACCCACTTCTGGAAGTAGTACAAAGTCACCTGACCCGCCAAAGAACACGATCTGAGAAAGAAAGAACATCAGCATCATCGTTATTTCAGTCATATTATTTTCATATCAGCATTCCACTTCTACCAATCGATCAACGTGGAAAGCATTGGGGGAGGCCTATGTTCAGCAGTGGACGTCCTATGGCTGAAATGATGATGATGATTCCACTTCTAGAAATAGTAGAGCCCTCTATCGATCGCCAAAGAAAACGATCAGAGAAAAAAAACCGAGAAAAGAAACAAAAAAGGAATCTGCGATCTGTGTTCGAAATGAGAGGTCCAGACTGAGACTCTATAACTTCTAATATTCCATTGATTTCGACATTGAACTTTCGGTATGGTAAATTGTATATTTTACTGTAAATACCCATTTAGTCCCAGTTTTTTAGGGTTTTTTTTTACCATCTCCTTTGGCGTTTACATCTAACACTGAATTCGTGGCGTTATAAAGGTCAGTAGTAACAAGTGGGAAGGGCTGAATGAGTAGAGCCCGCTTAATAGGACCGCATTATTCGCGACTGTATTCGCGCGTAAAGCCACGCATTGTATCCCCGGGACAATCTTAAAAGATGGCTCAATCATGCCCATTTTCATCATCAATCCCTAATTTTTAAGTGGCCCCTGTAACAAATAACAGTAATTATGTTTTCAAAGGGGTCTATTTATTTATAATATAGACTATTGTATGGGGTGGAGGGTTGGTAACCTGAGACCCAGTTCAGGTATCAACCCACCAACATTCTTACTTTTTGTTTTTCCTGATTGCTTGTTATCATAATATTATCTGTTATGTTGGTGAGAAATAAACATTACTTTACTTTACTTAAAATTAGGGATTGATGGTGAAAACAGGCATCAATCTACCATTTATCTACAGGCCTGCAAAAGTACATCGACCGCAAAGTGATAGGCTACAGCGGCGGCTGCGTGCGTCGGCTGGCGGCCGCGGCGGCGCTGTGCAACGGAGCCCCACTTACATTGCTAGATGAGCCTACTTCTGGCGTGGATGTATCGGCCCGTCGGCGTGTCTGGGCCGCTCTACGACGTGGGTTGAAGAACCAGAGATCCATCATTATTACGTCACACAGGTGAGTGACACAGCTAGTCCCTTGAAACGTTGCTGGATGAGCCTACTTCTGGGGTGGACGTATCAGTCCGCCGCCGAGTCTGGGCTGCCTTGCGTCGTGGCTTGAAGAACCAGCGATCCATTATTATTACGTCACATAGGTGAGTGACACAGCTAAAGCCCGGTCCGTGAGCACGTAGAATTTGGTCCAATGACCCCTAGCTACCCATCCTTATCGCTCGCACGTAAATAATTACGCGCGTAATAATTATTGCTGTCGCGACTGTGCTACTAGCACCCGCAGTGAGTGTGCGAGCGCGATAGCAACATAATTACGCGCGAGCGATAAAGATGGGTAGCTTGGGGTCATTGGACAAAATTCTACGTGCTCACGGACCAGACTATAGTCCCTTGAAACGTTGCTGGATGAGCCTACTTCTGGCGTGGATGTATCAGCCCGTCGGCGAGTCTGGGCTGCCTTGCGTTGCGGCTTGAAGAACCAGAGATCCATCATCATTACGTCACACAGGTGAGTGAGACAGCTAGTCGCTTCAAAATATCTTACACGGCGTGCATCTCACGTTGCTAGATGAGCCTACTTCTAGGGTGGATGTATCGGCCCGTCGGCGAGTCTGGGCTGCCTTGCGTCGTGGCTTGAAGAACCAGAGGTCCATCATTATTACGTCACATAGGTGAGTGAGACAGCTAACCATGTTCCAGGACAATTCTACCTACACTTCCACGTTGCTAGATGAGCCTACTTCTGAGGTGGACGTGTCGGCTTGTCGGCGAGTCTGGGCCGCCTTGCGTCGTGGATTGAAGAACCAGAGATCTATTATCATTACGTCACATAGGTAAGTGGAAACAGCAAGCTATCATAGCTAGTCCCTTGAGAGTTGAGACTAGTTTTATACGGCGCTTGACTCACGTTGCTAGATGAGCCTACTTCTGGGGTGGATGTGTCGGCTCGTCGGCGAGTCTGGGCTGCCTTGCGTCGTGGCTTGAAGAACCAGAGATCCATCATTATTACGTCGCAGTGAGACAGCTAAAGCCCGGTCTGTGAGCACGTAGAATTTTGTCCAATGACCCCAAGCTACCCATCCATAGTCGCACAGTCGCGACAGCAATATAATTACGCGCGAGCGATAAAGATGGGTAGCTTGGGGTCATTGGACAAAATTCTACGTGCTCACAGACCAGACTATAGTCCCTTGAAACGTTGCTGGATGAACCTACTTCTGGGGTGGACGTGTCGGCTCGCTGCCGATTCTGGGCTGCCTTGCGTCGTGGCTTGAAGAACCAGAGATCCATAATCATTACGTCGCATAGGTGAGTGACACAGCTAGTCCCTTGAAACATTGCTGGATGAGCCTACTTCTGGCGTGGATGTATCAGCCCGTCGGCGAGTCTGGGCCGCCTTGCGTCGTGGATTGAAGAACCAGAGGTCCATCATTATTACGTCACATAGGTGAGTGAGACAGCTAACCATGTTCCAGGACAATTCTACCTACACTTCCACGTTGCTAGATGAGCCTACTTCTGGGGTGGACGTATCGGCTCGTCGGCGAGTCTGGGCCGCTCTACGACGTGGCTTGAAGAACCAGCGATCCATCATTATTACGTCACATAGGTGAGTGAGACAGCTAACCATGTTCCAGGACAATTCTACAACACTTCCACGTTGCTAGATGAGCCTACTTCTGGGGTGCACGTGTCGGCTCGTCGGCGAGTCTGGGCCGCTCTACGACGTGGCTTGAAGAACCAGAGATCCATTATTATTACGTCACATAGGTGAGTGACACAGCTAGTCCCTTGAAACCTTGCTGGATGAACCTACTTCTGGCGTGGACGTGTCGGCTCGCAGCCGATTCTGGGCTGCCTTGCGACGTGGCTTGAAGAACCAGAGATATATCATTATCACGTCATATATGTAGGTGAGTGAGATAACTAGTCCTTCGAGACTAATCTTACACGGCGCGCCTCTTACGTTGCTGGATGAGCCTACTTCTGGCGTGGATGTGTCGGCCCGTCGGCGAGTCTGGGCCGCTCTACGACGTGGCTTGAAGAACCAGAGATCTATCATTATTACGTCACATAGGTGAGTGAGACAGCTAGCTATCTTACAGAAGAACTCGACATATACTGCGCCCCTTACATTGCTGGATGAACCTACTTCTGATGTGGATGTGTCGGCTCGTCGGCGAGTGTGGGCCGCTCTACGACGTGGCTTGAAGAACCAGAGGTCCATTATTATTACGTCACACAGGTGAGTGAGACAGCTAACCATGTTCCAGGACAATTCTACCTACACTTCCACGTTGCTAGATGAGCCTACTTCTGGCGTGGATGTATCGCTCGTCGAGCTACATAAAACGCTGGATACTTAACTTTCGCATTATATTGCCTCATTTTAAAACAATTCATCACTTAGCACGAATGCGCGCGTTCCTCTATTCTGACGTTTCTAGTATGACATTGACATTAATACGTCAATGTCACTATAACAGCAGCTCATTGGCTACAACGATATCGTTATATTAATGCTTAAATTTTTCACAATAAACAGTACTGAATATGATATATTTTGTGTCGATTGATTTTGTCATGATGATGATATTGTTTACTGAAATTAATGTCTGAGAACCTTCAGAACTGGTAGGTTTCGGCCTAAGAATAAGAGTAAAAAACTCGGGCGAATAAATAGATACTTAGCTTCGCACTATACTTTATATTCAATAAATAGACTGATCACAATCTCGGAGGAATGAGAGGTGTAAATAGGATCTCGTGTGGCTTGGTTATAATCCCACTGTACGAGGCGTACAACATTTGTGTGAGAATGCTGTGACTCATAAACATTTCGCGTTATACAAGGTGGAAACGATAGGTGATCTCACTTGATTATTTCTAAACTATATGTATAAGATATCGAAAAACTTCATATAAAAACTTTTCAGATTGCATAAGATTGGTAATTCATTTATGGGAAAATGTATTAAATTCTTTAATAAATTACCACAAACTGTTGTAGAACTACCCATTCATAAATTCAAAGCACATATTAAAAGTACCTTAATGAAAAAGGGCTACTATAAAGTCGATGATTATTTAAAAGATAAAAATGTTTGGGATACGTTACTGCCTAGCTCGCATAAATATTTATAACTTTGTACATTTTAAAGCATGTAAACCTTTGAAAAAGAGGCTGACAATAGTGACTGAGTTTCTTGCGCTGCTTCTTCTCAGCACTGGCCCATTTATTGTCCCGAAGCAGTGGTAGGGTTAATAGTGGGACGTGTAAAAGTGCTTTTTTAAGCCTATTTACAGAAATAAATGAGTTTTAATGAGTTTTTAATGAGTTTTGACTTTACAGCATGGACGAGATGGAAGCTCTATGCACGCGTATATGCATAATGTCTGCGGGCGAGGCGTGCGCACTTGGCTCGCCGGCTGGTCTGCGCGCGCGCCACGCCGCCGGCCACGCCGTGCTCATCAAGGTGCGCGCCGACCACGCCGAACATGAACAACACCCGGCGGGAGACGGTGAGTATACAACACTAGTGTAGACGCCTCCCTACAGCATGCAGCCTCCGTGCACCGCGTCTGCGTAATGTTGGCGGGTGAAGCGTGCCCTCAAGGTGCGCGCCGACCACGCCGACCGCGACCAGCACCCGGCGGGAGACGGTGAGTATACAACACTAGTGTAGACGCCTCCCTACAGCATGCAGCCTCCATGCACCGCGTCAACATAATTTCGGCGGGTGAAGCGTGCCATCAAGGTGCGCGCCGACCACGCCGACCACGACCAGCACCCGGCGGGAGACGGTGAGCACACGACGCTAGTGTAAAGTCCGGCCGCCGAGCACACAGAATTTCGTCCAATGACCCCAAGCTACCCATCCTTATCGCACGCGCGTAATTATATTACTGTCGGGACTGTGCGCCGAGCGGCCGCAGTGAATGTGCGAGCGATAAGGATGAGTAGCTTGGGATCATTGGACGAAATTCTACCTGCTCGGCTACCAGACTTTAGACGCCTCCCTACAGCATGCAGCCTCCGTGCATCGCGTCTGCATAATGTCGGCGGGTGAAGCGTGCTCATCAAGGTGCGCGCCGACCACGACCACGACCAGCACCCGGCGGGAGACGGTGAGCACACTAGTGTAGACTCCTCCCTACAGCATGCAGCCGCCGTCCTCTAAGGCTATGAACTCACGGCGCGGTTGCGGGCCCGCAGCTTCTGTAGAATGCAGATACTTATGTTAAAACTAATGCACAACTCACGACGCGGTTTGTGCCCGCAGCGGGCGCGGTTGTATGCGGGTCCCGCGGGCAACAAGTAGAATCGCGCGTTTTCGCCCGCTCGCTCTGCGATCGATTGGCGGGCGACCAATTTCTACCAGTGACTTAACTGCCCGTCTTGCAACCGCCCGTCTTGCTATTATCGCCTGCCACGTTTGCGGGCGATGATCGGCGGCTGCGTAAATGCGCAAATAACCGGTCCCGTGAGTTTTGAAATAAAGCCGCAATTCCACAACCGCCGCGGGCGCCGTGAGTTCTTAGCCTACGTCTGCATAATGTCTGCGGGCGAGGCGTGCGCACTTGGCTCGCCGGCTGGTCTGCGCGCGCGCCACGCCGCCGGCCACGCCGTGCTCATCAAGGTGCGCGCCGACCACGACCACGACCAGCACCCGGCGGGAGACGGTGAGCACACGACATTAGTATAGTCTGAGCCCCGATTACGAAGAAGATCGTCCATCTAGTGGACATAGGACCATAAGTCAAGTAAGTCAAGCCAATTCCAATCAGCTCCAAACAGCTGTTTGGACCAATCGTATCGCAGAATCGAAGAAGCGCGTCTGTATTGGAGACGTTAAAAATTACCGTAATCGGGGCTCTGGTCGCTGAACACATAGAATTTCGTGCAATGACGGCTCGCACATTCACTGCGGCCGCCCTTCGCACAGTTGCGATAGTAGCTTGATGGATGGGTAGCTTGGGGTCATTGGACGAAATTATATCTGCTCGGCGACCAGACTTTAGATGCCTCCCTACAGCATGCAGCCTCCGTGCACTACGTCTGCATAATGTCGCCGGGCACGCCGTGCTCATCAAGGTGCGCGCCGACCACGCCGACCACGACCAGCACCCGGCGGGAGACGGTGAGCACACTAGTGTAGACGCCTCCCTACAGCATGCAGCCTCCATGCAACGCGTCTGCATAATGTTGGAGGGTGAAGCGTGGACACGCCGTGCTCATCAAGGTGCGCGCCGACCACGCCGACCACGACCAGCACCCGGCGGGAGACGGTGAGCACACTATTGTAGACACCTCCCTATAGCATGCAGCCTCCGTGCACCCATCTGCTTAAGTCATTGAACGCCGAGACGCTAGACACAATGGAAATTGTATTGTTCGAGGCTCACCGGTGAGCCGCGTGGCGTCCAACGTGTTAATGTCGGCGGGTGAAGGTGCGCGCCGAATGCCACGCCGAACACGACCAGCACCCGGCGGGAGACGGTGAGCACACTAGTGTAGACGCCTCCCTACAACATGCAGCCTCCCTGCACTAAGGCTAAGAACTCACGGCCAGCACCCGGCGGGAGACGGTGAGCACACTAGTGTAGACGCCTCCCTACAACATGCAGCCTCCCTGCACTAAGGCTAAGAACTCACGGCCAGCACCCGGCGGGAGACGGTGAGCACACTAGTGTAGACGCCTCCCTACAACATGCAGCCTCCCTGCACTAAGGCTAAGAACTCACGGCCAGCACCCGGCGGGAGACGGTGAGCACACTAGTGTAGACGCCTCCCTACAACATGCAGCCTCCCTGCACTAAGGCTAAGAACTCACGGCCAGCACCCGGCGGGAGACGGTGAGCACACTAGTGTAGACGCCTCCCTACAGCATGCAACTTCCGTGCACCCATCTGCATAATGTCTGCGGGTGAGGCGTGGACACGCCGTGCTCATCAAGGTGCGCGTCGACCACGACCACGACCAGCACCCGGCGGGAGACGGTAAGCACACGACCGGACTTTACACTAGGTAAAGTCCGGTCGCCGAGCACATAAAATTTCGTCCGGCCATTCACTGCGGCCGCTCGTCGCACAGTCGCGACAGTAATATAATTACGCGCGAGCGATAAGGATGGGTAGCTTGGGATCATTGGACGAAATTATATCTGCTCGGCGACCAGACTTTAGATGCCTCCCTATAGCATGCAGCCTCCGTGCACCCGTCTGCACAATGTCGGCGGGTTAAGGTGCGCGCCGACCACGCCGACCGCGACCAGCACCCGGCGGGAGACGGTGAGCACACTAGTGTAGACGCCTCCCTACAGCATGCAGCCTCCCTGCACTAAGGCTAAGAACTCACGGCCAGCACCCGGCGGGAGACGGTGAGCACACGACGCTAGTGTAAAGTCCGGTCGCCGAGCACACAGAATTTCGTCCAATGACCCCAAGCTACCCATCCTTATCGCACGCGCGTAATTATATTATTGTCGCGACTGTGCGACGAGCGGCCGCAGTGAATGTGCGAGCGATAAGGATGAGTAGCTTGGGGTCATTGGACGAAATTATATCTGCTCGGCGACCAGACTTTAGACGCCTCCCTACAGCATGCAGCCTCCGAGCACCCATCTGCATAATGTCGGCGGGTGAAGGTGTGCGCCGACTGCTACGCCGACCATGACCAGCACCCGGCGGGAGACGGTGAGCACATGACACTAGTGTAAACGCCTCCCTACAGCATGCAGCCTCCGTGCACTAAGGCTAAGAACTCACGGGCAGCACCCGGCGGGAGACGGTAAGTGCACACTAGTGTAGACACCTCCCTACAGGATGCAGCCTCCGTGCATCCATCTGCATAATGTCGGTGGGTGAGTCGTGGCCACGCCGTGCTTTTCAAGGTGCGCGCCGACCACGCCGAACATGACCAGCACCCGGCGGGAGATGGTGAGTACACCTCTTTCATAATCATCATCAATTCAGCCACAAGACGTCCACTACTGAACATAGACCTCCCCCACAATTAGGGGAGAATTGCCAATACTCGCCACGCTCGGCAAGCGAGTTGGCGAGCGCAGTTTCTTATAATTTCACACATGGACGCTGCTTCCCTTCTCGTTCTACAGTAGGTAATTAATCGCCTCTGACCTGCCGCTTGTTGGTGGACGGTAAATACACCTCTTTTACTTTCTTTCTCACTTCCAGAAGAAATCACCTTCAGTATAAAAATCGAAACACAAAGCGCTGCGCGTCATACACTACAGCAACTAGAGGCGAAATTAAACTAACGTTGAAACCGTGCGGATTCGACAGTTAGTAGTTTGATCCTCGTCATCCGCAAGATTATTTGCTTAGTATTTTTTCCGATACAAATTCTAATACACTTTTTATTTAAAAAAAAAGCCCTCGCTATAACGCCGCCCAAATGCGACACACACCCTTCTAAATAAATTCTGATGATTTTGGACGTAAAAACAACAAAAAAGAATCTCTAAATTCAAGAATAATGTTAATTTCATTAATGTATTTCAGAGGTGGACTCCTCCAAGACCCTGGTGAACCAGCTGAAAGGAATGCTGCAGCAGAAATTCAACTGCACCCTCAAAGATGAACACAAGGTAGGTTCTTTTGAATTTTATTTGTTTTTTAAAGATGATTTGTAATAATTTATCTTCTGAAAACTATTGACAAAACACAATGTAAAAATAACATATTGTAATAGATTACTTTGCAAGTGTGTTATCATTATCATTGAATGGCAATCAAAATGGTTCTCTTATCTTTCGGCACTATTGATACATTAATATTTTCTGGCAAAATTGATGAAGTGAAATCGTTATCAACTATGATATTTTGTGTTTGTCGATTGATGTTGCCATGATGATAATATTGTTTACTGAGTTTTAATATGTTTAAGAACCCTCAGAACGCTCTCAGAACTGTTTCGACAGAAGAAAAAGCTCTGGCGAATAAATCGATACCTACTTCGCTTCGCACTATACTTTTATCTTCTAATCTACTATATAAAAATAAGTCGGGTTTTCCTCCCTGACGCTATAACTCCAGAACGCACGAACCGATTTCCACGGTTTTGCATTCGTTGGAAAGGTCTCGGGCTCCGTGAGGTTTATAGCAAAGAAAATCCGGAAAAATTTAAAGGGGATAAAACGGGATCCACGCGTACGAAGTCGCGGGCGGCCGCTAGTTATGTATACAAAAATGAATCTCTTATTCCCTTGGTCACCGCATCACGCTTGAACGGACGAACGATTTCTCTATTTCTTTTTTGTTATTTTTGTTATTTTCAGTAGAAGGTTCTTATGTAAAAAAAAATGAGTAAATTTAAAGACCATTTTTATTTTTCTTAAGACAGGACAACGTCTGTCACTACAGCTGTTATTAAATAAATAGACTGATCACTCTATCTTCCGAGTGGTGTACAATGTACAGTCACGAAATGAAAAGGTTCGTCAATTTTCAAATTGATTCCTTCGACGAATCGCGAGCACATATTACCTTTTGAAACTATGATACAGAATAATCTCGAGTTAGAGAAAATAATCTTTAACTGTTCGTCAGTAAAGTTCAAAATTATTCAGATCAAAGTTGTTTGACGATTTATCTTGTCAAGAATATTATTATGATTGATAAACTAAAACCTTCTTGTTGGTTCAACCTGCCATATTCGTTAGCAAACGTCATATTTATTTAAATGTTAGCAGCACTGTTTCTTGCACTGTTATGTTGGCAGGTTTGACTCTTACAGTACCTAGTGCAAGCGAAAAACGACACTAAGGTGACGAACCTTTTCATTCTGCGACTGTACATGGGATCTCATCTCATCTCATGAATACACGCATATTCTGTTACCGTATTTTCGTTAATTCCACCAGACGATGCTTCACTACCACATCAATGAGACGATGCAGTACAGCAGTCTGTTCCAAGAGCTGGAGCAACTCAAGGCGTCGTTCCCGACCCTGGTGGAAGACTACTCCGTCACCGAGACAACCCTGGAGGAGGTGTTCCTGTCTTTCGCCAAGCCGCCGCCGGAGCCCGAGGGCCCCGCCAGACCAGTCTAAACCACCGTTAAGTAGCAGTGCAGGTATATCGACAACCGATAGAATTAACACAGGATTGCACTTAAAATCGTAAAGCAAATCCTATAACTAAAGGATGAAGCACACTTATCAACCCGGCAACGGATCGTAACCGTATCAACTCGAGGCAGTCAGTATTATTTAAAAACGGGACTATTACCACCTCTCGTTCCCACCACTGCAACTCCTGTGCAGCCAGGATCTACAGCTTGACCGCCATAAAAACCCAACCAATGAAGGTCAAGTTATCCCGGGGAAAAGTTAAACTGTCATTGGACCCGCAACGAAATTAATCAGAAGAACATAGGAGTTCGAAATTAAGGTGCGACTTCCCTCCATTACAAAGCGGATGACAGGTGACAAACAAAGGTTTAAAACCTTTAAGAAAAGATTATGCACCAGTATTATTTGTATGAAACTCCATACTGCAACGCACTTATCCGCACCGTAACGTAAACGCCTCGCGGCGAAAAGTGATACGGTGTTGATCCCTTTCCGGGATAATAAGTGTGCTATCTTAAGAGTCCCCGTAGACGACAGGCTTTGTTGGTATGAACAAGTGTGAAAAGACAAGACTTAGGCTGGGTTGCAACATCTTACTTTAACTTTGACAAACGTCAAAAATCTGTCAAACTTCATACAAAAAGCGCCGGTTTTCGTCATAGTTACCGTTACAGTTAGGTGGTGCAACTCGGCCTTAGTCGTCATACAAATTAAAAGACCATACTATATACTATTAAGACTGTACTCTGCGGGGACTAAGGACTCATGCACACCGCCTTTTTTCAGCGTGTTTCATGCAATAAGAACGCGCTTTGTACGCGAAAGTATCGCAATCATTGTAATTACATAGCAAAGCAATAAAATTTAGTAGCTATATCCTAAAAGCGCATTGACGGCGCGCCTGAAAAAAGTGGTGTGCATGAACCTTAAAGACTAAACTCCCTCATTTATTTACATAATTTACTTCTAAACTGTCCTCTGCGGTCCAAACTACACGCCCTAAGGGCTAGTTTATTTCGTCCAGAAGATTATATTTATTTAGTTAATCAAACAGTGCCTACTGGGGTCAAAATATATCCCTATGATCGTAGAGCTCCTATAGAAAATTATAGTAGACATATTTTTCGAAACATTAGAATTCCGTCATTATTTGAATGCTTCAAAAATTAATCTCAAAACAAGTGACGACTTTGGTCACAAATTATCAGTTATTTATTATATTTAACTTAATAATAATAACTAGAAACGGCCATTATTCTTATTTTCATGATATATCATACTGTTTACGTCGATTTAGTTAAATTGTTTAGTTAAATCCTGAAATAAAGACACTTTATTTTAGCTATTACATATTCCTTAAAGTTAACTTATATGCCAAATATTAACCGGAAAACAATGTACAAAACGAATGCAGTTAGATTATTTACTAACCACATGACCCTCACTATAAATAAAGTTAGTACGTCACTTTTAAAAGTTAAAACTGTATTATAATCGCAGGTCTTTGAATCGTACTCAAAAAGCAAGTAAAGACCCAAAAAAGCCACCAACGTCACTCATTTCACGATTGACTGCACCAAAATATTTTTGGATTACCCTAAAATATTTACCAGTTTTATAAACACCCTGTATGACGTTTCATTTTAAAGCTCGGTCTTTGAGCATGTAGAATTTGGTCCAATGACCCCTAGCTACCCATCCTTATCGCTCGCGCGTAATTATATTGCTGTCGCGACTGTGCGACGCGCGCCCGCAGTGAGTGTGCGAGCGCGACAGCAACATAAATACGCGCTAGCGATAAGGATGGGTAGCTTGGGGTCATTGGACAAAATTCTACATGCTCACAGACCAGAATAGCATATAGGTAATTTATTCATCTATATCCTCATCACACGAATTATGTGATCTCTATTTAACTGATAGTTGTATGTTACCTCAGATCATAGAAAGAGAATAGATATGAAGTCGCGCGTAACTACAACGAGAACCAGTGTCCCCACATTTCCCCCACCACAGCTCCCACACACACATTCAACTGTGTAAAAACAAAGCGACTGAGAGTCTACGACAACATGTGCAACCGGCTTAAAAGTGCTGTGATTGGCCAGAAGGCGTGCCTTATGGCCAATCAATGGCCGCGTGACGCGACGCACACTTTGAAAAAAGCAATTAGAGAGAAGAAAGATAAAATGGAGTCGATAAGATATCGATACTTTAAATCCTGGGGGCAAGGCTCGAAATTGGTTTAAAAATGCTTGTATGAAAACCTTTTTATTATTATACGTTATTATTATGTTCTTTAACGATTTTTGCATAAAGGAGTCAGTTCCATTTTGTATGGACGAAAAACTCAGAATCAATTATTGGGACTAAATGAAGTTACCTTATATTAATTTACCCCAACCAAAGCTCAATGTCGTTATCGATGGAGTATAGAAGTTATAGACTGACAAAGTTTGTATGAAAAGTCATGGGTTAAGTAGGTACTTGCGATTTTTACCAGTATTTACAATATTGGTAATATATTATTATTTACTTTAATAATAATAACAGGATCACTGTAATTATTATTAACTACTATCGCGCATTAACTTTTTAATTATGGCGAAATTCGTACCGCCTATGTTTATCAAAAATAATGCCTATATTAGGCTTTCAACTAGCTCTTATAGTAATTACATAGTTGACAGTTACTAATCCCTTCTACTATTGTTATTGTTTTTGTAAAAACTTAAAAATCGCAAGCAACTCATGATTTTTTCATTCAAAATTAGAAAATAGAAAATAATAATTTACTTCTATTTATCGATAATAGGAAACCGTATTAGAACACGAGCCCTGCACTATGTTACGACCGGCACATGCGGCCGTACTGTGTATTTTCACGCGTCAGTGGATATCGGAAGAAATAAAATACATTGCGCAGTAGTTACGCATGACATAAAGTGGTTGCTAACTAAATCGTCAATGTACAACGTGTTTGAATTTTTATCACCACTAATTTCGATATCGCAGTAAATGTCACGGCACTGAATTCGTTCGTAAAAATGTTTAGTTTTTTTTATTTATAAGCAAAATACCAATGGATTTGCAATACTTACATGTGGTAAATGACTTCATTGTTCCTGTAGTTCTTCGTTTCACTTATGTTATTGCACGTTACGACGCATTATCCAACAATATCGGAGAACATTTCCTCAGTACGACTGAATCGCGACTAACCTGGCGTCGCGGGCGATGTTCGTTTCTGGGCATATCGCGGAGACACGCGCCACGCCCCCGTTTCACATCTATTCCCTTCTATGATCTGAGTATTTTACCATTAAATAAGATAAATGTTAGTGGGCTTAGTTAAAGCTCGTATAATAATATGTACTCGATATTGTATTTCGGATAAGGAACTTACACAGAACATATTATAATAATGTTTTCGTGTGTAGTTGTTGCAATTCACGAAGGCGAGCGAGTTTTACATGTGTGGTGGCTAAAAGTTTTGATAGAAATTACACTATCGTTGTGCATGTACACGTACACACACAAGTAAAGCTCACTCGCCTTCATGAGTTGCAATAAAATAATTTATATGTACTCGTATGTATTTATTAATATTCAACTTAGAATAAAAAGGTAAGTACTTCAGAAACAAATGTAACTTAGAAAGATGTAGTGATTGCCCATGCCCAGTGTTATGGGGTAGTATTTAAAGCTTGAATAAAAATATCTGATTAAAAAAGATCTGGCAGCCCAGATACTATGAATATATCTTAGAAAAACTAGCTCAGTCTTTACGAAATCGTTTCAAAGAGGGGAAAATTGCGTATATTTCTAAACTGGGCAATCACTACCCGAGCTACTAACTTTTATCCAGCTCCTAGACAAAGTGACGTTCGTGATCGAGTCACGTAGCGAAGTAACAGCGTAGAAAAAAATTAGCGAGCGATCTCGAAATTGAATCTATCACCCAGTTACTTTGTCTATTGGGTTAGTTTGTTTCAAACATGCTGAGGCGAATGGTACGAACCACTAGCATATTTAACCGACATTTTTAAAATTCATAAAGGTAGATTCATGTTTAAATAGTACTGTGCAAAGTGAAGATCTTTTGATTTTCTGAGAGCTATTTTTGTTACTGTGAACACTTTTCACTCTTTCACTTCACTTTCTTTTGAGATTTATATTGGAAAAAGTAATTCAGCAGCGATTCGCGCCAGCTAAGTAAAATATAATTATAAAAATGTATATTTTACCTTCAAGTCAATTATTGTTAAGGTTTATTTATAATTATTTATTATGTTAAACACCACTAACTTTTATAGATGCATTCCCAAAGCTTTACATTGCATATAATTATACACTATTTTACATACTATTATAGTTACAGTATTTATCAATGTCAATTTAAAAGTAAGTTTATGGAATCTACTTAATTAGTTTCTCAAAATTAACTACCTATCAACTCTTCGCCGTTCATAGAGGTGCTATTTAACCTACAATTTTATAAAAAAAAAAAAGCAATTCGGACCATTTTATAAAATTTTCTATCAATAGACTACTTGCCTTCTGTTTTTATCTAGTTTGTATATTTATTTTACATTTGTAACTATGTAATTATGTATACTTAGTCGTAAACCTTCAACTGCATAGTTGAAATAACGCAATATACCAGTATGCTTATTGATTTACAGCTTGTCATTATTTATTTTTAAATACGTCATTAGTTAGAGAAATTATTACAATTTATTAATTAATTATCTACCTAAACTTCTCTATTTTAAGGTTTTGCGTTATTTCAATTATACGCTGTTTAAATAGTTACTACTAGATTAATAAACGGCGTTTTATAATTTATGTAAATTGTAACTTAATTGCATTAAGTAATGTTAAGCGCCTGCGCTGCAGATATAAAATGAAATCATCACCACAGATTTCCGTGCTATTGGTAGAATCTCTTTGTTATTTTATAATTTTGTATTGCATCGCTTATCGTAAAGTGGTAAGATAAAGCAATTAAGCAAACATTCGATGCAAAGCATACATGATGCGATTGTAGTTTTAATAAAATTCGATAAGCTAATGTTATTATGGTATTTTGAAGTGCCTGAGAGCACTTGTCTGAGGTATGTGATAAAATTGATGGGATATAATCTTGGAAAGTCGAAGACTAATACGGTCTGTGATGTATGACAAGTAGCGCACATACGATATTATATTTATTAAAACTTAAATTAAAATAATTAATTATGTTAGGGGCACTAATAGATCATTGGCAACTGTCAGACCCATGATAATTATTTTTTGAAGAAATATGCCACTTTTGAAAAGACGTAAATTAAGTTAGATGGCTTTTAGTTTAGTATTATTGTCATTATTTAAATAAAAATGTCATCAAACCAGCTCATTACACGGAAAGACAATTAGTACTAAATCAATCATGTAACATTTTTGTATGATGACATTTTAAAAATGACTGAGTACTACTAATGCACAATGGTTACAATATTCCAATGTATTTCTCACTTTAAGTTGTTATTAAGTATTTATATTATGTTTAGTTGACTGTGTACTTCATTATATGTAGTCTTAAGCATTCCAGCACTTGCACTGAATTATTAAATTTTAGGTAGGTATTTTATCAAGTATTATTGGTGTTATATGGAGATATGTATGGTTGACGATTCAGAACTGTTACATAAGAAGGTAATCAAAGAGATGATTGTATGGATCATGAAACAATACCGAAACCGCACATTTAATTGTAAGATTCTGAATCGCCTAGCCGGAATAGGTACTTATATCTAATTGTACTATCCCCTCATTCATAAAAATATAAACTGTTATGATGATGATGATCAATGCATCGATTGGCTAAGATTTTTATGAATAAAGGGGTATATTTATGCATGGTCGTCAACACATTGGTCTATACATTTTATGTTGCAAAATAACACCTAGTACTATAGACATAAGAGTTAGCTTGATGTGCTGTCGTCCGTACTGTAAACCGTTGGTGACGAATAAAAACCTTAATAAATCAAATTTTACATCTAAATGAACAGCAAACTCTTATTAGCAGCTAATCAATGAATCTGAACAAGGGTAGGTACAGTACAGCGATTATTATGAAATTAGTTATGAAAAAAAAAAACTGTTCTTTTCTCGTTTAATGTTCCTATAGGCACTTTAGTAAACTTCAACATACCTGAGGTTTTAGTTAGTCACCAACGAAATATAAATAAGACTGCATATATACCGTGTGTTTTTATGTATTCAATGTCAAATACATGTAATGAATGTAACTGGGTTGTTTTATTTGTAGAAGAGTTAGTTCCCATCCACCACACTATTCTAACATTTTTAAGTAATTAATTAGTTCCTCATTTAGAATGTTTAAAAGTAATATACTCATTTCAATACCAAATAAAATTATAAGGCGTAATATGCAGCATTCTTTATTGATAACATTTTGTATAACTTGATCTTTAATCACTTGTTAGATACATAATGTAAAATTAAATTATTAAAATGACACAGGCCTAGGTAACTGGAGTTTGAAGTTATGTAAGTAGGAATGACATCTGAAGGTGTTACCAATATTTCTATGGACTGCTGCTTTTAGTGCCATAATTTCAAAGGTGTTTTAACTATCACAATTTGTCTTATAATCAAAGTGATAAAAAATTATTAGTTTGAATAAAATATTATCTATTGAAGTGCATTTCCAGTAATCATTTGAACAAGCCATAGTAGCTTGAAGTAATTAAGTTTATACATAGAGAGAGAATATGGTAAAATAAAACACTGTGTAACATTTGGTATTTATATTACAGCCAAGCTGAACTGCTGATCCCTGCTAAAGAAATAACAATTACTTTAACAGACATTGATCTAGATATTAGCTATTTATGATACAAGTTGCACTGTTGCAGGAATGTTATTATTAGTTGTACTTTATAGAGAAAATGTTTAATTTCATTCTACAAATGCAAGGGGACACAACACAAGTTAATTTCAATCTACAGTTACACAATTTTAGATACATATAAATGTAATAAACTGTTTCCTAATTTTAACATTGTTTAGCAACTCACAAACAACTTTAAATAATTACAGTATGAAGATGTCAAAAGGATTTAAGACTAGAGATAAAATGAAATAAATTACTAAAACTATTATGGATCCTATTTTAAAATGATTTTTATTATGATTCAAGTACACATAAACTACAGATAATCATGACATGTCATTTTTATTAAAAATGATGATGTTGCATTAAGTATAATTGCCTAGTCATCAATAATAACATGTATTGCAGACTAAGCCTACTGAAGGTCAGCAATCGGTGGTCGTAAGGTTGCACTAAAGGTCAGAGAACAATAGGTAGGTACTATAATGTAACTATCTTCTGCATGAGTTCTATGTAAAATAGAAACAATTTAAATTCAATTGGTGTACACACGGTTGTACTAAAGGTCAATTAACAATACCATCATCTAACAATCTATAGAGCTAAGACTTCTATTTGATAATAGAAACAACAATTAAGTATACTGTGTGTGTACAGCTTTTGTGACAATCAAATGCTTAATAACAAATTCATGATCTTAAAGCTCATTGGTAAACATTGCATAAAAGGAAAGGTTTTATTGTTCTAGCACATGACAGGACATCACTGCAATTTAGTCAATAATATTGGACTACTTAACATTAATTAATCTGCTATCCTCTCAATTCCAACGTCAATGAAGGCTTTTTTGACATCCTCAAATACTTTTTTAGGTGCCACCTCAGCATTGATCTTACGCACCAGCCCCTTCTGGTCGTAGTGGTCGATGATTGGCATGGTGTCGTTCAGATACGTGTTGAACCTCTTCTTGAGACTGTCTAGATTATCATCGGAGCGTCCGCTGCCGGCGGCGCCGCGGCCCAGGCACCGCTCTGTACACAAGTCTTGAGAACATTCGAAAAACAGGACAAACAGCAGTTTAGTCTTATCAGACATGACGCGGGTCCAGCCCTCCAAGTTGTCCTTGTTACGTGGAAAACCATCGATGAGGAAACGCGACTTGCCAGACTTCTGCATGGCTTTGTGAAGCAACGAACACGTAACCTCAACGGGAACGATTTGTCCATCACGTATTTTCTGTTCTATCATCTCTCCATACTCCGATCCAGGCCTCTGACGCTCCTCCCGTAGCAAATCACCAGCCGACAGGTGCACAAAATCAAATTCATTGGAAATAAGCGTACACTGCGTTCCTTTACCGGCACCGGGTGCTCCCAACACGAATACAACCTCGGGCAACATTTTATTTAAATGGCTAGCAAGAAGCCGTGTCGTGCGATATAACATTAACTGATGAGTGAGACTAATTTAATCGCTGGAATTAATTGTTTTATAAAACATGCGCACAGCTGCAGCCTTGAAATCTTTGACGTAACGCAGGGGGGAGGACGGGACGGGGGACGGAAAGAAAATTGACGTTTTTTTTTTTTGAAGCAAGGACAATGATATACAATGCTTTGACAAATATAACGAATAACGTTATCACACCAATATTATAAAGGCGAAAGTTTGTGATATTTTTTGAGCATATTTATTACTTCTTTACGTCTAAACGGCTAGAGAGATTTTAATAAAATTTGGTATGGAGTTAGCTGACACCTTCATTTATGTTTTACGCGGGGCACAGCTAGTATTTGTTTAATTCCTTCCTTGCTACCGTCCCGTTAAAATACTGAGGGCGTATCGTATAAATTATGCATGGTGTTGTTTAATCTTTGGGTTTTCTTTAGATAAACCGAGATATTATAACTCATTTTTTAACTTTATAATGTAGAACTACCGATCTTGGCCATTTAATGTTTCAAAATCGTTCAAATAAATTGCCACGTGGCGGTAACCACTTCGCTAACTTGGCCTACATACACGGCCTACACCAGCACAATCTCAAACCACATTGTATGTAGTTTTCGTTCGACCGATCGTAGTCTACTTGTTGGACTGGTGTTTACGGTGGATGGAAATTGGATAGGAAATTAAAGATCCTGTTCCCACCATATAAAATAAAATAGGAGAGGAGTGTGTTTGAATAACCAATCAGGATTTTTTATTCCACGACCGCTCAGCTCAGCTTCAGCTCGAAAACCGGGCCTTGCTATCTGTATACTACCTACCTATTCATAAGTTATTTGGGTATATTAATAAAAAAAATTATTATAAATTATATTTTTTTTATTTAAACTAAAATCAATTACACACGAAAAAAATCCTATATCACAATCTGGTGGCGGCGTCGGACTTAGGTAGATAGACGTCTAATTACCTGTAAAGAAACAAAACATAATAAATAAAAATGCATTATTATTGTTCATCAACCTCGTACAAGCAATATGTGAAAACTGTCATCAGAAAATGTTGTATGACCTCAATGAAATTCAGAACAGGTCTGTGAAAATCATCATGTAACTTTACAATTATTATATTTTTCCATGTTCCATTGTAAATCAATGAGTTAAACAGAATGAGTTTACATTTTATTTTAAAATTAAGTATGTAATATTTACCTGTAGGTCACTGGAACGTCAACGTTTGAATGCGTGATCGTGTTATCTCATCTAAAACAAATTAAAAATGAATTAACGACACATTTAATATTCTCGCGAACAAATAACTTATTTTAGACTATCAGAAAAATAATGTTGACCTCAAGATAATTCAGAACAGCGGGCCTAAAAAGGCCGCTTTGAGCAATTCTTATTAGATTCTTAATATGATTCAGATTTAAAAACACAAAATGGCCACTTGTCGGCAATTCATATTATGATTCGGATACAATTCATATTCGGCAATTCATTTATTTGACAGTTTTGTATGAGAAATCGTAAAATGGTCCACAAAATAGGAATTGCTAATGTGTCAATTAGCAGAATCATAAGAAGTTACTCGAGAGCAACATTTTACAATTCAGCTAGTTTGTAATTTTAAAAAATAAATTAATTATGGCATATTTAGGCCTTTATGTAAACTTTTGGGAGCATTTATGTATTATGGAAAGTGTTTTAAATAGTCTAGGCTAGTATGGGGTGTTCGCAAAGGGTGCTTTGGACTTAGAATTGAGTAATATAATTAGAAATAGAAATGCATTATAAAACTTCAAAATACCTATTTGTTGAAAATGTGTACCTATACCTCAATCGATTCTTACAAGTATTTACCTACCTAATTTAAATCCTATAGTAAATAACTATCTAGGTATGAGTCCACGATTTAGGGGCAGGATTGAGGAGGGTAGGGAGAGGGTAGCTATTTAAAAGCAAAAAAAATGAAAATATAATTAATAATAGTCGGTTTAATTTTTTTTTATAAAATTTTACCTATTTCTTTTTAACTAATTATTACCTTGATGTTACCACTGAAGGTAGACAGTACATTGAGACCATATTCTTCATGTCTAGTGTAAAATAATATTCCTTCCAATATTCCATATCGGCAACCTAAAAAGACCTTAAACCGTCAACCCAGCTTAAAAACATAAAAGAAAACAACTGTTGGTCTATTTGTACCTATATTAAAGAATAAATCCTCCAACTCCTAAGCATTATGGAGTTGTACCTAATGACTATCTGATGCAAACACTTGAATAACTTTAGAAACTATACTTATCTATAAAATTAAAAGAATTATCCTCCAACTCCTAAGCATTAAGGAGTTTTACCTTCTATCATCAGCTGATGATGATGATGATTTCCAGGAGCAAATACTTGAATAACTTAAGAAAAAGTTTGAAAAACGATATACGTGCCTATAAAATTTGAGGGTTGCCCTCGATTTCCCTAGGATCCCATCATCAGATCCTGACTTGGTGACAATGGGACTACCTCAGAAGTGTACTCTATCGAACAAAAAAAGAATTTTGAAAATCGGTCCACAATTGACGGAGTAATCGGTGAACATACATAGAAAAAAAAAACATACAGTCGAACATATTATAACCTCCTCCTTTTTTGAATTCGGTTAAAAAAATATAATTAGCTGGATCACTATTCAATATTAAGAGGATATAAGTATTTTCTTTTATGTTTGAGTTCTATTTTAAGATAAATAAGTGCATAATTTTTTGAAGGACACTGAGTTTCCACAACAAAATGCATAAACGAAACCTTGCACAATCCCTCCCTACCACACTAAGCGAATATTGTTTCTTTTGTCAATAACATAAAATAACGCTTGGAATGTATGTCAATCACTTAAAACCTTGATTTATCGCCTAAATCATAAGAGTTTAGTTCAAGCATAATATTCCGTGTCTATACAATGGTATTGTTTACATTAACTTGACCTTCATTATTGTTGACACCTAACTTGTTGCCAGTCGTAAATAAAATAGTGAATGATTTTTCATTTCTCATTTTTGGCTTCTAAACTCAAATAATTTGATGTTATTAAATTACTTTTATTAATTTAAAACAAGTTATGAGGTAATTGTTCAAGATTTTCAGTTTAAAATGTAAAAAAAGTCGTAGAAATGATAACCAGTAAAGTACGGTTTTTATTATTCACATGTGGCAACATAGACGCCGAATATGAATCTGCGGATGAATTGAATTGCGGCAATTCTGCCAAAATGTAAGACCATTTTATGAAAATTAGAGGAATTGCTTATGATCTGCTATGAATTCTGGAAATGAATTCCTTTTAGCAATGTTGCGTGATTTGGCCTTTTTAGGCCCCCAGGTCTGTGAAGATTCATCATTTAAATTGCTACAGTAACAAAAAGTATGTAGTGAAAATTGTTGAGATAAAAACAATAATTACAAATTCTGTAACTTTTATGCATTACACTGATACAACAAACATCGTAGGAAATAATATGTAATAGAAAGTAGGTAAATAATAAATATTTTATTATAATTACCTGTAAGCCACAGGAGCGTCAAGCTTCGAAGGCAGCATGACTCATCTAAAAACAAACAAATAAATAAATAATACATCCCATTGTTATTATAATAAACTGCATATTATCAAATATTCAGAAGAAAAATGTTGACCTCAAGATAATTCAGAACAGGTCTGTGAAGATTCATCATTAAAATAATGCATTTTAAGTCAAATACATAGTGACAATCGTTCAAAGATAACAGTTGTTGATTAACATACCTATGCAGCAAAATTAATTTATTGTAGCCTTATTTTGAGTGAGCAGAAACAACAAAAATGTTTCCAAACAGATTTTAAGACCAGTTTTTAATTTGTTAAACATTAATGTAACATTAATTTCTTGTTTGGCAAAAAAGCACCTATGTTGCAATAAATGAAACTTACCTTCCATTACACCAGCATAATCATCCGTCTTCTTTACAGTTTGCAGTGAAAGAACCTGTAACAACAAAGGAGCGTTTAACAAAAGAAGTAATTTATAAACAATACTTTATTATTTCACTATTTATTCAGTCCTGTTGAGCTTGTATAAACCGTCATGGTGGCATCAGGGCGGATTTTATCATCATAATAAAAATTACTGTATTTTTTACATTATTGTTAATGGAGAACATTAGGTGACACCACATGGTTAGCAAATAGTTAAAACCTTTTGCAATAACTTAACCAATGTTTAAGCCTAGGCGAAGACCACAAACTTTTAGTTGGCCGACAGTTGGATCGATTTCCAATATGTATGAAGAATTGACGCGCGTGTGCGCACTTCCATACATGGTCATACTGATCAACAGCCCGACCCAACTATCGGCCAACTAAAACTCGGTGGTCTGCGCCTAGGCTAAATATGGAGAATTTTACTCACCATTCGTAAAGATGTGTTGTATGATCATTGACGCAGATGGTGGTTCCCAGGGACCTGTGAAAAGTTATCGAGGTTTAGTTTTGTTCGAAGTAAACATAGTTTATTTAAATTTTATTTTTCTTCAGGCCTGTTGAGCTTGTAAAACCGTCATTATGGCATCTGGCTACGATTTATCATCACTTTGAGAAACATAAAATTGTTCAGAAACGTGAATTTATTCAATGCTTGATTGATAAGAACAATCAGTTTTACATAGTCACGAATGCAGATAAATTTAACTACTGTACTTTCAAACTAGAATAACAATAAAATGCCAAAAATATAATCACCTTATGTGAGCAGAAATCGCCAATCAGCACCTATAACAGTAATTTGTTGAAATTTTCATGTCTGCTTTATAAAAGTAAAAAATATTCAATTATTCAAAGAATACCAACCTTTGGAACAGTTTTTATCACCTACTCTACCAATAAAACACTACTTTTACAATAGAAAAATTATAATTTAAAAATTAATTACAGTATAAGTAAAGTAGTCCTGGTTCCCCACTACATATCAAGTGATAACAATTTTCACGAATGAAGGGATAGCATTATCATTTCTTTTAATATATTTATATAATTGTGATACTACATAATAACAGTCTAGTATCACACGTAATGTGGTAATATGTATTAACAATGCATTATATCGACCAGCAATATTTATTGGTAGCTCGCTTGCGCTTACAAACTTATCGGCGAACATAATGGTGCGGGAGGCGCGTGTGGTACATGTTATATTACAACGGATTGTTTTAGCTACGCAGTTTACAATTTGTCCAGGTATTGAGTTAAGTCGGGGAGACCCTCCTTCAGTCCTTTCCGTTTCCTCGTTTCCTGTGAACAAACGCTAGAGTTATTATCTTGAGCTATGGAATAACATTCAAGGGTGATATTGTAGGTGAATGTAAATGTATCGTCCGCGCCGTAGCGTGCAGTCCCGGGACATAAGGATAGAGGTCCTGTGCAGCGTTTGGACGCGGTCGAGCGTACTTTAATCTGCTTCCCGAGCACAGCCGGCGCTGTCGCGGCGCGCGCGCGCACCCCGTTAGGAGCGCACGCCACGCGCTACAGCTCGACACGGATCGTGCAGGAAGGGACAAATGACAAAAAAACTGAGAATAACTTTGAACTCTTTCCATCGCGATCAATGGAATCGTTAAATTAGTCGTGTCGAATGAGACATGTGGCTTACTATCGAATCGATTTGTGTCCAAAAATGACATACAAAACAAATTGTACTGATATGTACTAAAAAAATTCTAATCATCATTGTCATCTTTTCCGTCATGGCCGAATGACGCAGCGCAATGAAAAAGTACATTAGTTGTTTCATTCAATAATGCTGTAACTTCATCATCATTTCAGCTATAGGACGTCCACTGCTGAACATAGGCCTTCCCAATGATTTCCACAATGGCCGGTTGGTGGCGGCTTGAATCTAGCGCATTCCCGATACCTTCTACGTAACGTCGTCCTACGCGTCCTACGTAAATAGACTTGATGAAGTGATATTACCCTGCAAATAAAAAAAAAGTCTATCGTCGTAATTACCTGCACAATGACGTAGGACTTGGTGCCGGGCTCGCAAGGATCAGCGGGCAGCACTTGCCAATGGTCGAACACGCACTGCGGGAAGGCCTGTCCTCCGGTGTTGGAGCGGAGGTCGGCGGTAAAGCCGAACGACTCGTTGACGGGCAGGTAGGCCTTGACCACGAACATCGGAGTACCGGCCACTTGCGACTCCTCGAACACGTGCCCTCGGCGTCTGTTCAGGACTCCGTAGATACCGCCCACGGCCACTTCGGGGCACTGGATACAGGAATATGTGTTAAGAAGTGGACCCACTTTCGTTATAATAACATAGAAAAGGTTTCAATAAAGAAATATTTGCAAGTTTCAATTAAAAATTTCTATCAGTATCCATTTATCAAGATGTAAAATGTTGATATAATTATTAAGACGCCAGGTGACGGTCTTTTCAACCGTGGCGTCCACAGAACCTGGTGTTATTCTAGATTTTACTCTAGAGCAACACATGCTAAGAGGATGATATTTTAGTTCAAACAACAAACTTATTGCAATGTCTGATTAACTATTTTGATAAACACAAAGTATTTTTCTTTCTTTTTTATTTTCAATATTCAATAAAAACTTCATTCACAGCTACAAGGACTGCCGAATATTGGGTGTAGTTAAAATTTTGTATACACTTGTTAGATCCCCTATTCAGGCAAGGTGTATGTGGGGTGACCATGCCAAAACAAAGAACTGTTGCTCTGCCACGTCTCGGAAAGGCGGGACTATCGGTACATGCTAGCCCGCTCAGGAAAAACGTGGGTCACTACATGCTTGGAAACATACAGTGGTAAGGGACAACACACTTTCATGCAAAAATATTTTATTCTCTCAATCATTTTATAACGTCCCCCAGACTACAGACTTTCGCCTGATAATTTAGTCGAGCTCTTTAATAGATTACTAGCTTTTGACCGCGGCTTCACCCGCGTGAAATTTAGTTGGTCACAGATTTCCAGGATAACATATTATGTTATCCTGGAAACAATAATACTGCAGTTTCATCAAAATCCGTTCCGTAGTTTTTGCGTGAAAGAGTAACAAACATCCAGACATCCACACAAACTTTTGCATTTATAATATTAGTAGGATTCTACTTTGTCCAAATGGTTCCAAGGTGAAATGAGGACACTAAAAATTCCACTTTCTTCACCAGGTGAAAAAAGTGAAGTAAACCGCTCTTAATCAGTATGATTATGAACACTTACCATCAGGTGAGATACAGACCAAGAGCTTCCTCGTTGTGGAAAAAAAAAAAAAAAAAAAAAAAAAAAATGTATCGATTTGGTATTGGCTGCTTTCTCATACAAATTAGAAGCCGACTAAAAGTCTGTATTCTGCGGGGTCTAACTAAAAAAATGTACATACCTGAATCTCGCACAAGTAGATGGGCTCCATAAGCCTGGGCTTGGCGGTGAGCAGGCAAGCGTAGAGGCACCGCCTGGTGGTGGGAATGATCTGACCGCCTCCCCTGTGGATGGCGTCGGTGTGCAGTGTGACGTCATAGATGTTGAAGCGCACTGCGCGCAGGTTCTCCTCGGCCATGACGCCCTCCTTGGACGCCCATTGGAATCCGGCGACGACGGAGTCCTTGATTTCGTTCAGGTACTGCACTCCCTGTTTGGAAATGGATAATGGTTTAGTTTGCAGAATCGTTAGAGTGGAAGTGGGCGGGGCATTCAGTAGAATGGAGGATCGTTCTCAAGTGACACTAAGCTCTCAACCCATAGTGATGACTGTATAGATTGCGAGAAGCGTTCGAATGCAGGTAACTCAGAACTATTCGTCGCGGAATTTCTTGAGGCCTGTCCAATAGTGAATGTCTTCTTATCAAAAAGGATCACTATCACGCAATATCTTAGCAATTTCTATAAAATAATGGGGAAATCCATAGTCCCTTCCTCTGTAAAAATCTGATAGTCTCTTCAACAACTTCTGTGTTTCGCATGTTACTAAGCTTCCTCGTGACTAAAGCGTGGGTGATAGTAAATAACAAGAAATTGGGTGTTTTCAAAGTCAAAGTCATACTAGTACCCATAGTACAAGCTTTGCTTAGTTTGGGACTAGGAGCGCAGTGTAAAATGTCCAAGGATATTTATTATAATTATTATTTATAAATGATCAAGACGCCTTTCGCCGACGTCTCCTCCGGCAATGGCCAACAGGATTAGCCAACAGTCGTAAAAAGGGTGTACGTACCTTAGAGCAGTCGACGAGGATGTTGGGGCCGGTGCCCTCGGGCCCGAAGCACCAGATCTTACGCGCCTCGGTCACGTCGTAGTTGTACTTGTCGGTCAGATAACGCGCACGGGTCTTGAAGTCATCGCGGGGGTTCACGTGGCCCTGGAAAGAAGAATTTGTTATTTAGGCCAACAACACTATAAATAGTCCCCAACTTTCCTCTGGAAAATTAGAGCGTCGTGGTCCTACAGAGGAGACAAAATGACCTGGTGGTGATAATATCAACAAAAGTACACTAGTTTCTTCAATCTATTACTACAATACTTAGTGAAAATTCAATTTAAAAAGCATAAATGCCTCTCCTTGTGTAAAATCTAAGTCTCAATCGCGACATCTTGATACATCCACCTAATCAAGATGGCAATTTGCGCCGCCGCCATCTTGAAACATCCACGTAACCAAGATAGCGATTCGCGGCGCCGCCATTTTGAAACATCACGTAACTAAAATGGCGATTCGTGGCGCCATTTTGTAATCTTACAAGTAGTTACAAGGTGGCGACTCAAACTAATTGTGTGTACATAAACTTATTTATTTTGTTAATGTTTTCCATACCTCGTCAATGTCCTCGGCAAGACCCTCAGGCATGGGTTGGGCCTTCATGAAGAGCCTGTTGTGCTTGTTGGGCGACTTGGACAAGCACATCTGGTCCGACTCCTGGTTTACGGTCTCGCGGTACGACACCACGGGGTCGGACTTCTTGATTGGAATGCAAGCGTGGTCCTCTTCTAAGTCCTGGAATGACATGTTCGGTTACTATTGATGTACGAGACAATATAATTGATGCGCTTCTAGATCTACGTCAATAGGTAAGTGAAGCTCACGACTTTCAATTAAAAATGTAGTCTGCATCTGCCTCTGCAAACTTTACAAATGGAAGACTAGGTACATATCGCGTCTCTTTCACGCGACTACATATCGCGTGATCCATTTAAGAATAAAAAACAAACTAATTATTTAAAAGGACTAATACGTAATTTTTCTTGAATATTTTTCTAATGTCCCTTTTAACCCCTCTAGAGAAACTGTGTTATGAGTGGGTCACCACAATAATCCCAGCAGACGATGACGACCGGACTAGTGTTTCTAGAGTCTAGAATGGGTACTCCAGTCGTTGTTTAGTGATAACGCTCGCACCTTCCATGATATTGGTAAAACATGTTGACACATTTCTAAAATTGTGAAACCTCTCTCATATTGCTTTGTGAAGTGTTTTACAGATGTTTATCTTTATATTTACCTTGAGACAGATCTCAAGATGCAGCTCTCCGGCTCCAGCCACGATGTGCTCGCCAGACTCCTCGTTGATGCACTGCACCATGGGGTCGGACTTGGCCAGGCGCTTGAGACCCTCGACCAGCTTGGGCAGGTCGGCGGGATTCTTGGGCTCGACGGCGACACGCACCACGGGAGATACGCTGAACTTCATCACCTGGGGAGATTGAGGCATGTTTAGCACTGACTCGGCAAAGAGAAGAATGCTCTTATGTTAAGAGAATGAGGGCTATCGTTTTAGCGCTCACCAGTTAGCGCCACTGTAGAGTAAGGTCCTGTCACTTGCTAGTAGCGAAGACAGTGGCACCAACTGGTGAGCGCGAAAGTGGTAGGAGGACTATCACATTTGCACTCATCAAGATGGCGCTACTGTAGAGTAAGGTCCTGTCAATCGCCAGGGGTGCCAACTCTTAAGTATAAAAACGATAGCCCTCATTGACGAATTTCGACTGGCTGGTAAAATTTATCATGTACTAAAAAGTGGTCATTATCAAAAACAATTTTGATTATCAAGCTGGACAAGCCGAAGACAGGGTAGAGGTCTATGTCCAACAGTAAAATGCTAATACAACTCTATAGCTAATGCTAAAGATTATGGTAATGTTACTCAAGACCAACTAATTTTTGTCTTTAATTTTTATGTTCAAAGATTTGAAATTGGCTTTCTATCATCATCTTGTCCTGACATAGTTCAATCAGTTGGGACTTTTGCGTCACAGATGCTTGACATACATACGTAATACATTTTGTATGAAATTGTATCTAACATTTATGGGGTCACCAGCTATAGTAGCCGACAACCAATTCCGGAAAGAAATATACTTTTAGTCCACTTTGACACCCAGAAGCTTATGATAAAGTAACTGGCAACACTTGGGACTGTATTTTATAACAGTGACGTTTAACCTACGTGTGATCTCTCTCATCACCAAGTGTAATGGGAATCGAACCCTCTGCACTTTCCCCCAGGACAAACTTGACCTTCACAGGCTGGATTTTGCTTGTAGATCGTAGCTACAGAAAAGTTACAGCGGTGGGAACGAGAGGTGGGAATAGTTTCGTTAGGAGTTTAATCTGGGATCTAGCCATAAGAACCTTCATGTTGTGTGCGTTCTTGAAAGTGGTGATGGTTCCGGTCTTGACGAGGAACTGGTCGACGCCGACCAGACCGCAGATGTTGCCGGACGGCACATCCTCGATGGCCTCGACGTAACGGCCCATCATAAGGATGGTACGCTGGATGGTCTTCTCGTACAAGTCCTGCAGAGAGCGAGATAGGTTAATAACATTATTTTTTTAAACAACTAGTGGTGTCGTTATCTAAACTCGACGCTAAGACTCGTGGCAGGCGGTGTAATAATAAGACAGTGCATATCACGTTTTCTCTCGCACTCACACTGGTTATGGGTGCCGTCACACAGAGGCAGGCATAGCGTTGTTTATATTACGTAATCTATGTATATGTATACTATATTATGAATGCGAAAGTAACTCTGTCCGTCTGTCTTACATAAACCACTGAACCGATTTTGGTGAAATTTAGCATAGAGATAGTTTGAGTCCCGGGAAAGGACATAGGATAGTTTTTATTCCGGTTTTTGAAACAGGGACGCGCGTCCCTGTTGCTATGCGCGTTTTCCTGTGACAGAAAAAAATCCACGCGGGCGAAACCGCGGGCGGAAAGCTAGTAATTAATAAAATATTGGCGAGTGTGCATCTCTGTTTCAAAAATTACTTATGGCCCCGCCTGCCACGATTAGATATGATAGAAAAACAATAGAGAATATGTATCGTCCGCGCCGTAGCGTGCAGTCCCGGGACATAAGGATAGAGGTCCTGTGCAGCGTTTGGACGCGGTCGAGCGTATTTTAATCTGCTTCCCGAGCACAGCCGGCGCTGTCGCGGCGCGCGCGCGCACTCCGTTAGGAGCGCACGCCACGCGCTACAGCTCGACACGGATCGTGCAGGAAGAGAGTTCAAATGATTATGATTTTTTTTCTAAAAGTATTTATAGATCGCGCGACCAAAGTTGAGGCGAACTCATACTCACACTGATGTATTATTTTAATACAGAACACACAAATCAATCATAATATGCAAGACAAGATATAGCGCAAGTTCACTGACAAACTTACTCGTCACGAAATCTCAGAAACTACAAGTGCTAGGAGTCTCAAATTTTGCATTTGGGATTTTGCAACATTCAACCCCTAAGGGGGTAAAACGTACGCGTACGAAGTCGCGGGCGGCTGCTAGTACAGATATACATTTTTGCTTGTGTTGATCGCCTCAACTTATGCTGCGCGACCTACACCTATTTATGTGCTCAGTTTAGTACAAACCTCTTTCTTGCCAGGCTGGAAGTTGGGTCCCATGATGCGGGCCTTCTGTCCGGTGACGACCTTGCCGGAGAACACACGACCGAAGGCGTAGAAGCGACCCTTGTCGGAGGTCGGCACCATCTTGCTTACGTACATCATAAGGGGCGCCTCGGGGTCGCAGTTCTGTATGAAACATAATCGTTAATATTTACTTATCAAGTGTGTAATCGAAGACAGTGGTTTCTTGAAATGGTTCTAAAGTTATGATTTTGTGAATGAAAATTTAACAGCTCTTTCCCTTCAAGTACGCGCGTATCGAGACACAATAGAAATCAATAGGGTTTTCGCGTATGAAAGATCCGCTAGATGGCGGGACGTGGAGTCTGACTGCTGCGTGATTGGTGGATTTTGACATATCTGTCAATGTCATGTCAAAAATAACCAATCATGCAGCATTTGGATTTCGCGTCTACGTATTGCCATCTGGCGGATTTTTCATACGCGAAAACCCTCATTGTTACCGCGCCTTCATACGACTTAGGGTTTGATGGGTAAAATCTCAAAATGACAGGCATGCGAAAAGTTTCTTACTACAAATAAAATGGTTTTTAAGGACTCACCTTGATACCAACGGCGGCCTCGTCATCGTGGGGTCCCTCGTACAACATCTCCATACGGTACTTCTGGGCCACCACAGGGGAGGGCAGGTGGATGGCAATCATCTGAAGCAGAGCCTCTCCGGCCGGCAGCCAGGTCCTCATGACGACCTAAACAACCAGATTTACAATAAATGCTATGGAAGAAAAAATTACCAGTACATATAGTTGAAAGTTTAATATCTGTATCTAACATTTATGGGGTTGTCAATCATAGACACTAACAACCAATTCCGGAAAGAAATATGCTTTAAGTCCACTTTGACACCCAGAAGCTTATGGATAAAGTAACTGGCAACACTTGGGACTGTAAAGAAAATTTACATCGAACTGGCTGGAAATAATCTTTTTTTTAAGTAGAGAAAACATAAAATATTTTTTACTACATATTGCATACTCTTTTTATCCGACTTAAACAAAAGGAGGTTCTCAATTCGGTTGGTATAAATTTTGTTACATAGGCTTATTATTTACCCTGTAGTTCAGTAATGGTGGCTTTCACCCAGAAAGGGATCCACACAGATAAGTTTTGATAATTTTTTAATGTAAAATATTGGCAGAAATAAAGACTATTAATGTACCTAATTTATTAATGTAGTCGGCCGTTTGGTGTAGTGGTTCGAAACGGACTACTATTCCGGAAGTAGCGGGTTCGATTCCCGCACAGTACAACCATTTGTGTGCATGAACATAATATTTGTTTGTATTAGACTGGGTGTTTTCTATGTATAATAAGTATGTATTAAAAAAAAGTATTTAAGTATGTTTATAATATAAACAACAATATAATATAAATATAATATAAGACAACGGATATAAACTTTATATCCGTTGTCTAGTACCCATAGTACAAGCTTTGCTTAGTTTGGGACTAGAAGCGCAGTGTAAAATGTCCAAGGACATTTATTTATTTACCTTGAGGAGGGCCTTTCCGTCCTTGTCGGAGTCCTCGTGCTTGAGGGTGACGCCGATCTTCTTGAGCAGCGAGTCGATCTCGTCCTTCTTGAAGTTCATGATGGCGTCGAACACCTTGTAGATGGGGTCGAGCACGTACATGCAGAACGAGCGCTTGTTATCGTTGTCCTTCTGCTTGGCCCACTTCTTGGTCTTGGCGTTGAAGAAGTTCTCTCCCCATAGTCTGGTGGAGGAGCAGAAACGTTAATGCTGAACTGCTGATGCTGCTAAACAAGTCATGTTTTGGAGATTATAGGCGTGTGACGGGCCGGTTTCTGCCCGGTCCGGCGTCGGACCATTGGGTGGGAATCGGATCAGAGGTGGAATTGTGTAAAGCAATCGTAATCATTTGACAGTTCATAACGTACGATAAAGTCAATTAAACAAAGCGTTTGACAGAATATTCATATAATATATGTATGTATGAATATATTATATTCATACATACATATATATTCATATTTATTAAGTCATAAACCTTTATTGCATCATCTTAGATTATCATCATAATTATAAGGTGCTCAATAGCACAAATTAATGCACACTTACTTATTTTCTTCTATTTGTCAAATTTTGTAGTAAGTTGTAACGTTCGCTGTGGGCCACGCACCCCTCTTTCATGGTTTCTGCAGAATACCAGTGGCCGTAACGTGCTCTTCAGTACGTTATGACCTCATACTGAGCAGAGACCAATTTGGTACAATGTATTTTGCTTTTTAAGTTGATTGTACTTATTGTTTAATTTTTTGGTACCAAATAAATGTTTTTTCTTTCTTTCTTTCAATTATCCTGCTTTCGCCTCCGAGATTTATTTTCAGGATAATTTAGATCGAACTTCACTTGGTAAGTTCGTTTGATCATTCAATAATCGTACGTTATGAACTGTCAAATGATAACGATTGCTTTACACAATTCCACCTCAGTTCGTCAAACACGCTCTTAGGCGAAGTAACCGACGTAAATTCTTACTCGGATAAAGAAATACTATATTTTACATAAGACTGTTTACATGATCGCTATACTTAGCCTAATTAGTAAAAATCCCAACTAATATTATAAATGCGAAAGTAACTCTGTCTGTCTGTCTGTCTGTTACGCTTTCCCGCTTAAACCTCGCAATCGATTTTGATGAAATTTGGCATAGAGATATTTTGAGTCCCGGGAAAGAACATAGGATAGTTTTTATCTCGGTTTTTGAAACAGGGACGCGCGCGATAAGGTTTTTCTGTGACAGACAAAATTCCACGCGGGCGAAGCCGCGGGCGGAAAGCTAGTAATGAATAAATCGATTTACACTTAGAACATTGCGTCGAGTCATTAGAGCAATTACAATGTCAGAGCCCTTTTTGAACTTGTTTCGACAACGGCATCGAATTAACGCCGGGTCAAACCGGTCTGGCGGGCAAGATGCCATTAGTATGGGGTGGTTGCGTTTGCGTTCTTAAACGCATGCTAACTAACGACTGACATTTCACTTACAGTTTTTTATCCAAGAAAAAGAAGTTACATGTAACGCTTTGATGATTTTCTATTCGTACGCGAATTTAAGATATGTATGTATTTACTTGTTATTCTTCTTATTGCATTGTTTCGGAAGCCTACAACAAAGTATAACGTTATTTAGCTTGTTTCTCAACAATAGTTGTGAAGAGCTCACAGAAGCAATCCACCAATCCAAGATGAGAAATTATGTTCGTCCTTTTCTGCCGCTGGTGTATAGCATCAAAAACTTTACCCAGTATCAACGGGACGAATTACCTAACCCAAATAAAATTAACTATGTTGCAACATGTAAAAAAAATATCAGTGTGTTTTTAGAAAATATACATTGTTTCTTTCAAAAACCTGCAATAAAATACTAGACAAGACCATGAAAGCCACGGGGCCGCCATTGAACTGCATGACTCATTGAAGCACTCCATCGGTGTTATTTATTTAGGCTACCGCAGTAACGTCGACTCGTTATATCATCATTACCGATCGATTTACACTCACGTGTGAATATCTTGACTCCCACGTGACTTGAAATTTTAACAAGTATCGCTTTACTTTATACTGTTTACACTGATATTTGTATACCCTATTTGTAAAAGTGGACAACAGACTTCATTGGTACTTATGACATTATAAATGACTAGCGGCCGTCCGCGACCTCGTGCACGTGGACCATTGTTTTCCCCTTAGGGGTGGAGTTCCGTAAAATCCTTAGCGGATGACTACACCCTGGAAGAAACCTAACTGCCCAATTTCATGTTTGTAGATTAGTGAGTGGTATTTCGAGTTATAAGTTAGAGGAGACGAGGAGTCGATAGCCGATACATCAGAACGATAGAAGAAAGAAAAAAGGTTGCTAATAAAAAAAAAATCAAACCGAAAAAAGTAAAACGTGGCCCAACGTGAGCGAAAAGTCGGCGCTTTGTGCCGGCAGCGTGATTGTCCACGCGGCGAGTTGTGGTAGCGACGCACAGTAGTTTGATTTTAAAAATAGGTGGACATACGATCGAAAGTCATAATTTCACCGAAACAAAAATTGTTTTGGATAGCATTTTGAATGCTGATCAACATTTGTCATTATGCATTTTTCGATAAAACGAGCCTTTCATGCTTAAAAAAAATATGACAAGAAAATTTGTATGGAGAAAAATCTTTTTTATTTTTTTCTGGCTACTGTTGCAAACTGTAGCGGTCAAACCTTATATAGTCGTAAGTACCTATGGTGCCTAACATTACTACATAAATACTTTTTGCGGGCACGCGCGGCGAAGCGAGTAATGGACATGCAAAATTTAAATATTTTTATTTATTCATTATTGATTTTAATGCACTTAAAGTAATTATTAATAGATAAATATACTTAGTCTAACTTACTACAGCCCCCTATTACCTCATTTCACGCTAAAACCTTTCAAACTAGAACCTAAGTTTGTAGGTGCTAGGTAGTCTAAGTTGTCTTTATTGTCATTATAATATTCACTACTGGTCTACTGGTTATCGTGTAAGATAGATTAGATTTATATCAACCCTGTACCTAGGCATATACCTTCTTGGCACTTATAATACCGACATACACGATTAAAAAAAGTCTTCAAACAAGAACCCTTGACTTCAATGGTTATGAAAGATTTTTTAACTTTCTAGAGTAGTCCTGACTGAATAGATCGTTAAATCATTTTGACTGTCATAATCGATTACAGTAGGTAGCGGGATAGTTTCAATTTTGTTAGAACTGTAATTTCCAGTTCTTCTGTTGAATAGTCTTATACTTTCGCAAAAATATTCTTTTTTTTTGGCTCCTTTAAAGAGGTGTAAGTTTCTTTCCCTTCGTCTTAAAAGATAACGTACATAACACCTTTATAAGTAGCTTCAAACATAAAGCATACCTTTACCCAATCATCTAACTGAGAAAAATCTGAAATCCGACATTTTTCACCTTCTTCCATTCATGTCTTCAATTATTATTATCTTCGTTCAAAAAACAATCAAAAAAAGATATTTTAGCCTATTCACTTATCTTGATCAGAGTGTTAAAAATAATCAAAGTCACTCACATACTTAGTTTTTCCGAAAGAATCCAATAAGCAGGTTTGCAGTACACCAAAATGTTATCACATTATCTGCACCATGTATCAGCAGTTTTTGTGTACGTTAGCTGGCATATAAAACTATAGGTAGAGGTGTACATAATGGATCTGCAATAATGTGTGGCAATACGGCTTGGAAACGTGGCCTCTCAATATAGGCCTTATAAATAAGCTCAAAATTGCACAACGTGCTATGGAGAGGGCTATGCTCGGTGTTTCTTTACAAGATCGAATCAGAAATGAGGAGGAGATCCGTAAACGAACCAAAGTCGTTGACATAGCCCAACGGATGATAGCCCGACGACCTCATAAAGGTAGCAGGAAGGCGCTGGATGCAGGGCACCACCAAGCGGCCATTTGGAAATCATTGGGGGAGGCCTATGTTCAGCAGTGGACGTTCTATGGTTGAAATGATGATGGATGATGAATAATGTGTAGAAGAGGGTTACGGATATTTCCATTTATGATGGAATTATTTGACTAACTGAATGGAGAGCCATAAAAATGTATTGTTTACTATATGGGTTGAAACCCTTACTGAACCCACTACCTACTGTAATCGATTATGACAGTCAAAATGATTTAAGGATCTATTCAGGACTACTCTAGAAAGTTAAAAAATCTTTCATAACCATTGAAGTCAAGGGTTCTTGCTTGAAGACTTTTTTTAATCATGTATGTCGGTATTATAAGTGCCAAGAAGTAGGTATATACCTAGGTAAAGGGTTGATATCTACCTAATCTATCTTACACGATAACCAGTAGACCAGTAGTGAATATTATAATGACAATAAAAACAACTTAGACTACCTAGTACCTACAAACTTAGGTTCTAGTTTGAAAGGTTTTAGCGTGAAATGAGGTAATAGGGGGCTGTAGTAAGTTAGACTAAGTATATTTATCTATTAATAATTACTTTAAGTGCATTAAAATCAATAATGAATAAATAAAAATATTTAAAATTTTGCATGTCCATTACTCGCTTCGCCGCGCGTGCCCGCAAAAAGTATTTATGTAGTAATGTTAGGCACCATAGGTACTTACGACTACATAAGGTTTGACCGCTACAGTTTGCAACAGTAGCCAGAAAAAAAATAAAAAAGATTTTTCTCCATACAAATTTTCTTGTCATATTTTTTTTAAGCATGAAAGGCTCGTTTTATCGAAAAATGCATAATGACAAATGTTGATCAGCATTCAAAATGCTATCCAAAACAATTTTTGTTTCGATGAAATCATGACTTTCGATCGTATGTCCACCTTTTTTTAAAATCAAACTACTGTGCGACGGGCCTCCCGCGTGGTAATTTCCGCTCGACTTTCACAAGGTTTTTATGTAGGTACAGTGGACCAAATAAGTTACCCGCCAGGCTAGAATGCGCGCCGTGATAAAATCTTATCGATGATTTTAGACGACAAATGTATGGGCTTATCGCGGCACGCATCCTAGGCCTACAGAAAAGTAATGTGATAAAAATCGATTTACTCAAAAAAACCTTTTTTTCTTTGAAATAGAGCAATAATCATGGAATTGCATGTACGTTTCGCATGTTCATTGTCGGTTTTTATTTATAAGCTCATGTCATAGTTATCAACTGGTGTATAATGATAATACGACTGTTGATTATGCCGATTGCTGATAAGACCCTAGTTTAGAGCATACATAACAATATGTTTGTGCAATCTAATTTTAGAAAAACCTAGAAACAACTACAGAAAGAGATAAACATTGCTACAGAGTAAACTGGAAAAAGATGGACGATTATGTGGGGAAAAAAACAAAAAAGCTATAGGAATAAGTTACTTCTGGTTCAATTCCCATGACATCACTGCTGATCTGTATCTTTCTAGAACACTATAATCCAGGCTTCTCCAACACAAGTATGAATATCCATTTATTAAGTGCAGGCATGTTGGTGATGATGCAGTCTAGGGTGATCCCTAAACTGCATCAGGTGATTGTGAATATAGATCGTGTCATCCACGAAGACGCGCCCATCCAATTTTTGGTCGAGGGAGGCGCGGGGTGCGGAGAGTTTGATCCGAGCAATCCGAGCGTCATTATTGTAGTGTGCGTGCGTGTGCACTCATGGATATAACATAACATCAAACATTAGCGGAAGAATGGTGGGGCGCGTCTTCATGGATGAAACTATCTATACCATTGGTTCCCAAAGTGGGGGGCGCGCACCCGAGGGGAGGAGCAAAGTCCTTTAAAGGGGGGCGCGGGCAATCTGTGTATTTAAGTATAAAAACCTGTGACCTCTGAGAGAATGCATTCCAGACTGCTCGATATGACCAATAAATAATCTTGACTGGAGGAGGGGGGCGCGGAATTTTTTATATGGTCGAAAGGGGGCGCGTCTCAAATAAGTTTGGGAACCAATGATCTATGCCTTTTGCTGCATAAAAATAAAGGTCATTCTTACCTGTTCATGAGCTTGACCAGGTCGATCTTGAACTTGTCAGCATACATCTCGGAGAACTGCTTGAGGGTGAAGGCCCATCCGTGCAGGCCGGAGCCGAAGCCCACGGAGCCCTTGCTGGGGTCTACGCGCACCTCACCTGGATTACAAAGTTACTTGATTACACACCAGTTACCAAAAACTTTTTATGATATAATTGAATGTAATGTTAATAAAGAGTGATCCTACTGACTTACCACTTGACAAAATGTATTTGTACACCTGCATGCAGGTTGAATACTTGTACTAAAAATTTTTTGTAAGAACCTTATAACCTGTATTCTGGCAAATAAACGCTTCTTATTGTTAGCATTAGTGAAATTTTGGTCTTAATTGTAACCTTTTTTATTAGCCCTTGCTAGGGTCTAGGTGCACCTCACCTGGATTACAAGGTTACTTGTTACACACCAGTTATCGAAATGTTGGTCTCAACTGTAAGCCTAGGCGCAGACCACCGATTTTTAGTTGGCCAATAGTACCGATTTGGTATCGGCCGATTCTTCATAAAAATTAGAATTGGGCCCAACTATCGGCCAACTAAGTCAGTGCTGGTCTGCGCCTAGGCTAAGATAAAGAAATTTCTGACTTTACATTTTAAAAAAAAATTTAAACTCCTAAAAAAATCCTACTGCCTATATTATATTTCATACAAGTCTATTTTATTTTGTCCCTTCCCATATTACTAGGTGAACCTATAGGTATCACTCTCAGGGACTTGACAGAATTATTGATACTTATTCTAAAACCTTGTTGTATTTTAAGAAGATTTATTACATGCATAATGCATAAGTATTACATAACAAAACTTAAATTAAGCAATAATGAGTAAGCATGACCTTGGCAATGTCAGAAGTCGCGCGATTTAGCCTCACGTGTTGATATTGTGCTGATAAGTTATTCCAAGATGGCAACAATGTTGCTTACTTCAAAGTTAAGTAATAGTGATTACTGCCAAGAGATAATGGAGTAGGTTATAGGTTCAAATCCCACGAAAAGCATCATATTTGTACTTGAATCAGGTATCTATTGTGGTTATCCATCAATTAGTTCACTTGACAAGTTCAGTATTGTTAAATTTTAGCAGAATCTGGGTTTATAAAGTATTTATTGAACATTTCAAGTATTTTTAAGTGTTTAAACGTTCAGTAAATCTAGTTATTATCAGTATATTGATGCAGCAAAAGCTGCAGTTTGCATTACATAACTCAGTAACTAAGGTTGGCATTTTAACCTCTGCCTTGGAACCAAGTTTCTAAGAAAATCAATAACAGCTAGTTCCATTAAGGCCAAGTTTAACTTTAAGTCAACAATGTGGAATTTATTCTTATGTAGCTGGCTAGTTGGCTGCTGACTTACAATAGCTATAATAATGGAACATTTCATACTGAGTAAATTTCTATAGATTTTGTAGGTAACAAGCAATTTTTTTATGGTTTGACCATTGTTCTTGCTTGCTAAACCCATGCTTACCTGGGTGAACAAAGAATTTGCAGCTGCTCTTTTATTGACCATTTTGAATTTGAGAATAAAGGAAAGGCAAAAATCTGCCTAGCAACAAAAGAGGTACAAAAATATCTAGGTAGTCTGACTTACCCATGGGACCACTGTCATCAGAGTAGGTAGCAATAATAACGTTAACGTTTTCAACGATACGCTGGAAAGTCTGGTAGAGCTCTTCTGATTCCAACTGCAGCTCGAGCAGAGCGCGGTCCATTTTGTTCATGAAAAGAATAGGCTTGATACGCTCGGCGATGGCTTGACGCAGCACGGTTTCAGTTTGTACACACACACCTGTAAAAATGATGTTGGTTAGGTATTGCATTTAGGAAGTTTATCTAAATACACCTAGGTACTAAAAAGTAAAGTTTCTTTGTAATACAGTGTTTAAATGGGGGATTCTTTATGGGATTTTGATTTGTTGAAAAATGTATGTTACTGTATGAAATGTGTTCTTTGATAATTAGACCACCACAACTCAAATACAGAAGAAGTACAATGACTAAAATAATACCTAACAAATAGCTTTTTTTAAATATCATGCAATCAGTCAGAATACTTGAACAGATTTGTTCTGTGGTTATAGGTAACACACAAAAAATTGACAACAAAATTAGTTTCTGTGATAATAGAAATTTTGTTGATAATAAACACAAAATAACTTACCAGAGACACAGTCTACCACGACCAGGGCTCCGTCTGTGACACGGAGAGCAGCTGTCACCTCAGAGGAGAAGTCAACGTGCCCGGGGGAGTCGATCAAGTTGATCAAGAAACCCTTCTCTCCCTTCTCACACTGGTCAGCGTTGGTGATGAACACCAAGTCTTTGTCTTCGAGCTCGAAGAACATAGAAATAGCACTGTGGAATAATAATCGTATTTCAATATTTTTTTCATAGCTGATAATTTTGAAGTATGGCTATAGAAAACATCAGATGGCCGTTCTAAGAATCTTCAATGTTTCTCAGTTTGGTATGGTAAGAACATTCATCACTTGAATAACATTGTGAAATTTATAAATGTCCATTGTTTATCATTGTGCAACCTATGCAATCATGAATGTAACACTATATTATTTTACTTACGTTGTAATTTTTATTTAGTACGGAAATCATTAAAAATATTTTTTTGACATTGCATCAAAAAGAAAGTTGAAAGGTTATTGCACCATGTGGTGAATGTTTGGTAATTAGTACTCACGTAGACTTGATGGTGATACATCTGTCCTGTTCATCCTTGCGGGTGTCTGTGAAGCGGGTCTCACCGGCTCGGGCGCCGGCGATGATACCGGCCTTGGAGACCAGCGAGTCTGTGAGCGTCGACTTGCCGTGGTCGACGTGAGCGATGACGGACATGTTGCGGATGTTCCGCTTTTTGTCCATCATCCCACGGATCTCGTCTACCGTAAAATTCACCTGCACAAACCAGAAAACACCTCGTCAACATCGTACACATCACAACACAGATGGTGCAGCACTTGTCATACGCACGTTTCATTTTCGCATTTAATAGGCTACCGGCGCCTCTAGAACGACCGAAACCGAGGCCTAAGGCCTGTTCGCAGAGGTAATTCATTCACTAAACACTGGAACCTCCCACTTGAACACTTGGAAGGAAACGTCACCCGACGACAAAGACGGTCGTGAAGAAGTATCAAACTTATCGCAATAAAACACGGATTTCGCGAAATATATGCACAAATCGTTAGCACAATATCACCGCTACACTTTTCTGAACACGATGACGCAGATTATTACTCACCATATTGGATGGTTTTTGATTTTATTTCAATAAAATAAACTACCATACACCAGCAATGGCGTACGCTTGAAAAAGGACCCGTTTCACGTCAGTTTGTCGAAGGCCGGATGTTAACTAGTGATGGTCAACTCGAGTACCTAACTCGAGTTAACTCGAGTTGGGCGTAACTCGAGCCCACTCGAGTTGAATTCTCTCTGACTCGAGTTCGTAAACTGTATGGAACCGACAGAAACTACCGGTTATTGTTGAAGATTTTTGTGTTTTAAGTTCTGTTTTTGAAAAATGCCGGGTCCTAAAAGAATGTATTCGAATCGCCAAAGAGTGGACGTTTCGGACAAAATTTCTGGTATTAACGCTTTAATTAATAGTAAAAGATTTGCAGCTATTTCAGATAGTGAAAAATTCTGGTCCAATTTTTTTAACTATTAATGCGAAGCTGAGGGATTAAACTGTTAAAAATTAAAAAAAGCATTCATTTGTCCACCCAGTTAACTCGAGTTACGTAACTCGAGTTCAACCCGAGTTATGTGGATTTTAACTCGGGTTAAATCGAGTTTTGTTTTTTACGAGTTGGCCCATCACTAATGTTAACCCGACAGCCATAGACAAAATAAGGTTGCCAGTAAACAAAATCAATAGTCCAGTCATTGAAAACGCGCCACAGATGGCGCCCTTGAAGGTGTTGATTATACAACAAAAAAAATGTTTTAAAACTTCAGTTTTTTTTCATGTCTGTTCAAGACAGGGCCCAAGAAAAAACTAAATTCCGCACGTAAATGAATGGTAGTTTGGAGAATGGAGTGCAGATCAAATAAGTATCTTTAAACTTATAATTGAAATAAAATAGTAAAGGGATAATACATTTTAGAGTAGCATAAACTCAGAATAATCCACCAGATTTTCTGTAAGTTCAAATAGAACAATACCTAAAGCCGGGTCTCTAGCGCCAAAAAATGTTTTGCCCTACACAATCCACAAAAAACATGTCAATGCAAATTTTTTTGTGAGCAATTATGTTGAATGTTGAGATGTTTTTGTTGAAAGATTGTTTTTCGTTTTGATTTAGCAAACAACGACACTAGCGCCATGTAAATGCTTCCGGTATTAATTCATTTGGTAAAAAAAAACTGAAACCATAGAGAATTTATTTAAAAAAAAAACATACCACGTGGGTATTTTGTCATAGTTCAAATACTGTAGGATAGATGGCATTTACTGAGACTTTTGATATTATGTGATAAATACGTTTACTAGATGGCGTTACCAGTCTCAAATCGATTCAAAATCTTCTTTATGTACTTAACAAAAAAATTAAATTGTTGTAGTTTTTGTTCATTTAACTTGAATACCAACGAAATTTTCAAAATATATTTTACTAGCTTTTGCTCGCGGCTTCACCCGCGTGAAATACCTACTGTAAAGTTACATCAAAATCCGTTCAGCAATTTTACGAAAGTAATAGATTTTAAGAAAGTAATTTGAAAGAGTAACAAACATCCAGACATCCAAACTTTCGCATTTATAATATTAATAGGATAGTAGGATTGCATTTTAATTACTTTCATCGTACCTACCTACCTACTAACTTGAGTTGCGAAATCTTTCAAGACAAACCAAATTGCCTCCAGCCCTTGTCCCACCATGTCAGGTCAAGAATTAAACTTCATCATAGGAAAACATTTTACTTTATTGTAAGTCAGTGTCTGTTGACTTGCACCCATTGTTAGAGGTGTAATGATCACCTGTTGATCACTAAGGGGGCGTCCATAAATTACGTGAGGCTTTTAGGGGGGGGAGGGGGTCAACGAAAATCTCACTAAATCTCACGTAGGGGAGAGGGGAGGTCTCGGAAAATATCACGTAATTTTTCCCGCAAGGAATAGAGTAAAATTGCCAGAAAACTGGGTTATTGAAGTAAAAAAAAAAAATGATTTTTTTATGATGATAATGAAAATTTATTCCAAACCGACTAATCAAATTAAACTAAAAATGCCTCCATCTGCATTTGTGAACACTAAAGATGCAGAATAAATGTCGAAATTAAGAAAATTCGTAATTAAAAAAAAACTTCATCAGCATCGCTATTGCATAATAAATTGGCCAAGTGCGTGTCGTCCCACGCGCAGTGTAGTGTTCCGTAGTTGTCTGTCGTTACCACAATATATTTCAGAAGCAAGCAATTACTTCTTCATCTAAAGTCACTTTTCATATTTTCTTCTAAGGATTTTTTACCGGTTAAGAAATTTTATAATACATGAGTCAAATGACTATTACTCTTAAACTAAGTAATCTATCTTAACCGTTATAGTTTTCCTTGAAAAAATTCTACCCTAGAAATTTTATTTTACCGTTTTGTCGGCGTGATTAATATAACATACCTTCACAAAATTACAGCTCCCCAGTGCCAATAGTTTCCAAGCAAAACCTCGGACAGACAGACAGACATATCGAAACTATAAAGGTTCCTTGTCAGGACTACGGAACCCTAAAAAATGACATTACATAAGTATGAAAATATTATGTATTCGTAGTTAAAGTAACCGATAGTCAAATTTGACAGATGTCAAATGACAAGTGGTTAAATAACAGAAACAAATGTTTTTTTAACAATGTTTAACTTGACTTTTAGTACATTTTTTAACTATTAGTTTACATTTTATTAATATTTAAGCATTAGAAGCAAAATTTAACAATTATTTATTTTAACTATGAATTAAAAAACTGGTCCTAGGTTGAAGCAATTGCTTGTCTTACTAAACGACGGGAAGCTACGGAACTCTGCACTGCGCGTGGCACGACACTGGGTTACTGATTTTTTCATATAAATCTAATATTGGTACCTACTCGAAGCATAGACATTGCAAAATAGGCATTTTATTAAATATCACGTGAGATTAGGGGGGTGGGGGAGGGGGTCAGGCAAAATCTCACCAANTAAACGACGGGAAGCTACGGAACTCTGCACTGCGCGTGGCACGACACTGGGTTACTGATTTTTTCATATAAATCTAATATTGGTACCTACTCGAAGCATAGACATTGCAAAATAGGCATTTTATTAAATATCACGTGAGATTAGGGGGGTGGGGGAGGGGGTCAGGCAAAATCTCACCAAATCTCACCAAGGGGGGCGGGGGGGTTGAAAAATGGCCAAAATTGTCTCACGTAATTTATGGACGCCCCCTAAGTAGAGCCAACCAAAGCGTACTTAAACCTTGTTAAAAACTGTTGCATTATTAATTTATGAAATACAATATGACCCTTAAAATTATTTAATAATTGTCATAACCCAATTCTTTTGTAATTGTGGCATTTGCTTGCAGTGGGTTACAGAATAAAGATCGACCGATATGGTAGCATTAGGTGGGCCAAGGGGGATTTCATGTAGGGGGCCAGTAAAGTAGTTAACATTTTCATTGCTAGGGTGCATTGCGTAGGGTGGCATAATTTGAAAGTACACAGCGACCAAGTTCGCAAGTCAGATATAGCTTTTGAAAAAAAATCGCAGCACAATTTAGGCGGGCTTACGGCTAGGTAGCTCTTTCAGACAACTCAGGGAGAGCATAGTTTAAAGACCATTGTAGGTAGGTACATAGTTTATTGCTGTCGGGAATATTCTTGAACATGGTACCTACCGACCTCAGACAGATCATTCTATGATCTGAGCTACCGTGAAGCAGGTAAAAGTTTGTGCTTCTACTTTTTCAGTCAGAAAATGGAAGAGTACAAGTCGCCGTATTGCGAAAGGTCGTGGGTTCAATTTCGACCTGTTCATATTTTTAGTCTGACAAACACTTGAAGGTAAACAGCGTTTTAACGACATTAAAATAAACGAAGAATTACCTTATGAATAACAATACGATTGCAGCATCCCAGGAAACTAAAACATTAGGTAGATATGTAATCAGACTCACGCTCACGTTCTGTGGCACACGTGATATCAATAAACTCAAGATATACGGTCTGCTAGTTACCTCCTAAGAATAATAAGATGCATCTAATAAAAACTTGAAGGTGATCACGGCTATTAATAATGTCATTATTCCTGGCGATACCTACATTCGCACTCCGCACCGACGACACTTCTGAGAAAAATAAAAATATAAATTAGACATCATACATAGGTACTTACATTATTTTACTGTTCGAGGTAAGTAAATATTCTGAAAAATACTGTTCATTCATTATGTTATTTCATAATGACGATATACACTTACATAGGACAGTCTATAAATTTTTCACAAACGTCTGGGTTCGAATCCTCGGTAGAGCACACAGGAACGGTAAAAAATGTGCTAAGTAGGGAGGACTGGCTAGTGAGCAAGTGTAAAATCTTAAACTAAGTAGGTAGGTAGGCTTACATAAGGGTTTTCCAGCCATATCCCCTCCTTATTAATCTTTTAAAAATATTATTTTGTTNAACTGAAAATGGCTCTAGATTTGTAATTTTGATAAAGACAAGTTAGATTTCAAATAAAAACAAAAGATTTCGAAGTATAATAAGAATTTTAGTTAAAATTAAAATTGTCTCTAACTGTAGCGGAGAATAATGTTGTGACAGGCCTTTGTTCAAACGATCATAGCAAATGTTGTGATAGGGATAGAGACATGTGATTTTTGGTTTTACAAAGATAATACAATAGAGAATAATACAAAGTAATAAAAACTACCTATTATAGGGGCATTTTTTGGAGAAATTTATCAAATAACCAAAAAAACACGAATTTAAAAGCAGATTTTTTTCGAAAAGTATCATTTTTTATTATTTGTTGGCATTTTTTGTGTATTTTATGTATTTTTTTAGTATTGCCTGTTATTTAGCATTATTACTGTTTTTATTTTATCAGGATATACCGCTTAGTTTAAAAGTTATTACGTTTTCTTTACAACAAGTAATTGGAAGAAAAAAAATTCTATAAAAAATTAAAAAAAAATCTCTAAAATTTTTTGACCTCTTTTTTGTCGATAAAAATAGGTCTAGTTTCATCTATTTTCATATGTACACTTTAACGTGACTCACAATGTATATACTTGAAGCTGCAAAACTAGTTAAACAAAACCCCTATCTTTTCAAAAAAGCCAAAGACGTTTTCCCACGTAAT